AAGTAAAGTTTTTTCCAAAAGCACAAAAATAATGAAGCTAAATCCTATAAGAGAAAGGAAAAAATGTTGAATTTTAAGAAATTCGGATTTTTGAATTTTTAATAATTTTCGATAATTTTAGATTTTTTACCAAAGAGTGGAGACAATTTAATAAGTAAAGTATTTTCCAATAGCACAAAAATAATGAAGCTAAATCCTATAAGAGAAAGGAAAAAATGTTGAATTTTAAGAAATTCGGATTTTTGAATTTTTAATAATTTTCGATAATTTTAGATTTTTTACCAAAGAGTCGAGACAATTTAATAAGTAAAGTTTTTTCCAAAAGCACAAAAATAATGAAGCTAAATCCTATAAGAGAAAGGAAAAAATGTTGAATTTTAAGAAATTCGGATTTTTGAATTTTTAATAATTTTCGATAATTTTAGATTTTTTACCAAAGAGTCGAGACAATTTAATAAGTAAAGTATTTTCCAAAAGCACAAAAATAATGAAGCTAAATCCTATAAGAGAGAGGAAAAAATGTTGAATTTTAAGAAAAACGGATTTTTGAAATTTTCGAATTTTTGATAATTTTAGATTTTTTACCAAAGAGTCGAGACAATTTAATAAGTAAAGTTTTTTCCAAAAGCACAAAAATAATGAAGCTAAATCCTATAAGAGAGAGGAAAAAATGTTGAATTTTAAGAAAAACGGATTTTTGAATTTTTGATAATTTTCGATATTTTTAGATTTTTTACCAAAGAGTCGAGACAATTTAATAAGTAAAGTATTTTCCACTTTTAAAAGTTTGACATTAAAAAATATATAAAAAATGCCAATAGGTACTCAACCCACAAAATTTAATTTTCAAAACAAACAAATGAATGCAGATAATTTGCTAACGGAAAGGAAACTTACGATTGTTATAAAGGAGAGTCCAGAATAGAGTCGAAGTCGGTATTAACGCGCTGATACAACGCGCTCGTCCTATGTATTCCATATGGACGAGCGCGTATCGATATGATACGTTACTCTATTCTGGACTCTCCTTAATATTGTATTAGAATTCACGAAAAAGAGAATCATAGAAATTAATTAATTGTTTGACGCAATTAAAGGGATATTAATCTCAATTAAAAAAATTAATTTTGATAAATAACTGAATATTTTATACAAATAAATATTTAGTTACTTAAAAAAAAATTATTAAATATTTATTAGTATTATTTAAATGAAAAATATAAATGTTAATTAATTAAATAATAAAAATGTTTGACCTAAGAATTAGAAGTGATGGGATGAGGGTAAAGGGGGATAATTCAAGTAAATATTTACTTGTATTTTGAGAAAATATATTTTTATGATTCGTTTTTCAAAAAACATTTTATAAATTCAACTCAATTATTGAACTTTTATTATAAAGTTTTGAAAAGGTTTTTTCTTCTACTTTAAGAATATAAAATGCAATTTAAAATATTTTTTTTAAACAGAGTCTTTTTTGAAATTTAAGAAAAAAATTCAGTTTTCTCAAGGCCGGATGAAAAATAAATTTTTTTTTCTGAAACAATAGCATTTTTTACATACTTTAAAACCACTTGTTAATGAAAATGGGATATGCACATTTTATAAAGGTCAAATTTGACTTTTTCTACTTCAAAAATTATTTAATAAATTATATTTTATCAAATTTAACCTTGGAAATGAACTATATTCCCATTTTTTCTTATATATAGTTTTAAAGCACATAAAAAAATTATATTGTTATCTGCAAATAAATTTTTTGAGTTCTTTTTATAGTTAAAACACTGGAATGTTTTTTTAATTTTAGAAAAATTTTAATAAGAAATTGTTAGTTAGTATTAAAAATATTCTGAATTATTTTATAATTAAATGATAATTGTTTAAATAATCTGTTAAAACAAAAAAAATTTTTAAATTTGTTTTTTTGCACTTTGAGCAACAATTATGAACTCCAAGCTAAATTAAGTTTTGTCTAAAACATTTTTTAATATTTTAAATAATTAATTATTATTTAATTTCTAATTCTCGTAATGTTATCCTAAAAAATTTATTATAACAATGTTATATACATACTCTTTTTTAATTAAAATAAACAAAAAGTTCGCTGAATATTTAATTTTCATAATCAGAAGTTTTTTAAAAAATTCGACTTTTTTTGCAAATGAAGGAGAAAAATTTAATAACATTTCTAAGTTTTAACCTTATTTATTAGAAATAATTAAAATCTTTTTCTAAGAAAAAAAAAATTTACTCCCGATAATTCTATAGTCAAATATTTTTGATAAAATATAATTTTCTATATAGGTCAAATTTTTAAGTTATGAATTTTCCATAACTCCAAAACTATAGCGAGTTTACAGAAATTTCATCAAGAGAATTTAATAATTTCCCAACACTAACACCTTGTAAAAAACTAAAATAAATATTTTTAAAAATACCTTTAATAATTATCCTTTGTCCATGAAAATTGTTGACACAAAATATTGGAAATCAATATACAGTTGCACTTTTAAAAAAAAACTTATTCACTTTGAACTCTTTTAGAAAACTGAAAAAAATTGAGTAACTAATATTTTTAATTTAATCCGCGTACGAAATTTTTTTTTTAAATTTCTTTTCACATGGATAAAGAGGCAAAAAAAATTTAAAAAATATAAAACTTGTAAAAAAAGAAACCCTATAGAAATTAAAATGTAGAAAATATTATATTGGAACTAAATTTTCTATAGTAGCCAACTCGTTGTACAATTACTTTTTATCAAATGAAATGTGACTGCACCGGACGCTACCAAAATGAATCTAAAATAAATATGAAGAATGATAAAATGTAGTTTTGCTAACGTTGGCAAATTTCGACCTTTTGTCTAAAGCGCAGAAGCTCTGCGGAAAGAAACCTGTTGATATTTATAATTGAATATAATATATTTATATAATAAATTTGTATTTATTTAAATTATTTAAAATATTATTTATTTAAATATTTATTTAATTAATTAATATTGTAAATGTATCTGGGAGTCTCGAACCCTGCCTATTGCAGGGAGAGTAAATAAACAAATAAATAATTAATTAATATTTACAATAGGTACAATATTTATTTACACTTTCTAGAGCAAAGATGTTGGGAAAAATTATATAGGAAAATTAACATTCCATCACTCTTATTTTTATATTTCTGAAAAAATTTGTATTTTTAATAATAACCATATTATTTATATTTTATATAATATAATATATTTTATTTAAACAAATTAATACCACACAACAAAAAATAGAAATAATATGTTTTTTCATTAAAAATAAAAATTTTTTCAGAAATATAAAGATTTAAAATTTTTATTTAACTATTATTACTAAAAAAATTTATATCAATTTTATGGCTAATAAATTTTTTCTAATCATAAATACATTTTTTTTGTAGAATCAAATAAATTTGTTAATGTGAAAAAAAGTAACAAAAATTGAAAATCTTTAAAAACTATGATTTCTTAGTTTGTTATATTGTAAACTTATGATTTTCATAAATGTTTCCATATGAGTCTAACCCACGTGCTATTTAAAAAAAACTTAATATTAATTAATTGTTCTACCTTATTAATTAATCAATCAATAATATAATATAAATAACAAAAATATTAATTATTATTATTATATATTTCTGTGGATAAAACAAAAAGTCATAATTATTGTCAAAATTGTGTTTAATTTACAGTTTTCAAAAGTTAGATTTAATAATATTTGTAACTTGATGCTTTCAGTTTGCAGGTATAGCTACATCCGGTGTTATACACACATGAAAAAGTATTTCGATGATTAAGAACTTTCTGTGTATGTATATATCTATATATAGATATACACATTCGCAGAAATGAAATTAATTTTTTATAATAGAATTACAAATATTACTTAAAATATATTTAATAATAAAAGATTAAAATCAATTTTGAGCTAAAATTTAAAAAAAAATTGATTTATTTTACTTTTGATTTTTATCGCAATATAAGTCGCAAACCAACATCCAAGTTAGAAATTAATAACTTGTCCTTAAAACCTTGAACGAAAACATTTATTTTGAATCAATATTTTACAAAAAGTATAGTGCAAAACTTAAAAAAAAAATAAAAATATTTTATTTTCAAAATTCAAAATTGCGGATCCAATGTGGCGAGATCGACTTTTTCAAAAACCGATCCAATTTTTAAAGTAAAAATATTTATTTGATATTTTTATCAAAATTTTTATCAAAGAATGCGATAAACTTTAGAGTAAAAATTTTTGTAGCCCCGGTCGTGGGCAAGCCGGGTTGCCCCAAGAAACAGATAAATAAAAATAAACTTTGTTCATTGTCAACATAATTAAACACATTTAAATTTTCGACATTTTAAACACAGTATATAGAAAGATTATTTGAATAAAAATTGAATTTCAAGAAAAGAGATAAGTTAAAATAAACTTGATCCATTGTTATCATTGGTTAAATAAATTATTCAAACATTTCAATTTTCAATATATATTCTAAACAATTGAAAGATTATTTAAACAAGAATAGAATCATCCTATTAATAAAAATGATTGTGAAATTTTATTATAAATATAAATAATATATAAATCGTTCATATTTTATGTAAAAAACCGCATTAATAAATATAAAAATAAAATAAACTTAATATTATTGATTTTATTTTATTAATGTTAGATTAGGGCGGCAATATATAGTAGTAGAATATATACTTATAATAATTTGGAGTGGTTTTTGCATAAAAATTTTCGATCGTCATTTTTCGATTTTTTAAGATAAATGTGTAGGTATAAAAAATTTTTATTTTAGCAATTTATGGAAATTTTCGCGATAATTCATAAAGAATATGTAAAGTAAAAATTATCATTATTAAAATTTTGTATTTCAGTCATTATTATGGAAATTTTTGCGGTAATTTAGAAAAACATTAATTACCGATTTAATTCCTTTTAGGCTGATTGGTTGGATAACAAGACGAAAAATAAGGCTATCGAAAAACTTAGTTCAGTGTTCTTTGTACATCCAAGTATTTACGAATCTTCTATAGTGATAAGGAGATTGATGAATATTCTTCAGTCATTTGTAGAGATCAAGAAATTTAATAATTATAAAGAAAAATATGGTTTTAGAAAACCTCAGAACTTTTCGAGTTGGACATTTCTGTTGAATCCTTTAAAAGTGAATGCATATACTACTATGTGTATAATAACAGCATTGGTGTGTATTTTATTGTACATAATAGGGGCATCTGTAAACTACGATACATAAACAATTTTTTTCCATGATTTTTACTATTTTTACTGCTTACAACAATTTCAGCCATATCACCAGCAATTATGCAAGGTATTTATGTCAATCAGACAAGGCCTCAGTACATGAACTACGGATCACTTGGATTTGTAATTGGACATGAATTTATTGGTTCTATTGTCAATCGGCCAGAATTTGCAAGAGATTTTCAATGTGCAATAGACACAAAAATGAATCCCAAAAATAAATGTTCTGTATGGTAATGTCTATAAAAGAAAAATTAATGGCTGAAAAAAATAATTAAAAGTAAATTCATTCGAGGATAGTGTCAAATAGATAAAGTGTTTTTAAATTGTTTCACAAATATTTACAGAGTAAACACGTATACATATATCTGTCTGAATAATTTCATGGTATTTAAAAATTTTTTGTGCTTGAGTAATAACTGTTTTTCTTTATTATATTAACATCCAGAATAAACTAGATTTTTAAGAAGTATTTACATAATTTTTATATCGCAATATTTAATGTCTTTTCAAAATGTTAAATCATAGTTAAAATACAAAGTAAGAATTCAATAAAATAATTAGCAATGTCACAGAATAAACACTAATAAGAATTTTTATGTTTTATTTTATGAGATTTTAATGAGATTGGATCTTTTATTTTATTTATATTAGTTAAAGATTACAGAAGAAAATTACATTAAGTCCTCAAATTTCATCCAGCAAAGACTGATGAATAAAAAAAAATTTCATTTTCGTAAAATATTTTTGTTTTTTTAAATAATTTTTGCGATCCCATCAAAATGTTCAACAAGGAGGAGGAATATATTAATAGGTAAGGTACTAACAACTCTAATTAATAGGTAATTTAATTTAAATATTTAAATACAAAATTAAATCAATTGTTATTTATTATTAATTTAATAATAAAATTCTATTCGAAACTACAAGCGGGGATTATTTTAACTAGTAGTATATTTATTAACCAAAAATTATTTTTTAAAAAGGTACACTAGCTGGAGGAGGAGGAGATTATATTTAAAATGTGGATTAACAATTTTCTGTCTTGCAATTTTCATGACTGTGACCGAAGGACATGTCACTGACAATGATTATTGTCTAACATCAGAATGTAATGATACAGGTCTGTATGATTTTCTAAAAAATTAAAAAATTTAAATTAAAAAAATTAATAACTGAATTTCTAGTGATAGTAAATTTTGATTGAGTTATTCCTCTTTAGCAATAAGAGTACTGAAGTACTTGGACAAAAGGATTGATCCATGTGAAAATTTTTATAAATTTGCTTGTGGAAATTTTCCATACTCTATGGATCAGTTTACAATAATTGAGAATAAAGTTAAAAAAGAAATGACGAGTATTCTGGAGGAGGTATATACATCTACTGAACCAAGATATGCAAAATTAATAAAAACTTTTTATCAAACGTGTATGCAAACAAGTAAGTCTAATGTACTGCATATATAGTTCTTTAGTCCTAAACTTTCTACTTTTGCATTTTTATTATTTGACATTAGTTAACAATTCATAAAATTATTCATTTTTAATTCACTAATTATTATTTTCCAGCTGATATAAATAAAGAAAATATAGAGTTTATATCGAATTTATTGAATACAATCGGTGGATGGCCTCTATTAGAAGAAAATTCTTCCAGTTATGAAAATTTCCAGTGGGAAAAATTTGGCTCTGAATTTGAAGACGGCGTATTTTTGGAAAATAGTTTTATTGTTGCAGATTGGCGGCAAGACGTAAAGAATAATTCAAACAAAGTCGTAGATGTAAGTAACGTAATATTTAACCCTTATAGTGACCTTTATTTACATAATATGTAAAATTATGTTAATTTAAAATTTTTTTTGTCCTACCTGCACGGAAAGTATGTCATTTCGGGCACTTAAGGCGGGCGCAAAGTAACACATTACGCCCGGGAGTGGGGGAAGCGGGCGGAAAAGTATTTTGCGCCCGCTTGTATGACGTCAGCGGGCGGTAAAGTATTTTCCGCCCGCTTCCCCTACCTCCGAGCGGGCGGAAAAGTATTTTGCGCCCGCTTGTTAATTATTCGATTTTCTTCATTAAAATGCGACATTTTCGACTTTCTTTTTAAGTTGACTATAGAACTGCAAATATTTTCAACTTGTTTTATTTTACCTTTAAAAATTTGCAATTTTTTTTTATTTTCTCTAAAAAAAATTATAAGACATTTGGTTTTGTTCCCATTTCGTTTATCGAAATTGTCAATTTTAAAAGTTCTTGTTTCAGTTTTGTTTAATTATTAATTACTACGTTCTAAATAAATACTATGTTTCCAGAATACATTATTTTTTTATTTCTATTTTAAAACTTCTATCATTATAGACTTCATTCGATATAATGTTTATATAGAGCTTAATTTTTAACTATTATGAGCGTTTAATCGTGCGTGCCCTCAATGCCATACTTTCCATGCAGTTAGGACAAAAAATTATGTTCGCATCATGGGCGCAAAGGTGATTACGACTTTGGCGAAATCACCTATTTTGCGCCCTTGTTACGAAAATAACTATTAAATATATTTAAATACATCAAGAAAAATTATGAAGCGCATGCGATTATTCCCCAAATGTCATTTGACCGAACTGTCATTTTACCGAATTGCATTTACCCGAACTGTTATTTTAAGAAAATTTCACTTTTGTAAATCGACATTTTTACGAATTGCTACTTTTGCGAAATATCATTTTTACGATTTGTCATTTTTACAAATCGTCATTGTTCCGAAATGTCGTTGTTTCGAATTGTCATTTTTACGAAATGTCACTTTTGTGAATCGACATTTTTACGAATTGTAATTTTTGCAAAACGTCATTTTTGCGAAATATCATTTTAAACGAATTGTCATTTTTACAAATCGTCATTGTTCCGAAATGTCGTTTTTTCGAATTATCATTTTTGCAAATCGCCATTTTTACAAATTGAAACTTTTGCGAAAAGTTATTTTTTCGAATTGCCATTTTTGTGAAAAAATGACAATTCGCAACAGTGACATTTTCGTAAAAATGACAATTCGAAGAAATGGCAGTTCGTATAAATAATGACAATTCGAAAAAATGACTTTTCGCAAAAGTGACAATTCATGAAAATGGCGATTTGCAAAAATGACATTTCGTAAAAATGACAATTCGAAACAACGACAGTTTCAATTTGTAAAAATGGCGATTTGCAAAAATGACAATTCGAAAAAACGACATTTCGGAACAATGACAATTTGTAAAAATGACAATTCGTAAAAATGTTAGTTCGCAAAAATGGCAATTTGAAAAAATGAATTTTCGCAAAAGTTTCAATTTGTAAAAATGGCGATTTGCAAAAATGACATTTCGTAAAAACGACATTTCGGAACAATAATGATTCGTAAAAATAATATTTCGCAAGAATGACTATTCGCAAAAGTGACAATTCGTAAAAATGTCGATTTGCAAAAATGACAATTCGCAAAAGTGACATTTCGTTAAAATAACAGTTCGAATAAATGCAATTCGGTCAAATGACATTTGGGGAATAATCATGCGCAGCAAAAATCATTATACCGTTAAAAATTTTGTCTTTAAGTTCAATTTACGAAATATTAAACGACAATTGTACTTTTTCAGATTGGACAACCTGAGAACTTTAACACGTCTTCAGATTATTTCAATTTAATAGTAGAGATTGTAGAACTTTTCGGAGCTGATAAATTTAAAATTGAGGAGGACATAAAACAAATTGTGAACATAGAAAAAATGCTTTTTAATGTAAGTATTAAATTTTTTATTGGACCACAAATCATAATACCAAAATATAGTCCTCTTATATTAATTAAAAGTTAGAAAAAAATTTTAAAACCTACGGTATTTGAAATTTGATTATTTACAGATTTCCGTGCCTGAAGAAGAAAGAACTTTTAAATTGAATCCTATTAGAATGACTGTTAAAGAACTAATTGGAAATTATTCTAATATTTTGTGGAAGGAATACTTAAATACATATTTAAAGCCATTTCATACAATTAAAGATGATGATATTATATTGATTAACGATGACAATTATTTTAAAGAGTTTAACAACCTTATTAAACATTTTTCAAAAAGAGACCAGGCTAACTATCTTATTTGGAAAGTAGTTGAAGGTTTCCTCAATAATTATGTTGGTTCTATTCAAAATAAAAAAGAAAAATCAGAAAAGTGTTACGATTATGTAAATGATATATTCGACAATAGTTTTGGTATGTTGTATATAAGAAAACTCTTCAATGCAAACTCCGTCGCCAGTGTTACCGATGAAATGATTCCAAATATTTTTCAACAGTTTAATAAAGTTCTACAAAAAGTAAGAACAAGAACCACCTTGTAAAAGAATTACGTATTCATAATTTTTAACTTATTTTTTATCGCTTTACTTATTAATTTCTATACTCAGGCTGATTGGATGGACTTAAAGACGAAATCTAAGGCGTTGGAAAAACTTAGATCAATGTTCATTGTAAATCCAAGTATATTCGAGTCTTATAGTGATAATGAGATTGATGAATACTACACGAATTTGGAAATAATTCCGGGAGATTTTCTTGAATCATTTGTAAAAATTAAGAAATATGATAAATATCAAGAAAAATGTGAGTTCAGAAAACCTATCAACTATTCCAGTTGGACACAACATTTGAATCCTGCAATAGTGAATGCAATGAACTATATCTTTAATAATAGCCTAAGTATGTATTTCAGCTTATCAGCTCAATTGGTTTAGGTCTTTTTAATTTTTCAACTAAAAATTCTTTTAAATTTATTTTATCATATTTAAAGAAATTAATTTTACTATTTACTAACAAACTTTTTACAATAATTTTAGTCTTATCGCCAGCTATTTTTCAAGGAATTTTCTTCAATGAAAACAGACCTCAGTACATGAACTATGGATCTCTGGGGTATGTAATTGGACATGAATTGACTCATGCTTTTGACATCCTAGGTAGAAAATATGATAAAGTAGGAAATCTGGTTAATTGGTGGGAGCCAGAAAGTGAAAAAGAATTTCTTTCAAAAATAGAATGTCTGATACATCAATATGGAAACTATACAGATGTTAACCGAAATGTATGTTCTAAAAAGTGTCTGAATTAAAATTACTTAAAATTATTAAATTATTTAATTAAAATTATTTAACTAATATAGTAGTTAAATAGTTGTTAGTAGCAGTTAAAATAATTAAATTTCAATAAAATTATAAAATATTTTGCAATTTTTTTCAGGTTAAAGGTGAGAGGACACAAGATGAAAATTTTGCAGACAATGGAGGAGTTGAAGTTGCATATTTAGCTTATGAAGAGTATATGAGAACTCATTCTTCCGACTTACTGTTACCTGGTGTAAATTTTACGCAACGTCAACTTTTTTGGATTAGTTTTGCTCAAACATATTGCGAGAAAATTACTCAGGAAGAAATGAATAGTATGATTATGTATGATAATCATAGTCCTTATGAATTTAGAGTAATTGGTTCTCTAACCAATCGGCCAGAATTTGCAAGAGATTTTCAATGTGTATTAGGCACAAAAATGAATCCTGAAAATAAATGCTCTTTGTGGTAAAATCTTTTAAATGAACATTAAAAAATAAGTAGAGTATTGTGCTTGATTATCAAAGTGTATGCTTTAACAGAAAGTGATATTACTCTATCAAAAATGAAGACAATTTTTTGTACCTGATTGTTTTTTTAAAATAGGTACTGTAAGTGGAGTAAAAAATAATATTTATATTTTCAGAAATACAAATTTATTTTTCTGTAATATTAAAATGAAACAGAGCACAATCACTTTTTTTATTAATATTTTTCATTAATTATTTAAAAATAAAAAAAAATATTAAAAAAAATTAAAACAGTTTTTTTTTGCACTTCGATTATTATTTATAAATAAAAACAAGAACAATATTATTAAATTAATTAAATTAAATTATTAAATTTATAATAAAATAATATTACAAATTTGAAAAATTTTAAAAAATTATGATTATAATAAAAAAAATTATTATGCAAATTATTCTCAATTTTATTTATAAAAATACTAGAAAATTGTTAATTGTTAAAAAATTTTTATTAATAAGTAGGAAATATTATCCATTTTATGCATAATTTTTATTTCTCAATAATAAAATATTGTTTACAAACTAATTTTTTTTCTTTTGAGAAGAACAACATTAGATAATCCCGTTTCTTAATATTTTTGTAGAAAATTCTCAATTTTTATAAGGGAATAAATTTGCATCAATAATTCTATTTTTTTAATTTCAATTGTTTTAATAAAATTCAAAGTTTTTAAAAATAAAGGGATAAAATGTTTGTAAATTATATTTGTCAATTAGAAAATTTAATTGACAAATGAAACTGAAAATTTTTGAATTTTCAGAAAATAAAGGAAAAAATTTTATTGAAAAAAATGTTTTTTTTTTAAATTTATTTACGAATATTTTAAATTGTAAAATTATTAGAAACCAATAATTTCTTTTTTAAATATTTAATTATTAGATATTATTTTTCTATAGGAATTAGGATTTTAAAAAATTTCAAATTCAAACCTTTTTGAAATTCGATTAAAATTGTATTAAAAATAATTTTAAATAAATTTATAAAAACAATTTTAATAAAATTGTTTTTAAATAATTGAATTCATTTTTGGTGATTTTATTAAAATAGTAGATATTGAAAATCATTGAAATGAGGGAAATTTTGAAGAATAATTGAATTTTGAAGAAGAATTTTTTTATTTATAAAGATAATAATTGGGATTTTGTCGAGATTTTTTTTTGTAAGTTTTTGAACATAATTGAATTTTGTGATAAGAATTTTGTTACTTTTAAAAATATAATTGAATTTCCGCAATTATTTGTAACTTCTTTAAAATTTAATTTTTTCAGTGTTTTAAACTAAAATTCTTCTATAAATCCATTATTTTTTAATATTAATTAAATAATATAAATATTGATAAATTTAACTAATTTCAGAAGATTTTGAATTATTACAATTTTTCAAAAATCTAAGTTCATTAAAATTTCTAATGAAATTCATTCAACATTGAAATTTTATAAAATTTTAAATCGTAACCGTTTGAAGTTCACTTATTTATGAAAATTGTAAACTCAACTCTTTTAAAATTGAATTAAATTTGAAATATTTAAGTAAAATTATTCATTAAATAATTTATTTATTTTATGAATAGTTGTGAAAAATTAAATTATTTAAAAAAAAATTTTTGTCAGAATTTGAATTTTGTATTAGAATTCGTGGTAATTTTTTTATAGTTTATGAGTCAAACAAAGAAGAGACAAAAATTCAGAATTTTCTTATGAATTCTCAAAATTTAATTTCTTTCACTACTTTTAATAAAAATTCCTGGCTTTTCCCTGAATTCCCTATGACAGAATATATCATTATTATAATTAATAATAATATTAAAATTATTTATTCTAATTCATATTTTATTTTTATAAAAAAAATTTGTATTTAAAATTTTCAAGTTCTATTACTTTTAAAATTACTACCTAATATTTTATTTAAAAAAGTGAATTCGCGTAAGCGCGCGAATTGTTGCTAGTATAAATTATTTGTCTCAATTAATTTTAGGCAATTTTATGTTAATAATGTAATAATCTATTATATAAATAATATATTTTGCTAAAGGATAGTTAAAAAAAAATTGTAAATAGTTAAATTACTTCAAGCAAAGGTCATGAAAATTACTACTCGTGGATTTTTAGGATCGCTGATTACGAATATGCTGTTAGTTTCTCAAAATCCAAAATGTCGGATCCAATATGGCGGACGCAAAAATTTTAAAAAATTTCGTCCGCCATATTGGATCCGACATTTTGAATTTTGAAAATTTTGCAAAACTGACATCGGATTCGTAATCAGCGACCCCAAAAACCCTAAAGTGCATAGTAGGACGAAAATCGCATAACTTAAAAAAAATTCGGGTCTTAAAGGGTTAAAATAATTAATTATGATGATTAATTTAATATTTGATTCAAACCATTTAATTGAATAAAATAATTTTTATTTGATTCAAATCATTTTTTTTTCATTGTAATTGTATTTTAATTTGTAGAGTTGAAAACATAGGGTGTGATTGTAACTTGATACACTTTCAGTTTGCAGGTTGCTATTATCCGGTGTCATAAATCTAAAGAAAGAGAATTTGCTGATTAAGAAATGTTCTGTGCATACATACATATATGTATGAAAATAAATTACTTCTACAAAATTATTCGTAGTCACAAGAATTTTGCATAATTTGCATATATTCTCTAGTCTTTAGAAAATTATGAAATTTTCATAAAAAAATAATATTTCTCCAAAAAATCCTACTATTTGTCTACATATCTGTACTTTAACGAAATTTTTTCATATTTTAAAAATTGAAAACTTATTATTTAAACCGTTCGCTCGAAAGACGCTTAAATCAACTTAAACCGTTTTTCGAGCGAATGGTTTATTTTTAAATCTAAATAATTTCTATAAAAAAACCTTAAATTTTTTTGTATTTTGTATTTCTTCATATTAATGTTGAAAGTAAAGTCTATTAAAAACAAGGTTGCTTTATAATATTATACTTTTTTGAAATATGACAATTATTGAATTGGGTCAGAAAAGGACACAACATGTTCTCTCATTTACAAATAAACAAATTGTGTAAGAATTATGCAAGAATTATGAAAGTATATTATTGAAATACTAATGATAATTTTCTATTGAGCGAAACTAAAACTAATTGATTTTGTATATCAAATTTGACAACACGCAAATTTAAGAACACAAATTTTTTTTCTATAACTCAACGTAAAATAATTAAATTATGTAATAGAATTTCATTCAGCAATAAAACAATAGCAAATTCTGATTGCGGATTAAAGTACCTATAGTATACACTATATATATACAAAGATTGCGTCTAAAACTTGCGAAATGTATAAAAGGCAGCATAGTATATATTGTCGAAATCTTTAAGATAATCAATCTATATCTCAAAACAAACGAGAGTGATATAATAGTCTCTACTTTCCCATATAATATTTAAATTGTAGGCTATAATTTTTAATTTAGAAAAATGAAGTTAACTCTACTGAATTTAAATGAATTTTCAAAAATTCTCGGATTGTCGTTATTAATTATTTGTTGGGTTTCTGCAAAGCCCTTAATTCACAATGACTATCGTTCCTTGGAAAGTGAAATCGCAAAAATTGAATCTCATATACGTAAAGCACGTGATTTATTACCAACGAATACTGCTGGTGAAGTTTATGATCTTCTTGTTGCTGGAAATGAGCATCAAATAAATCATGAAAAAAAGAATCAGAATTTAGACAAACCTGGTATGATTTTGTCAAGAATTTAATTTCAAATAATTCAAACTTAATATTTTTATAAATATTATATTATATTATATTTTATTATATTATATTATATTATATTATATTATATTATATTATATTATATTATATTATATTATATTATATTATATTATATTATATTATATTATATTATATTATATTATATTATATTATATTATATTATATTATATTATATTATATTATATTATATTATATTATATTATATTATATTATATTATATTATATTATATTATATTATATTATATTATATTATATTATATTATATTATATTATATTATATTATATTATATTATATTATATTATATTATATTATATTATATTATATTATATTATATTATATTATATTATATATTATTAATTGAATTCCTTAAAAAAAATTTATTATTTATTAAAATAATTAAATGTTTAGGTACAATTTTAATAAATTTTTTTTAAATAATTGAACTTTGAGAAAAATTTTTGTTATTTATAAAGATAATTGGGATTTTGACGAGAATTTTTTAAAAATTTTGAACATAATTGAATTTTATGAAAAGGATTTCATTGCTTTTAAAAACAAATTGAATTTCTTCAATTATTTGTAATTTTTCAAAAATTAAATTTTTTTTATTGTTAATTAAAATTTTTTAAATTCTATTATTTATAAAATTGCCAATCGAGATAATCTGTCCTCACGTGAAGTTAGTGTTTTTTTATTCCATTTTTTTGTTTTATAGTTCGAATAATCTGCTTTGCAAAAAGCCATTAAATCAAAAAAAAAAAAAAAAAAAAATTATTATTCTAAAAATTATTTATTTTTCTATTTAAATAACTGAATTCTCGTAGTTTTATTTTGATGAAAATTGATTTTAAAAAAAATTTTAGTCAAAATTTTAGAAAATAATTAGAAGTGTTAATGTAGGATTTTTTTAGAAATAATTAAATTTCAAAAAGTTTTCAAATTGAAATCTTTGAAATTCTAATTGCTGTAAAAGTATAATAATATTTAAATATATAAAAAAAGTATTAATTTGCTAGCTTTCTTAAAAATTAAACAGCTTTTAATTATATTATTCAAAAATTCTGAAAAATAATTTAATTTTACAAGACTTGGAGTTTAAATTTTCATAAGAAATGTTGTATTTAAATATTTATTTTACAAAAATGATTGAAATTTGAAATATATAATTTAAAAATTCTAAAAAAATTAGGTTTTTAAAATATTTTTCAAAAAAAAAATTTATATTTTAAAGAATTTTATTTTTTTTATTTTTAAAAATTACCTATAAATATAATTGTAATTTTAAAAATACTATTTTATGAATTTACCAAAATTATTCTATTTTAATAATTCAATTTTCATTGTTGATAAAAATTGATTTTAAAAATATTTTAGTTAAAATTTTAGAAAATAATTGAATATTTAAATCGTTATAACAAGTATTTTAGGAATTAATTAAATTTAATAAGATTTTCAAATTAAATTCTCGAAAAATTGAAAAGAATCTAAAATATAAAAATATAAAAATTTTTATTTTAAAAAATTAAATTAAATTAAATTAAATTTAATTAAATTTAATTAAATTATTAATTAGGTACATTTTTTTTTAATTCTTAAAGTTTTGAATAATTTTATTCAAAAATTCTAAAAAAAATGAATTTTGGAAGAATTTTTGTTGCAATTTTGAGAAATAATTAAATTTTAAAAGGTTTTCTCATTGAAATTTGTAGAAAATTTTTTTTAAATCCGTGTTTCATAATTTATTTCGTAAGGTGATTTTTCAAAATAAATAAGATAAATTTTGCAATTTTTAAAAATTTACAGTTTTTTTTACAACAAACATTTTTGACTAAAATATCTTTTGTTTCCTTACAGGTTTAACGAAAAATCAAGGATTCATTAAAACTTACGACAGCGATGCTGATAGATTTAAGGATTACCTAAATGAAACATATAATCAAGCTAATCATGGATATAAAAAACTAAACAAATTTGCAAAAAAAAATAAAGATAATTATTCTTTGGAAAATTATGCTTCATTTGGTCAGGGTAAAGATGGAAACAAACAAAAATCTCAACATGACAAGAAAGCCAGTGTAACTAAGCAAAATGATCATTTGGGTTCAGGTAATAATTTAAACTGATTAATTCGCCATTCTTAAAAAACATCTGAAACCTAATATTACAAATTTATTGTAATTTTATTTCTCTTTAATTAAAAATTATTTTAAAAAAATTATTTTATGCAAATAAACGATTATACTTTTCTACTAACATATAAATATTCATTTACAAAGAATAATTTTTATTTCAGTCATTTAAATGTTATTTGCTTTAAATACTGAAATTTTTGAAACAAATATAATTTATTTCAATATAAAGAAAAACATAAATAAATTAAAATTTATTGAATTAAATATTTATTTGATAACAGACAAATAATCTGTTATTTGAATTCAAATGAAAATATAATAATAAATTAAAAAAATGTCAAGCTACAATGATTCACTATTTTATATTGTAATAAGTGTAGCAATAGAAAAATATTTTCAGTAATCAATATTCATGGAATAAAAGAAATGGATTTCGTTCTGCATAGCGGAACGAAAATTTAATCAATGAGAAATCAATACGTTCGTGAAATACTCACAAAACCGTAAACATTCTAAAATGAATTGTATTGGTAAATGGTAAAACATAACTTGCTTGTTTATTAAAAAATAAAAATATATGTAAAAAAAAAAAATTTTAAATATGTGTAATTAATAATATTATTTAATTTTCATTTATTGCTCTAATTATTATATAAAGAAGCTATGTTAATTTCGAACTAAATTATCTCTATTTGTTTAAATAATAAAATTTATCTCCGTCATTGAAAAATTTATTCAAAATTACAGAAAATCCTGAAATCATATAATTTTTAAAAAACTTCAACTAAACCGATTTTCATTTATAATTTGGAATTTGAAATTTCAAAACTAGAAATTTGTTCATGGACAGTATATTAAAATTCACTATATTTTATAAAATGTATAATTTTTCAAATGTTACAATAATTAATTATTATTTATAAGTGATTAATAATTAAGAAATAATTGACTTTCCTCCCTCATAATAAATGATCGATTATATATTTGTTAGGATCTAATGAAATAATTATCATTTATTATATAGGCACCAGCATAGAATCACATTACATTGATGATGGCGAAGCATATTTAGGAGGAGGTGAAGGTGAATATTACTCAGGCGAAGACAGTGGACAATATGGAGAAAGTGGTAAATTTTTAGTTTATTAAAATCCTCTATATATGCTTGTCGAAACTTTATAAATTAAATCTCTAAATAAAAAAAATAAAATTTAACAATTTATTTTATATACTATTATTTTTATAGAAAAGACAAATATTTTTGAAAATATAGTAAATCATTCATCAACAATAATTGGGTTCAAATTTTGTAAAGTTGACCCTATTTTTTTTATAATATTCATGATAATATAGATTGGAAAAATTTATAGAAAATTATTCTAAATGTTTTCAAAACTTTTCTTAATTAATTTAATTAATTAATTTATTAATTAATTTCTATGAAAAAATAGTAATTTTATAATTTTTCAGGTGAATCACAATCAAATGCAGATGATGGTTATGGGCAATATTCATCAGGAGAGGGAAATAATGAATCAAGACAATACTCAAGCGAAGATGCTAATGGATATTATTCAGACTACTAACTTTACAAATAATAAATAAATTATTTAATGCTTAAAAATGGACTTATTTTCGTAATCAATGACCTCAATAACCCTCCACTACTAAGTTTCATGCAAATCCAATCAATTTTTATTTTGCCGGAATACGCACAGTGTATGTGTATGTCAACCTCATGAAAATATAAATTTAACGATAAAACCTTTGAAAATTTCTCGAGATTACAAAATTTAAAAAAAAATGCAGTGAGTGTCCTGAATTAAAAGTTTTTGTATTGTATCAGACACAATAGAACATTGAACTTCGTTGGTAGATACGTTTCAAACTAAATAACTAATGGATGAATTAAAAATGTTATTGACAAGCTTAGAAAAGATTTATTACTTTTCCGATTTATTACTTATTCGTATCACAGACAGCGAACCATGAAAATGTATAAATCACAAAATCAAGTAAGTTGGTAACAAAAATAAAAAATAATATAAATATTAATGTAACTATAATGAAAAAATGTTTGTGATCAACTTCACTCGAAACATCTAAACAAAAAATTGTGTCAAAATTAGGTTATTTTTAATTAATTTTCAATGTTAAAAATATCAGTTACAAGACTAGGTCCCACAAAAATTTAATTTGAAATATCTTCTCAATTTCAAGATGAACCAAATTCAAAAGGTTTTTTAACAATTCATTTTTCTTCGCACAATATTGAATCAAATTACATTTATTCAGATATATTATGTGAATATTTAATAAACAAAATTTGTTTAATGTCCTTTTTGAATTTTATAACGACTTTTAATAAGTCAATGTCAAAAATCAATGTCTTGATTTTACACCATCGTCAGGCAACTTTATTAAACAATGAAAATTTTTTTTATAAACAATTTATTAATTTACAAATAAAATAAAATTAATATTTTTACAAAAACAAATATAACATCTACCTGGTCATTTTAAAAAAAATACCAATTTATTTAAATAAATAATTTGTTACATTTGTTACACGCGTCTCGAATAAAATAAAATCGTCCGAAAATTGAAACAAATGGAGTTAAACCAAAACTCTGACATCAGCTTGAACTTGATGGCAAAACAAGACTAAAATCGAAAGGAGACAATTTTCCACTTCATATAAACAGCATGTGTGGAATCAATGGACTTAAATCAAAATAATCGAAATGAACGGAAATGAAAATCTACCGATTTTCCAAATCCTAGATTCCTAATTTCAACGTTTCTTAAAAACGAATTTCCTAAATTTGAAATTCCTAAAACAATTTTCCTAAACGAAAATTCCTAAAGTTATTAAATTTTCCTAATTTCCTAAAAATTTTATTTTAAAAATGAAGTGGAAATATATAAACCATCCACAAACAATTACGAATGGGCACTGCACGTATAAATGTTCTAAATAAATAAAAAAAAATTTCGACGTATTTTGACCTCCGAATATCTCAGAACGAGAAAGAGCTGAAGGCCTCAATTTTTTTTTAAATTGTAGGTCTCCTCGGGGGACATAAAATGAGAGTATTTTCAGCCCGATTCATAAAGTTTAACTATATTTTTTTTGCATTTTTCATTTTATAAAAAAACGTTTTTTGGCCATAACTTAAAAAAAATGTTAGGACACCTATAAATGTTTTTCTTTAGTTTTGTAGAGTTTTTTCAGACGCATCTTTTGAGCCTTCATTGAATATTTTTCGTCCATATATAAGCCAGAGATATTAAAGTTTTAAAAATCGAAATTTTTCAAAAATAACACTTTTTTGAAAATTTTGTTAAAAAATGTAAAAGTAACTTTAAAAGTATCGTTATCAACTTGTAGAACATTAAAGAACGCTTCGATTGACCTATTTTTGAATCTGATTCGGTAAAAAATTATTAAATTATTGGTATTTGAAAAATTAAAAAATCTTATAGAATATATAAAAACATATTTTTTGAACGAAGATTTAATGATTTTTAACTCTTTTATAAAAATTAATTCTTATTAATTTTAGTAATAAGAAATAGAAATAATTATTATTATTTCTATGAGAAAGCAAAGTGTTCATGAAATGAACATTAAAATTATAAAATAATGTACAACTTGGCAGCGGTTTTTATTTATAAATTACCACTTTTAATTTAGACTCGAAATATTAATTTACAATCAAAATTTTGAAACTTTTGACATTTATATTTGTTGCTATTGAAAAAACAATAAAAAAAACAAACATTTGCGGATCGCATATCGCATAGTCATAAAAAATATATAATATTAGGAAAAATACGACGTTGAAGTCCACAACGTTAATCAACGAAAAAAATTTAGTAAATTGATAAAAAAAACGCAGCAATATTGCCACAAAAATATTTAGAAAAAATAGACTGAAGTTTATGATCCGTTAATATAATATTGTTATACATTTAAATATTGAATTAAAAATAATATTGGAATAGATTAAACAATTTTTTTTCGTTGTTCAACGTTGTGAACTTCAACTTCGTAGAAAAATGATATTGTTTGGAAAATAAGACTTTAGGAAAATTGAGTTCGGAAAAATGATTTAGGAAAATAGTTTTAGGAAAATAGTTTTAGGAAAAATTAAACTCACTTTAAAATTGAAGGAATGATTAAGCGTAGTATTTGATGTTCATTAACCACAGATTCAATTTTTTTGTTTTTATGTTCCTTAATTTATTCTTTTTTCCAATAACTACGGTTTGATTCACCGATGTAAGTGTCAGAACAATTATAACAATTAAATTTGTAAACGATAACAATTTGATTTCATATTGTTAGTTGATGCATCCTTTTCTAGTTTTACAACAGAATTCAAAGACTATTATAAACCATTGGAATTGACAATAAATTATAATCTTTAAAGATCTTTGGACAATTGTGAGGAAATTGTCATTGAAAGTAATTTTTCATTATTTTGATTTTTTTTAAATTGTCATGTGACAATAAAATAGGCTCTATCTGATACATTATAAACAATATTTCTTTTCAGTTGAATTGGATGACTTGAAAAGTAATTGATCAGAATTACAATCTATTAGAAGATGTCGGTTTTTGGAACCAATTAGTAATAAGTTTGTTATTATTTTCAATTAACGTCATGTCGAGAAAATTAATCTGATTGTTAATTTCTAATTCGTGAGTAAATTTTAAATTTTTATTATAAGAATTGGAAACATTTAATGCTAAATCGACATGATCTGTATGAACGCTTTATAATATAATATAGTTTACATATATAAAATAAAAACCAGAAATACAATTAAATTTATTTTTAAATATTTTTAAACAATTGCTTTCAAGGTCGCATCCATGACAATATCTGAAAATAGTGCACCATAATGGTGATATCGGAGAACCCATAGGGGTGCCAAAATTAGTTAGATCAACAAATGGAAGTTTACAAGACTTTTGAGTATTTCTGACTCTTCTATCTATAAGCTTTGGAGAACTAAAAATCAACTAATAAACAATTTTGATACTAAAATATTATATACATAAATTTTAGGTTTTTTTAAAAACCATCGAGCAACCGGCTCCAGATGATTTTCGCTGGATTGATCCTAATTTATCCATGAGTGCAAATGTTCACTGAAAATACTTGGAATCACTTTCGGGGAATTTCCAAGTTTCCAGGAACTTTTTCTCGTGATATAAATATATTGAGGTCAAAATAAGTAAATTTCCAGTAGGAATTATTAATCTAAAAATATGACATTTTTTTTGCGTTATTTTCAAAGATGCTTTTTATTCGATAAAAGATTATAAAAGGCTCATTATGCATTCTTCACGGTAATCAATTAAATGAAGACTACTTAATCATAAAATTGTATTCTGGGAAATCCTAACAGTGACAAGAAAAGTGACGTGTAGATAAGAGAGCATCTAATAACGATAGGAAGCAATTTTCGTTTTTACGTGTTCTTCAATATACATTATATGGCGACGGACAAATAATTTGCAACGAAGGAAGGTCAAACATTGTTCTTGTCGCGCCTCATAATTCGAGACAATGTCACGTTTAAATGATGAATGAAAAACGCAGATTAAACAGAGATATGTCTATACATAATTTTTATAGTTAACACATGCTTGAGAATAAATATAAGATGATAACTAATTTTAAATTTATTAAGCCTACTGACGTGTTGCAAAACCTCTATTTCTTCATATAATTGAAATATAATATTAAATATCGAAAATATTATAGTTAATTCGTGAACAAAATGAAATACTATGCATTTGTATTGTTAATGTATTTGCCATGTGAAAGTGTTATTGGTCAAATTCCACCAATTTTTGGATCACAAGTACCAAGTTTTCCCACAGGACCATTCTTGGGACCTGGAAGTATAAACGACATATGTAGGTGCAAAAATTGTTTACTATTTAATAATACATTTGTAATTAGAAATAAATTTACACAATATTTTATTTAAGTTATATTATTATTAAGAGTGAGTATTAATTGTATTTTGCTAATACAACCCCTACCTCTATGAGGAAGCAAAAATAATTTTTTTTTATAAAAATAAAATATGAATTGGAATATATAGTTTTAATATTATTATAATTATAATAATCATATATTCTGACATAGGGAATTCAGGGAAATGTCAGGGATTTTTATTGAAAGTACTGAGAAAAATTAAATTTTTAGAATTCATAAGAAAGTTCTAAATTTTTGTGTCTTTTTATTTACTTCATAAACTATAAAATTACCATGAATTCTAATACAAAACCTTCGATTTTTTCAATTTCTGACATAAATTTCTTTTTAAATAATTAAATTTTGAACAACTATCATAAAATAAATAAATTATTTAATAAATAATTTTACTTAAATATTTCAAAATTAATTCAATTTTAAAAGAGTTGCGTTTACAATTTTCATAAATAAATAAACCGACTTTTTTTTAAGTTATATGCGATTTTCGTCCTACTTTGTACTTGAGGGTTTTTGGGGTCGCTAATTACGAATCCGATGTCAGTTTTGCAAAATTTTCAAAATTCAAAATGGCGGATCCAATATGGCAGACGAAAATTTTTAAAATTTTTGCGTCCTCCATATTGGATCCGCCATTTTGAATTTTGAAAAACTAACAGCATATTCGTAATCAGCGATCCTGAAAATTCAAACGGTTTCGATTAAAAATTTTATAAAATTTCAATGTTAAATAAATTCAATTAGAAATTTTAATAAACTTAGATTTTTGAAAAATTGTAATATTTCAAAATCTTCTAATGTTAGTTACATTTATCAATATTTATTTAATTAATTTAAAAAAATAATGGATTTATAGAAGAATTTTAGTTAAAAACAATAAAAAAAATGGAATTTTGAAGAAGTTACAAATGATTGCAGAAATTCAATGATTTTCAAAAGTAACAAAATTCTTATCACAAAATTCAATTGTGTTTAAAACTTACAAAAAAAAACATCGACAAAATCCCAATTATTATCTTTATAAATAAAAAAAAACATCGACAAAATCCCAATTATTATCTTTATAAATAAAAAAATTTTTCTTTAAAATTCAATTATTTTCAAAAATTTTAATAAAATTCTTGTCAAAATTTCAATTTTTTTTTAAATTTCCCTCATTTCAATGATCTTCAATATCTACAATTTTATTTTAATAAAATTGTACGCAAACATTTAAAAAAATTCATAAATAATAAAAATTTCACAGGAATTCAAATATTTACAAAGTTTTTATAAGTTTTTTCTCAATAATTCAATTATTTTCATAAATAATAAAACTCATCGCAGAATTTCAATTATTTTTAATACAATTTTAATCGAATTCTTTGAAAACTAACTATTCTAAGAAATTTTATTAAATTTTTTTAAAAGAATTCAATTATACAGAAATTTGTTAATAAAATTCTTTATAACAATTAAATTTTAAGTTCAATTATTCAAAAAATAATTTACTTTTGTATTTAAATAATTGAATTCTCGTAGAATTTTCTAATAAAAATTGATTTGAAAATGAATTTTAATTTAAATTTTAGATAATAATAGAATACCTATGAAAATAATTTTTAAGAAGTTACAGTAACGAGTCTTCGACTCGGATTATTCGTTTTCTTTATGTTTTATAACAATATTTTTAAAGTTGATTAATTTCAAAAGGGTTTAAATTTGAAATTTTGGAAAATCTTAATTCCTATGACGTGGATGGAAAAAATAATAATAATTAATATATTTTAAATATTTTTAAAAAAATTATTATTTTCGAATAATTTTAAAATTAAAGATACATATTCGTAAATAAATTTAACAAAACATGTTTTAAAATAAAATTTTCTAAAAATTCAAAAATTTTCAGTTTCATTTGTCAATTATATTTTCTAATTGACAATGTATAATTTATAAACATTTTTTTCCCTTTATTTTTAAAAACTTTGAATTTTATTAAAACAATTGAAATTATAAGAAATAGAATATTGATGCAAATTTATTCCCTTATGAAAATTGAGAATTTTGTACAAAAATATTAAGAAACGAATATCTAATGTATATAATGTTTTGCAACAGTTATTAATTAGTACCAATCTAATAATTATTTAAACAATTATTAGTTAACAAATACACTATTTGGACCTGAACTAAATACTTTAATTTACAGCATCTTATATTATCAATGGTGGCAGACAAATTATTAATCCTGGTGTTCAATGTTACTGTGCGTTGAATGCTTCATGCAGTGGAACACCACAAATACCGGGCAATAATTTTGACGTTCGTATTATAAATTCTGTAAGTAAAAATATACAGGTGTATTAGACTTATGTTTCTAAATACTTATTTTTTTAAACTTTTACAACTACTTATTTTTTATGTACTATTTACTACTAGTCAATCTACTACAAACAGTTCCATCCAGTTCCATCTACAGAAGACGATAACAAGAAACAGTATTTTTTAAATGGAAAATTTATTCTATAAAAAAAGACATATAATAGGTTGCACACCATTTTGAAAAGAATTTATTGACCTTTTAATTTCATCATTTTCTGAATAAAATTTTGTCTTTATAGAATAAAATTAATTTTAAAAAATACTATCCTTACTATATCGTTTTTTGTAGGTGAAACGGTTTGTAATAGAATAATTTTAACAGAACTGGATATAACTATCTTGAAACAGTGACTTATATCTATAGCCTATTTATACTATAAATGGAAGGATAGGTCAAGAAAAGCGTGTATAGCTGTAACAGTTAATTAGCTTGTTTAAAAATAGCGTAGTAATTTACATTGTATATTCATTTCAAGTTCAGAAAATTACAGTAAAACATCCCGCGCACTTATCGACAATGCAGATCTAAATTATTAAAAATTTGCAACAGCCGTTCTTGAAAATTAATTGAATAACACAGTGGACCTCAAGCACGTTTAAGTTGAACTAAAATGTACCAAAATTCTATGATAACTCAGATTTCTTTATAATCGTCCAACATTCTGAATTTTCATGTCTGAAAATCGTAGCTGATTCAGTTTTTGATATTTAAACATATCATATATATGAAAAACCTATTCCATCTACCAATGCTAATAGGAAAAAAGGTATTAAATATGAAACTCTTGTTTCAAAATTATTTCAAGGGTCCAACAAATCCTCAGTCATGTCCAACTGGTTATGTTTTTTGTTGTGGAGGAGTACCACAACCAACAAATCCTCAATGTGGTAGAAGAAAAGTGAATTTATCAAATACTGTTGGAGATTTAGCTCCATATGGTGCCTATCCATGGCATGCAGCATTATTTGATCGAACAACTGATCAGTATATATGCGCTGGAGTTGTTATTAGTACAAATTACATAATCACAGTAGCACACAGAGTATTTAATTTGTGAGTAAGAAATTATTAATATTCCACTGTACTTTTTTTTTATCGATAACCCAAAACTAAAATTTCCTTTCTTTTTTCCAGAAACAACAACTTTAGAATTAGACTCGGCCTATGGTCGTTATCAGCTACAGCATATCCATATTTCGATGCTTATCCTGTGTTCACACAATTACATGTAAACTTCAATAGAAATACTTTACAAAATGACATTGCTATTATTCAACTTGATAGACCTGTACCATTTGCTAATTATGCTAGTATTAATACTGTATGCCTTCCAACATCCATTCCTGCTGCAGGCACAAGGTAATTAATTGATTTACTTAAACAAATGTATATCAAATTGTACATTAAGTTGTCTCGCAGCAAACCGAAGGAATCTGTTCTGCAAACGTTTAATTCTTAAAATATTAAAGGTATAAAACGGAAACCCAAATAATTGAAACTCTTTTTAAAATTAATTGACATATGATTAGCACTATACACCAATCATCAAGTCGATACGAAACTGAAGGGCCGCTGAATTATTATCAAATAATGTTTATCGTTTGATGAGTCAAAAAAATAATAATAGTAAATTCTAATTTATTTTTGCAGATGTTGGACTGCTGGATGGGGAGTAAATTCTTTTAATAATGGTCAATATCAAAGTCAATTAAGACAGGTTGAAGTTCCAATTGTGGCTTGGGCATCATGTGAAACTAGTTTGCGAAATACCAGACTTGGAAATTTCTTTACTTTAGATCAAACAAGCTTTATATGCGCTGGAGGTGAAGCTGGAAGGGACGCTTGCACTGTAATTCAATTTTTCTTAACGTATATTAATCTTAAATTTTTTTGAATTTATTTTACATGGTTCCTAATTTCTATTTTGCGAAAGTTGTAATTCTTTGAGTCATTGATTAAAATTTAGAATTAGAAAAGAAAATTTATATTCTCTTTTATTTTAGGGAGATGGCGGAGGAGCCCTTGTTTGCGAAGTATCTGCAGGTCAGTTTCAAGTTGTAGGTTTAACATCATGGGGAATAGGTTGTGGACAAACACTTGTTCCAGGTGTATACGTTAATGTATATTCATATCTTTCATTTATAAGAAATTATGTATCTTCTACTGCAAATGCTGGATAAATTTCCCAAACCTCCGAAAATCAAGGAAAAATATTGTACACAATTTTCTAATAAACTAAATCAAAAAATTAGTTTGACTTTTAATTTTACCAATATTTCTCATGGACTAATTGAAATTAATATTTAAATCATATTTAAATAATAACTTTTATACCCATTACAGCTGCATTAGGAAAATTTATAGACATTTATTACTTATGAAAATTTTTTGACCTCATTATTATTCATTCTCTATTAATATGTTATCCCATTTACAGGAAGATCAACTAAATCATAAAATAGTGTTCTGGGAAATCCTCATAGAAATGAGAAAAATGACGCATAGATAAGAGAAAATCTAATTACTATAGGAAACAATTTTCATTTTTTACATACGCTTCAATATACATTTTATTGTTTTAGAAAAATAATTTACTAGCAAGGAAGGTCGAACATTATTTTTGTCGCGGCTCATAATTCGAGACAATATCACGTTTATACTAGAAAAAAAGAGACAAAAGAAAATGCAGATTATATAGAGATTTATTTATTCATAATTTTTGGGTTTAACAATTATGTTTTCCAAATAAATATATAAGAAGATGAGTAATTTCAAATTTAAACAGTGTTGCAGAATTATTTATACGATTAATTTTAAATATATAAGAGTATGTAAATAATTGTAAACATTTGTTTAATGAAATGAACATCTTTATAATTCTTTTGTTAATGTATTATCGATATAAATGTGCTATTAGTCAAATTCCACCAATTTTTGGCTCACAAAATATAAATTCACAACAAGCACCAGTGTTTGGATCTCAAAACATAAACGATATAAGTGAGTGTAAATTTTTTTTATTTTACAAAAAAATTTATTTATTTTAATAAAGTTACTCATATAAGAATACCGGTCTCTTTAAAATCGTTAGTTAAATATTGCTTATAATCTTTTCCTTATGTGATACATACCTATTACTTTATTATTTAGCGTCTCTTATTGGCAATGACGGCAGACAACTTCTAACTCCAAACAATCAATGTTACTGTGCGCTAATTTCAGCATGCACTGGAATAACACTATTACCAGGAAGATACAACAACTTTATTAATCGAATAATAAGCACAGTAAGTAGTATACAAATATTTTACTTACACTACGATTTACAATTTTCTGTTTTAATATATTTGCTAATGACTATAAAAATTTGAAACATTAAATGTTGATTTAGAATATTATTTCAATTTCAAAGGGTCCAACAGGTCCTGAATCATGTCCAACTAATTATGTACTTTGTTGTTCGGGAATTCCACAACCTACAAATCCTATATGTGGTAGAAGAAAAGTAGCTTTAACAAGTACAGTAGCAGATGTAGCTCCATATGGAGCTTATCCATGGCATGCTGCATTATTTCATCGTCTAAGTGACCAGTACATTGGCGCAGCAGTTGTTATTACTTCAACTTACCTAATAACTGTAGCACACAGGGTATTCGAACTGTAAGTAAGAAACTAAACTATTTTTTTTAAAAATTACATTTTAGAATTAGCCATAAAGTTTAAAAGGTTACGCTACCCTGTACGCCTAAAAATTAAATAGACAATTTTCTTATTAAATGACTAAAATTAGTATACAAATAACATCTATGATAAAATTTTATCACTATGACTAATTTAACAATATTTTTAAAAAATTTTATAAACACATTATTTTTTTTAAAATCGCAAAATATTAAAAATTTGTTAGTTTACATATCGCTCTTATTTTGATAGTTGCAATGAATGTTGAGGATAAAAATTGTTTAACATCATTATTTAACAATGTTATAAACAATTGTTATAAACAAATTTCAAATTAACAATAAGTAAACATGTAAAAATTTCGTTTTTTCCTTTACTATTTTTTCTATAGGATTAATGAATCTTGAAACTTCAATTTAACTACTAATATTTTCCAAATAAGTTATAAACATTTGTTGTAAACAAATTACATTTTAACAACAATTGAATATAAAAAAATAGTTTTTTCTTTTAATATACTTTTTTATGTAATTTTCATGTGAGAGTAATGCTAATACCAGCACTTTACCTTCAGTTATTGTAAATAAATAATTTGTTTACAAGAGTTGTTTATAACTTTGTTAAAAATATTTAGAATTAAATAAAAGTTTTAAGATATATGAAGCCTATTAGAAAGAAGGATATTAAAAGAAAAAATTGTTTTTTATATTCAATTGTTGTTAAAATGTAATTTGTTTACAACAATTGTTTATAACATAATTAAAAAATAATAGATAGGTAAATTAAATTTTTAAGATTCATTAATCTTATAGAAAAAAAATAGTAAAAGAAAAAACGAAAGTTTTAAATGTTTTCTTGTTGTTAATTTGAAATTTGTTTATAAGAATTGTTTTATAAAGTTGTTAAATAATTGTTGTCAATAATTTTCATCTCAAAGATTCATTAAGAGAACTGTTAAAAAAATCGGTGATATGAAAACAAACAAATTTTATTTCAATATTTCTGACTTCAAAAAAAAACAATTTGTTTATAAAAATTATTTAAAATGTTTTAGTCATTTTAGTCACTTGTGATGAGAAAATGTGTCAAAAATTTATTTTTCTAACTATTCAAAATTTTAGATATTTTGTCGGCCATTTTTGAGCCGTTATTTTGAATTTCAAAAAAATTAAAATTTCTATCAATGCCTAAATGAAAGGTCATATATATACGTTTCGGACGCAATATTCTGTCAGTCTAAATTTTTCCTTAAGCGATTTCCAATCAAAAATATAATTTTAATGAAACAAAAACCATTTAGGCATTCCAAAAAAAAAAAGTTCGAAGATCATAGAATTTAAAAATTTCAGAGATTCATCAATATGCAAAAGAATGCCACTATCTCTTTCAGTCCATAAAAAAATGATATACTATTTAAACATAAAAATTTTTATTTCTGTCTATTTATCTACAAAATTTTCTACTGGTTAACAGCACATAATACTCAAGGTTTTTTTAAACGCAGTATTTAATAAAATCAGAAAATATTTTCTAAAGATACATTATATTGTTTGAAACCTCTGTTCTTGTGTGAGGGACAGTGAACAAAGTTAAAATTTATTTTTCTAAAATACCCAAATTTAATTGACAGCAGAAATGTAAGTATTTTCTTTATTATATTATAATATATTTATCATATTTTCTTTATTGTTAGTAACATATTAAAACTATAAAAAATAAATTTCTAAAAATGCTCTTGTACTTATTCAAAGCCAACGTGGCGAGTTTGAAACTTCAATATGGTGGTAGGTGGTGTTTGTCGTTTGTATAGCCATTCTAAATTTTGAAAAACTGAGTTCAAAATTTTCTTCAGCCAGCCTACAAATTGTTAAAAAATTGTCTTTTTTTAATTTGTTTGATTTTTGAGTTTTTTAGTGATATTTATTGATTCAAGAGTGATGAATTGCATCACTTTTACAGGCGCCGCCATATTGAATTTTCAAAACTGCCACGTTGGCTATTTAAAAATACAAGTGTGCTTGTAGAGTGAAACTTGTTATTATTATAAGTTAATAAAAAATATAATTTTATAATATTACTATAAACATAATAATTATTTGTTTTTTGATGTCTTAACCCTTTAACGCCTGCGGGACATATATGTCCCACTTACAAAAAACACTGTAACTTTTTTAAATATTAATATTTTTTAAACGGGTTGGACTTGATTTCCTCAGAATCGGTCCAGGTATCCAAAAAAAAATTAAAGTAAACAATAAATTTTTTTTTTTAATATAAAAAAATAATAAAATGTTTATGCAAATCGGAAAAATTGTTTTAAAAAGCTCATGTACAGACGCTGAAGTCAAAAAAATTTTTTGAAGCTCACTATGTGAAGTGTTTTGAACCACTGAATACAAATATCGTCGCCATTTTGAAAAATTCACAAAAATTTAAAAATGGCGTATTAAAGATGGCGCACACTTCGAAGCAAAATTGTCTTACATTATCCGAACATTAAAAAATTAATAAAAAGAAAGAAAACGTTCCGTAAAGGGTTTTCGGAGTCGCTGATTACGAATTTGATGTCAAATTGACATTTTGACAGTTGAAAGCTGTCAAAACAATTGTCAACTTTTGTAAAACAGATTTATTTTGTATAAAAAAGATTCCAAAAGAGTTTTCGGGGTCGCTGATTACGAATTTGATGTCAGATTGACAATTTGACAGTTGACAGCTGTTAAACAAACTGTCAGCTTTTATAAGACTGATTTCTCTTTAATAAAAGTGACGGAAAAAGATTTTTAGGGTCGCATATTTCGAATTTGAACTCAAATTGATGATTTAACAGTTGACATTTTTGATATAATTGTCAATTTTATAGAAAGTAATTTGGTTTATTTAAAAATGTCCGTAAAAGGGTTTTTACATTGCTGATTACGAGTTTGATATCCAATTGACAATACGCAGACAATACTCGCATAATAACAAAGAAAAAAATAATAATTTCGTTTGTGAACAGTATTCCACATCACCTTCGAGGTTCCGATAAAGATGCGTTAGATTTTTTTGGTAAATCTTTGCCTGTAGCCCTATTTTAACACAACTATTGTAATAATTATAACTCGTATAATTTTTGCTGATTTTATAGACACTTTTGCATAAATAAAATTAGTTATTTTAAAAATTGACAGTTGGTTTGATTGCTTCCAACTGTTAAATTGTCAATTTCACATCAAATTCGTAATCAGCGACCCCGAAAACCCTTTCAGAGTCTTTTTTTTATAAAAAGTAAACCAGTTTTACAAAAGTTGACAGTTGGTTTGACAGCTGTCAACTGTCAATTTGACATCAAATTCGTAATCAGCGACCCCGAAAACCCTTTACGGAGTCTTTTTTATAAAAAATAAATCAGTAATGCGAAAGTTGACAGTTCGTTTGACAGCTGTCAACTGTAAAATTGTCAATTTCACATCAAATTCGTAATCAGCGACCCCGAAAACCTTTTTAGAGTCTTTTTTTATAAAAAATAAATCAGTTTTACAAAAGTTGACAGTTGTTTTGACAGCTGTCAACTGTCAAAATGTCAATTTGACATCAAATTCGTAATCAGCGACCCCGAAAACCCTTTACGGAGTCTTTTTTATAAAAAATAAATCAGTAATGCGAAAGTTGACAGTTCGTTTGACAGCTGTCAACTGTAAAATTGTCAATTTCACATCAAATTCGTAATCAGCGACCCCGAAAACCTTTTTAGAGTCTTTTTTTATAAAAAATAAACCAGTTTTACAAAAGTTGACAGTTCGTTTGACAGCTGTCAACTGTCAAAATGTCAATTTGACATCAAATTCGTAATCAGCGACCCCGAAAACCCTTTACGGAGTCTTTTTTATAAAAAATAAATCAGTAATGCGAAAGTTGACAGTTCGTTTGACAGCTGTCAACTGTAAAATTGTCAATTTCACATCAAATTCGTAATCAGCGACCCCGAAAACCCTTTTAGAGTCTTTTTTTATAAAAAATAAATCAGTTTTACAAAAGTTGACAGTTGTTTTGACAGCTGTCAACTGTCAAAATGTCAATTTGACATCAAATTCGTAATCAGCGCCCCCGAAAACCTTAGGAATGGCATCTTATTAGTTTATATCTTTTCTATGTTTTTCTCGGGTGTTAAAGGGTTAAAAAATATAGTCACGAAATCACAAAAAACAAAACACAAAATTTACGACAAATGATGTAGTTAGCAATTTATTTGGGGTTCTTTTGTACCCTCAGTTGTAATGAACTTTCAACTTGGGAGTGTCACTCTCAGTAATGAAATTTAATTATAATAGTAATTTTAAATAAAAATTGAAATAAGTAAAATAATGAAAATATAAAAATAAAAAAAATTAAAATAGTATTTTAAACAGAAAATAATTTTGCACTACCGTTGGAAATTAACGGTACGGATCCAGGCGCATGGCCCCAAAAACATACGAAACTTTAAATCATGATTTTTCTGTAAAAACAAATGTCAGAAAATTAAAAAAAAATTTCTTTCATCGTCATTTTAAAACAGCCGTCTTTAACGTTTTTTAAAGTACAGTTTACAATATTAAGGTTTAGGTATTGCGCCCTATTGAAAAAGAACGACCGTAAATACGGGCGTAAATATGACCGTAAATACGACCCTAAAAAATACAGCTGTATTTATGCCCGTATTTAGGGTCGTATTTACGGTCATGAATACTATTTTTTTCCATATATATTAAATATAATATTGCACTAAAATAATATATTTTTAGATGAGTATTAAAATATTTATTCTTAATTAATTTGAAATTTTTAAATGTTAAAGTAAAAAAAAACCCACAGCACCGAAACTTTTCTAAAAATTTATTAAATATTTACTTGCAATATTCGTCATATTTAACTGAAAAGTTTAGTGAAAAATGTGTAAAGATTTAAATGTCCCGATTAAATAAATGTTTAGCGCGAAGCTTTCCTGAAGATTTCCTGAACATGAAATTAAATTTTCGCATAATTATAATTATAATTATGCGATGATTTTATTGAAATGTTGAATATTTCAAGTAAATATTTAAGAAATTTTTAGGAAAGTTTCGATGCTGTGGGGGAAATGGAAAATGAAAAAAAAAACAATTTAAGGGGAAAAAAAAAATTTTACAAATTCTTAAATAAATTATTTATTACATGTAAAAGAAATTTTTTAAATAAATTTCATAGTTATTTTAATAATATATACTAAAAAGCCTTCTTTTTGCCTGTTTTGAACTGGAATGTCCCCTTAAGGATATAGTTAGGAATAAGAATAGTATTATTTAACATTAGTAGAAGATGATGTATTATTAGTATTATAATTATATTATAATAATTATTATTTAAATATAAAAATATAACACAAACAAATATATATCACTTTATTTTATTTACAGCTCAACAAAAATACACGTAATCCAATTTTTGTAATTGTTATGGTATTATGAATAGAAACATGTTAAAATTTTCATTTTTCAAACTTTAGCAGATTTTTTAACAACTGGCATCTGTCAATTTTTTTGACATCGTCCGGCATGTTAAAAACCATTAGAATACATAGTAGAGGCACATGTTTAGTCTTAACATAAAAATTAATTCTTAAATTGCAATTATTTTAAGTAATTAAATATTTCCAGTAAATTTTAACAAAAATCAAAATGTACAACGATATTTGTAATAAAGGACCCACTTTCTCTTTTATTATTTTTCAACTATTTGTACAGCAGATGTTTTTACTCAATATGCTCTTTCTTATAATTGTCAAAAAATCTATGTACTTGGGAATTTCCACAAGTTTAAAAAGTATTTTAAATGTGTCGAGTTTATTACGATAATCCTTCTTAAAGTCTTTTCGATTCACAACTATATTGAGGGTAAGAGATTAGGATACGAGTTAGGCGCAACCGCCCATACCTATACTTATGACTCATTATGTGCAAATTTCGATCTATGAATATTCCCCCTCTTTTTAAAATTGTATCTTCGTAAATTATCGGAAAGGTTCGGGTTTTTGAAATCTTCGACATCAGGTTTCCTTTAGTCAAAACCAAAAAGGAAAATCACTATATTTCTGACCTTAATCAGAAGTTGAGCTCTCTCAAAAATGGCCAACTTCTCTTTTTGTACTGCGCAAAGTTATTCTCACAGATTTTAAATTGTTAAAGATTGTATGTTGTTTTTTCGTGAATAAATAAATATGTTTATTGTGTATTTGAAAATTAAATATATAAAATTTTATTTCATTAAAACCATACACAGTTTCCACTACTGAACAAATGAAATTATTGAGAAATGGAAAAGTAATAATATAATGATTACAAATAAAATGCACTTATAATCCGTCCCGTCACGTATTTATTAAAAAGAAAAGAACACTTTTACACAATTAAATTTTTTGTAATTTCACTTTTTCAAAGATTACTATTAAAAACACAAAACAAAGTTTTTGTAAAAACCGACGCGAATCACAACACCGCGAGTAAACACTGTTGTTAAAGAGGTTAGGTATACAGAGCTGGGAAGCTACTATTACGATGCATACATTTACTCTAAAGTAACTTCCCATCGCTGTATACCTAACCTTTTTAACAACAGTGTTTACTCGTGGTGTTGTGATTCGTGTCGGTTCATTATAACTTTGTTTTGTGTTTTTTTAATAATATATAATCTTTGAAAAAGTGAAATTATAAAAAAGTTAATTGTGTAAAAGTGTTCTTTTCTTTTTAATAAATACGTGACGCGACGGATTATAAGTGCATTTTATTTGTAATCATTATGTTATTACTTTTCCATTTCTCAACAATTTCATTTGTGCCTATGTATTCTAATGGTTTTTGATGTGCTGGACACATATGTGATGTCAAAAAAAATTGACAGATGCCAGTTGTTAAAAAATCTGCCAAAGTTTGAAAAATGAAAATTTTAACATGTTTTCTATTCATAACTATATTTTTTAGGAAAATTGGATTACGTGTATTTTTTTTGCTGTGAATAAATAAATACGACTGTATTATTTAGAACCGTTTCAATTACACCTCAATAGGGTATTGAGGCTCGTATTTATTCCCGTTTTTAGGGTCGTATTTACGGTCATATTTACGCCCGTATTAACGGTCGTTTTTTTTAGTAGAGCGGACGTGATTTTTCTATAGTTAGCAGCTTATATTTCAACTGGCAATATTAGAAAAATATATTTCTTTGACAAAAAAAACAGTAAAAATGTAGTATTTTTTTTTATAAAAAAAAATGTCCACAACTTTTTTAAATGCTTTAAATCATTGGAATTTTTTCATTATTTCTGCATATTTTAGAAAAAAGAAAATTAAACTTTAAATAAATTCAATACAATATTACTGTGTTTCAACTTAGAAAACATTGTAAAAGAAATGTCGTTATTATTAGTTTTTAAAAATTCAAAATGGCGGATATAATATGGTGGGTGTCAAAATTAAAAATTAATCGGATTCTCTTAAAACTTGTTATTCGAGGGTTTTCGGGGTCGCTGATTACGAAATTGATGTTAGTTTTTTAAAATTCAAAATGCCGGATATAAAATAATATGGCGGCGGTCAAAATTTGTATTTAACCTGATTCGCTTGAAACTTTTTACTTGTGGGTTTTTGTGATCGCTGATTACGAATCTGATGTTAAGTTTTCAAAATTCAAAATAGCGATGCAAACAACTGAAAAGTTCTGAACGCAATTCGTCTAGAAGTAGTCATATACGTATCATAGTGTGTCTAGCCACAGAACACTTTTTGTACAGTTTAACGGGTTGTTTTAGCTTCTTTTTAGTTATCATTTAAATGAAAATGTGTCAAAATAAAAAAGAACCTATTTACACTTATTGCAAAAGATATTTATGTCTCTTAGTAATAATTAAAGAATTATATTGGAAAGAGAGAAAAGAATTTTTCGAATGGTAATTAAATATTACATTTTTCTTGATTAATTATTGAATCAAATCAAATATGTAAGGTTCACTAATTTTCATGAATGCAATAGAATAATTTTTAAGTATTCAACTAACATCAGGTTCGTAATCAGCGGCTCCCAAAAACCTCCGAGTAACAAGTTTCAAGCTAATCCAATCTGTTTTTAATTTTGACAGCCGCCATATTGGATCCGCCATTTAAAATTTTAAAAAACTAACATTAATGACGTAATTAGCAAGCACGAAAACCCTCGTGTAATAAGATTCAAACAGCCATTAATTCATTAATCTAAAAAAAATCCAAAAATTTAACCTCAAAATTTGTAAATCAAAAAAATTCTTGTTTTCAAGTCGTAGTATCACTGCCTTATCTTTTTAGGGTGTCTGAAGCTGAGTCTAAAGTTTATTTAACCTCATCACGACAGGGTTTTGAAATAACCTCAAAGAATATCCAAAAAAAATTGACCCTAAAATTTTTAAATAAAAAAAATTTTTTTATTTTAACGTCTCACTATCACTACCTTATGTTTTTGGGGTTGATGAACATGAATCTAAAGTCTATTTAACCCCATCACGCCAGAGTTTTGAGATAATCACAAAAAATCCAAAAATTTTACCCCAAAATTTGTAAATTAAAAATCTTGGTTTCAAAATTTTAGGGTCAATTTTATTGATTTTTTTGACTTCAGATTCAGCTTCATACACCCAAACAGCATAAGGCAGTGATACTAAGACTTGAAAATAAGAAATTTTCTTGATTTACAAATTTTAAGGTCAAATTTTTGGATTGTTTTCAAGTTATCTTAATATCCTGGCGTGATAATTTAAGATAATTTAAGTTAAAATTTTTTTCTGAGATGCATTTTTAATCAATTTTGATAATCAAAAAGAAATTTTTTAAATAAATTATTTTTTTTCATCGATTTAAAAATAGAGTTCAAAATAGCAGGTTGACTCACTTTATGGCTTGCAGGTTGTCCCATCTCTTTTTTTTCGCTTATTTGCACTAAAATGACATTGTTATGATTTTTTAATGTTCAGAATGATTATCAAGCCAAAAATGAAGTGTATTTATTACATTTTAGTTTTTCGTTTGATTTTCAATTGAGAAAAAATTTTTATTTTTCAACAATTTTTTTTATTTAAAAAAAAATTTAAATTATTGTGTTCAGAAACATTAAATGTATGTGAAATTTAATAAATTTTCATGAATTTATTTGATTTTCTCCATATTATTATCAATTTTTCAAGGTGGGTCAACCTGCAAAGCCTAAATTTTGAAACGTTGATTTTACATCATTTTTAAAATTTGATATAAAAATTTTATTTATAACCAACCTAAATAATAACGTAAAGCAAAGCAGAATTTAATGAGAGTGAAAATCTAGCTCTAAAATCTTACTTCATATTTTTTAATTAAAAATATGCAATTACGTTATTTAGGAATTTCTAAGGAAAAAGTTCGAAGATCATAAAATTTAAAAATTCCATAAATTAGTCAATATGCAAAAGAATGCCACTATCTCTTTCAGTACATAAAAAAATAATATACTATTTAAACATAAAAATTTTTATTTCTGTCTATTTATCTACAAAATTTTCTACTGGTTAACAGCACATAATACTCAAGGTTTTTTTAAACGCAGTATTTAATAAAATCAGAAAATATTTTCCAAAGATACATTATATTGTTTGAAACCTCTGTTCTTGTATGAGGGACATTGAAAAAAGTTATAATTCATTTTTCTAAAGAACCCAAATTTAATTGACAGCATAACTGTGAGTGTTAACTTTGTTGTTATAGTAACATCTTAAAACTACTTATAAAAAAGAAATTTCTAAAAATACTCTTGTACTTTCAAAGCCAGCGTGGCGAGTTTGAAACTTCAATATGGCGGTAAATTGTCGAAGTATTGCAATGTATTACTCTCAAATGAATAAATAATATAACTAATAAAATTTTAATCGACATTTTGGATTCGACATTTTAACTTTTTAAAAACTGATTGAATAATTTTTTTAGCATGCCTAAAAATGGTTACAAAATTATTTTTAATTTCAATTTGATGAAGAGTGATCAATTTTATCACTTTTAAAAGCGCCGCCATATTGAATTTTTAAAGTCGCCACGTTGGCTTTAAAAGTACAAGACTGTTTTTAGTTTGACAATTATTATTATATAAATTAATTGATAATAAATATAATATTATTATAAACATAATAATAATTATAATATTATTATAAATTTAATTATAAACATTGAATTATTTAATTCATAAAATATCTTCGTTATACTGTCCAACATTGAATGAGTAATAAACGACCCTTAAAACCCCAGAGAAATAGATTTCAAGCAAATTAAATCGAATTTTAAATAGTCGTCAGCCATATTAGATCCACCTTTTTAACTCTTTAAAGGTCTGATTTTATCTTTTCTAATAGACTAAATTTTTTTAAAAAAGCAGCAAAACTCATGAAAATTACTATATATGAGTTTTTTGGATCAGTAATTGCGAATTTGATGTAATTTAATTTTTTAAATTATTCGGCGACCCCAAAACCCCTTAAGAAATTTTAAACAAATTCGCCCAATATTTTAAATTTTGGGTCGCCATGTTGCAGTATCTATTTTTAAATTTTTAAATCTGAAATCAAATTCATATTTAGCGATAAATCGATTGGGACATCCAGTCGGCCTCAAAGGGTTTATTCTTAAAATGGCCTCATATTTGTAATCAGCGACCTGGAATACCCCCAAGTAATAAATTTCATCCCAATCCGATTAACTTTTTATTTTGTGTCGTCCATCATATTGGATCCGCCATTAAAAGTTCTTTTAAACACTGACCTCATTTGTTATCTGCGATCCCAAAAACCTCTAAGTAACAAATTTACTTTAAATTTCAAACAAATCCAATTGCATTTTACATTTATCATCCGACATTTTTAGTTTTAAAAAACTGACACTGAATTTGTAAAAAAATCCTGAAAACTATAAGAAACATGGCCCTTTTTTTGACCTGCTATTATTGTTGTTGTTCACTGATATATTAAATTAAGATGTTTCTGACATAATAAGATAAGATGCTTGTCAATTGAATGATGCTTCAAAAATGTAAGGGACGAAAACATAAGATACATAAAGTGTTTTACATATTTGCGCACAGTTAAATCTTATACAAACAATATGAAAACGAATACTAAATCGTAATTTGTTTTAATTTTAATACCGAAATCATTAAGACAACTACAAAAGTAGAAAAACATAGAACTTATCCGCTGGCGTCATTAAATGAAGCGAGTAGTTCGGTAGCGTGGATTAGAAATCTGGCGTGAAGTTGAAAGAGTGCTGTGGGAAGGTTTATCACAGAATAATAATAATTCTTACGTTTTGTTTAATTTCGCCCACGACTTTCGATGACTTTGAGTTAATATTTTACCGTCCTGTTGACGTTCCTCTGAATGTCGCAAGACTTCATCATCTTAGCAACCTCCAACTCCATTTTGTCGAGACAAGTCGCCTCCTCCTTTCTGAGCCTCAAGCATATCTCGCGAGTCTCTTCTATCGCATCGTCGTCTACTTCTAAGTGGATAGCGCTATATGCGGTTTTTCCGCTACTGCAACTTGACACACTCAGAAGACTCGAAGCGCTTCCTTCTCTCTTTCTTTCTCCTTCCACGATATTCTGTGTATTCAACCTTTCCACGACCAACCGTGGCACTGCAAGAAATTGTGCGCCCCCACAATCCGCGCGCACTTGAGCATCAGTCCTGGGATCGATGGTAAGATTTCCCGTTTCCGGCCTGCTCACATGGGGTACCTTCTTTGAATTTTGTGAATCCATTCTTTCTTGCTGTTTACCGAACATATCCATGATGCCTTCCCAGCACATCAAAGACATCAATGATGTATTAGGATTATGGGTATAAAATAAAATAAGAAACAATATTATATCTTAATTTCTGCTTTTATTGAATTCGCACTTGGAAGATGCATGTAATCTTTACTCTACGCTTGATCGGTTAAGACTAATATGAAAATCAAAGGACCAGACAAAACTGAATCATATAAGCCTAATACTAATGCAATATAGTCTTTGTTCAAAAATGGTTTACAAATTTTGATAGCCGTCCGCCATCCTGTCGCCTCATGATATAAACAGTTTAAATAGAAAACTTATACGATCTTATATTACATTTCTAAGTAAGATTGATTTTTGATAACTAATTATTTTACAAAAACCAACATGATGTTCGGCAGCGGACAACCAGCGGCGGTTTAATCTTTCGGTCAAATTCGTCTTCCGTCTCTATCTTTTCCCCATTATTTTAAAAATTAAGGATTAAATATGTCTACACGAGTCCAGGTTTTGAACCATGATAGACACCATGTTATCGACGTTGATTTCAAAGCCAACTGCCGCAAACATGGCCCTTCTATCATGGTTCGCCCTATTTTCTTTGCGTCCTAAAAAAAGTCTTCTTTGCTTCCTCTAAGGCAGTTCTGAAGACTTTGCTTCTTCGCACTTAAAGCACGCAGCTGACCTATCTACCGATTTACAATCTTTGTCTATATGGCCCTAGCCAAGGCACCTATGATACCTTGTGACCATAACTCTTTTCCTCACTGGACAAGACAAAAAGCCTACCCTTATGTGGCCGAGACGTTCCAGATTCTCTGCATCTTTCTGTGTGGTTACTACAATAATAAGCTTAACTCCTGGACATCTGTTGGCTCTGAAAGACAATCTAGATCGCGGATCTCCAAAGTAGTTGGCCGACCCACAATCTGCACCTTACCCATGTCACCAATCAGCCTTGTCACCTCATTGGTGAAAGTCTCCTTATCAGAAGAACCTCTAAGTTTGATAAAGAGGTCCCCCTTCTTGGTAGGTAGAGCTTCTATACAAATTGTATTGCTTTTTTCTGGGTTCACATCCTTACGGATCTTTTCCAGAACTGCTGCGAACGTCGAACCTTCAGCCACCTTAACGATCATTTATGACCTCTTTTGTGGCCTTCCTTCTTTCTGTATTTTGTCCTTTGGATTTTTTGGAGGTCCTTCATTCTTCTTCTTCTTTTAGTTTTTATTCAACTCAGGACTGTTCCTCTTCCGCTTCTGACCTTCCAAGACGACATTTCTTAACACTACAACGTTTAAGCGGTCGCGTCTAACTCTTCGATCTTGTCTTGATTTCTCTGACCATACTAATTGTTGACAGCACCTCTCATCTACTTTTTTGCAGCTGCGTCTTTCTCCTTAATCTCCTGTATAAGCGTTGTTATGCTTTTCAGTCCGTCCTTAATCGTCATATTGAAGTTTTTCTGGACATCACAGGACTTCAGCTTGTTACTGGCCTCTTCCTCTGTTCTTTTAATGCAAGCTGCTTCCTTCTCCCGCAGTCTTATAGCTTGGTCTCTATCTTTATTGCAGCAAGCAATGTCATTAGCCGAAGCATTACTGAAGACAGAAATTCAGCTAGCTTGACTTGTAACGCTGCTCGTACTTCCTCGTCAATCTACTCTTTCCAAGACAATTCTTGGTACCACCAACGCGTTGTTGCTCTCCTGAATCCTTAGGCAACTGGCCACCGTCCTCACGCTAGGCGCTTGACGATCGGAACCAATGAGGGATTTAGCCGAAGCATTACTCCGCAGGTTCTCTTCCCTGTTTTTACAATCGCTCATACTTGATGTTTATCCCGTATCGAGAGACTATCGGGCAAGATGGACCCTGAACAGCCTCCGTTAGTAACATAGACGTTAGCATTGCCAAAGCATTAATGTAACGTCTATGATATCCAAGGGCACGTGAACGTTGTTCAGTCGGACGTGGAGGTCGATGTATCTCTCCAAGATAGCAGGAACTTTTCGTGGAGGGAATGCATCCTGGTATCTCTTCACAGAGGTTTTTTAATCAAATTTGTTTAAAAAACCTTGAGCATTATATGCTGTAAACCAGTAGGAAATTTTGTAGTTAAATCGACAAGAATAAAAATTTTTATGTTTGAATAGTATATAATTTTTTTATGTCCTGAAAGAGATAGTGTCCATTTTTTTGCATATTGACTAATCTCTGAAGTTTTCAAATTTTATGACCTTTGAATTTTTTGCTAAGAATTGCCTAAATAACAAAAATAATTATATTACATAATTACATATTTCTAATTAGAAAAAAAGTTTTAGGAACGTATCTAGAACAAAACGTTTCCGTGCTCAGTACTCGAGTCACTAATTACAAAACTGAAGTCAATTAGCGAAAATTGAAAATGGCGGATTCAATATTTTTGGGGTAGCTGATTACGAAAATGAAAATAGATTTTGATGATTCAAAATGGTGAAATAAAAATAAAAGACGCTAATATCCCTCTGGGCACGGAAACGTCTTTATTCTAGAAACGTTCCTAAAACTTTTTTTCTAATTATCATAAAATTTAAAAATTTCAGAGATTGGTCAATATGGAAAAAAATGACACTATCTCTTTCAGGACATAAAAAATTATATACTATTTAAACATAAAATTTTTTATTCTTGTCGATTTATCTACAAAATTTTCTACTGGTTAACAGCACATAATGCTTAAGGTTTTTTAAACGTAGCTTTTAATAAAATAAAAAAAAATAAAATTTAATCAAATTTAATCAAATTGAGGGAAATTGAAAAAGTTATAATTCGTTTTTCTAAAAGACCTGAATTTAATTGACAGAATAACAGTAAGTATTTAAGGGGGAGTGACCCCTTTGAGGTGTCTTTTGAACCTGTTTTTCATGAATTTTTATAAAACACAGGAATAAAGTAAACAAAATTTGGATTTGAGAGCTTTTTTTTACTAACTTTTTAAGTTTAAGAAAATATATTTGTACTTAAAATAAGTTTTAATTTAAGAAAATCATTAAATAGAATAGAAAGTATGACTTTTTATTTTATTTAACTTTTTTATTTAAATTTTTTAATGTAAAATCTCTTATTATATTAGGTTGCTTATTAACAGGAAAATAAATTCTTTAAGACGAGAAATTAAAAACATATGTTCTTTAATTAAAATTTAAAACAAATTCTTAATTAAAATGTTATAATTAAAACTTAAAGATAAAAAATTCATATTGGTCTGTCAATTTAAAAAATAATTAATAGAAGAAATATAAGTACCTAAGTACAAATAAATTAAATTTCAAATAATTTTTAAACAATTACTCGTTAGAAATTTGTTTATAAAAATTAATTGAATTTAATGGAAATAAATTTAAAGAATTTTATTTTTTTACTATTCCAGTAAAAAGAAAGTATTGAGTAGAGCCGTTAGGAATTTTTAGTAGCTCTGAGCCAATACGGATTTGTGTAAAAACCGTATTGGGAAGTTTGACTCAATCTTTTTTCCGTCCACTGAATACGGTCCTCTTTTAACCCTCTGCTGATGCTAACTTATCCCCACTCTATAGCCAAAGAACGTAACTCCCATAGTCCCCACCAGGCGTCCAGAATGACGATTTTTGACGATAACGGTCGTTAGCATCAGCAGAGAGTTAACATTAAAAAATTAAGATCATATGAACAGTGTACACGTCATGAATTGAAAGCACAATATTGTCCTGGTATATAAAAATGACGATTTCGAAACGAAACAGTGAAAAATTATTAAAAAGTAAAATTTGGTAAAATCAAAATTTGACAGACGCGACTGAATTTACCATATATGAATTAATGAAAAACATAATGTTTAAATGGATTAATGGGAATCTACTGTACCGACTTCACTGATTCTTAAGGTAAATGTAGTCGCTCTATGATCTTAATTTCAATGCTAAAAGAGGAGAGTATTCAGTGGGCGAAAAAAAGATTGAGTCAAACGTCCCAATATGGTTTTTACACAAATCCGTATTGGCTCAGAGTTAGGGTACGGTCCCATGTTGAGCTGAAAACACAATGCAAAGCAGAATTTCGTGAGAGTAGAAAGGATAGTGATATCTGACTATCTCTCTTGCACTCACGAAATTCTGCTTTGCATTGTGTTTTCTGCTCAGCATGGGACTGTACCCTTACTGACAATTTTTTTTAAAATTAAAAACCTATGATCATAGCACTCTCAAAATGAACCTCAAAAATACGCTAAATCATGTACAGTCGTCCTCAGAAATGCCTTCTGTCCGGGAAGGCACTAATTTGATGTGCTTTGCACACTTTCTATATTCTTTATAGTTCGTGTCAATAATTCCAACGGAATTCTGCTTTTCTATTGGCTGATTTTTTAGACAATATAGAAGGTAAGAAAACTTCGTGGAATTATTGCCTTCCTTGGCGGAAGATATTTCTGAGCACGACTGTACATGCAGAAAAGTGGTTGAATAATAAATCCAATTTTTATTGCATAGAAAAAAATCTGAAATTTTATATGAACAAACGCCGTTGCTCACAAAGACAGTTTTAAATTTATGCTTATTAGCGCCTATGCAGAATAGAACAGCAAGACGACCGCCAGAGACAACTATAACTCTATCCTATTGTAACTAGTACTAACGTTTCCGTTTGCAACTCTCTGAAGGTCATCTTACTATTCTATTCTGGTGAAGCCTTTAGTCATTAGATTCTCTTAGTTGGATGTAGTTTCCAACGTGTTGGATATAATACCTAACTGACAATAGTAATACAAAAATAATTAACAGATATTATATTTAAATATGCAATACGTTATTTCCCACTGTGAATTGTACAACATAATCATAATTTTTCAAAATATTATAAAATTAAAACTGAGTTACCATTTTTATTTTTCAGTAATAATTTCCAACGCCATTTGAAAATCTTTCTTTAGATAAAGATTACTCATCAATCATGATTAGAATAGCAATAATCTTTATGCTATCTTCACTGACTAATTGTGATAACCATAAAGATTACAAATTGGATTTGAGTACAGTATATAATTCTCTCTTAGAAGTGAATTTGTATATGAGCAGACAAATTATGGAAAATGATTCGGCAATTTTCTTTGGTAACACAAAAAGTGGAAGAAGTACACTAATTAATTACATAATGGGCAATGAATTAATTGGTGTAAGGCAGTCGATATATAATCCAATAGAAATAATAGCAAGAAATGAATCCATTGGACCAAAAATTGGAAGAGGATCATTAACAGAGACTTCAATCCCCTCAAGTTGGACTTCGAAATTATTACCTAATTTGACTCTCTGGGACACTCCTCCGTTTGACGACAATAGAGGAGCAGTACGTGACATTACTAATTCCTTTTATTTGTATAATCTGGTGAGAAAGGTTAAATCTCTAAAAATAATTCTAGTTGTTGACATTAACGATATTACACAAGATAATACTCAACAGTTTATGTCTCTTATCACATCAGTTGAAACTCTTTTTGGTAATGGGTTTAAAAACTATTTTAATAGTACAACAGTCATTTTTACAAAAGTACCTACCACTACTTATGATGACCAACCAATTGATAATGAATACATAAATTATCATTTACAAAATCATTTGTTACTCGACACAGGATTGAAATGGTCCGAAGTTTTGAAAAGATTTATAGAATTTATAATACATAATAAAGACCGAGTTGCACTTTTCAAGAAATTAAATCATCCAGATAATGTAACTAAGGATATCGATGATAATATATTTCCGGCTATTCGTAACTCTGAAAGCATAAATAGTAGTTCTCTTCAAAACGTACGTCCAAGAATATCAGCTGCTTCTATGCTAGAACTGTTTAAAACCAAGCAGACATTGCAGACAAGGTTAATTGTTGAAGGTACAGAAAAATTACTGTTAAAGAAATTAAAGAACACGATGGATGTTTTGGATAAATTAAACAATAAGATAGATAAAAATAACATAACTGCAATAAAGACAAATTTAACAGAAGATTTGATTAAACTTACTGAGTCTTTGACTTATGAAAATAATATAACAAAAAAAGTAGATAGCTTCATTGCCATTGATTCTGACCTTAATGTGACTGAAAAGGAGAATTTGAAAAGAAATGTAGAACTAATACAAAAAGTTGCAGACCTCTTAAATGTTACTATAAGTAAAGCATTAGAGTTTACTGTGGACTCTTATTTGTTAACCTTAAGCCTAAAATATCAAGCAGCGATTTCACTAGTTGATGTAAAATTAGGCATTATATCAGAACAAGAATTTTTGGATAGAAAGAAAGAAGAAGATAAGCTAGCTCAAAATATTAGTATAGCAAAAGAACAATTAAATGAATTGGATAATACTAATAACAAAAGTGTATGGGATATAATAATTGAAAACATTAGTGATTTCTTTAGAGAAATAAAATCATGGTTTACTTCTAAAGAAAGCAAGTAAAAGGGACACACCATTCTGAAATAAGTGACTGGAAAAGCGAATGTGAAAGTTAACAACTCCATTATGAAGCTTTTCTGTATTGAATTAGCTGGAAGACAGTTATCATCAGAGGTTCTCACTACTTACGAATCTGAAATTATATTTTAAAATTTTAGAGTAGCAAAATGGGTTGGCAAACCCAATAATAATGGGTATGGCAAACATACTAAAATGTAGGAATTAAATAATATTTAATAAGATATTATATTATAATATCTTGAAATATTTTACATGTTCGTAACATTTGCTTGAAACTCATTTGTCGAGTGTATTTGGATTCGCTGATTACGTATCTGGCTGCAAAAGGTTTTTTAATTTGACAAATATATTATAACGAATGTTTAATTCATTATGCGTAAAACACTCCAGTCACAGTTTTCAAGCAAATTGAATTGATCTTCAATTTCTTTAGACGTCCAAAAGACGTCTTTAAGACACAGTATTTAAGCTTAATATTAATGCTATATTTTCTCGGAATATTGAAGATTATTGATTATTGATTATTGATTATTATAATTATTACAATATAATTTTATATAATAATAATGTATAGTAATTTATTATATGTTTGTAATTAATTATTATATTTTATTATATTATAACATTACCAGGCAATGATTCACCATATAGAATTCAAATGTTGTGCCATTTGGGTATAACTATAATTACTCTCCCTATGTATGGAGTTTGATTAAGAAGCTCTAATTTTTTATCGTAAAATATTCGTACAATATTCATTTTCATATAATACGTGTAGAATAAACAATTTTTGAAATTTCTAGCAGCGCAAAGTTTGGAACACAATCTAATATCAACATTTGCTGGTTTAAAAATAAATGTTTTTAAATCATTCAGATCCAAGAAGCTTCTAAGATAAATACATTTTGCAGTAATAATTTTAATGGAATTTTAATAAGACTTTGTATGAATACAATTTATATTCTGCTTATAGATTTTGCATTTATTATTGTAAAGTTTATTTTTCTTAAGCCTGGTGTGTTTTAGCGTGAATAATGAGCAACAAATAGAATTCATAAATGTGTTTTACTACTCAAAATTTAAAGCAGTTTCTTATATGCTTTTATAAAGTTTCAGTTTCTATTGTATAATATATAATATTAAAAACGTTGTATTTACGTTCTTAAAACTTAATCTTGAAATGTGTGTGTGTAATAAAATTATTTTTAATTGTAGTAAAAAGTTTACCAATCAAATTGAGATTATTATTTATACCTTTCATTTTAACTTAAAAATTTTGACAACAAAAAAGAGACAAAAAAGAAGAGTTGCAATTTTGCTGCAGCTTGTGAAAAAAGTTTTCTTAAGTTCAAAAAATTTTATATAATCTATTTATTCTTCTAATATTTTCGAATTGATATTTGTGGAGATAGCTACATTTTATTTAATATTTCTATTGAACTGTAGAACTATTTCCATTACTCAAAATTATTTATTTCTACTGAACTTTAGATAACTATTTACATTACTCGAAATTATTCAGTGCTCGTGTAGTTGTTGCTTAACTGATATAGTATATAATATTAAAAAATTTACATTTAATTGACCATATTAAATATTGACCATATTGATGTCAATTGAAACATAGCGTTCGTGCTAGTGGTCGATATTAGGTTTAAAATAGAAAAAATGTAACGTAAGATTTTTTACTTAAAATTTTTTAAAAGTCGTCAATTCTATGGAAATATAATGAAGTACACACCAAAAAGTAAGTAAAGTATTATCACATTAATAAATAGGGTTAAAGTAGCGTTACGCCCTTCGTTTGCAGTGCTGCGCGTTATTTGAGGACACTTTGTACTTAGCACAGCAATTTTTTTCCTTTTCCATAATACATTTTCTCCTTGCAATAAGAGTTTTTTCGCTTATGATTATCATCGCCTATAATTACAATATTTCCTTCTTTAACATTAATCCTTTTATTTGATTTACTTATAGCCGACAATTGTCCTAAATATTCATTCCGAAAACGCTTTCTGAATTGTTCTAGTATTAGTTGAGGACCAGTAAAAAACTTTTTGACTGACAATTGTTAGTAAACAGAAGATAAAGTTCGCTTAAATATTATTTTTCATCTGCTAATTATCGGTTGTGGTCGCCTTTTATGAATTGCGAATTAAAATTATTTTAATGACTCAGATAACTATTGGAATTGTTCCAGCAATAGTTTGGAACCAGTAAACAATTTTTGTACTAACAATTGTTAGTAAACAGAAGTTTGATCAAAAAATTATTTTTAATCTTCTGCTGATTATTGGCTGTGGTTACTTTTTATGATTTGGTAATTAAATTAATTTTGATGACCCAAATATTAATTGGAATTGTTCTATATAGCAATAGTTTGGGACCAGTAAACAATTTTTGTACTAACAATTGTTAGTAAACAGAAGTTCGCTCAAAAAATAATTTTTCATCTTCTGCTGATCCCGAGGTTTTTCACCTTGTCTTAGGAGGACTAGCCTCTGCCGCTTCCAGTCGCGGAAGAACTCTCCCTTCTCAAAGCAAAGATTGAAGCATCTAAGCAGAATCTGGGGTGAAGTGTCGATAACCAATTTTAGGATCTCGTTACTTATCCCATCGAATCCAGGCGCCTTGCCTGTTTTCAATCTTTTACCTGCGATTTTTAATTCACTAAGTGTGAAAAGTTCTTCCTCTTTGACTTTGCAGGAACTCCAGTATATCCTAATGAATGGCTCTGCAGGAGGAAACAAAGACTTTATTATCTGTGTAACGCAATCGGGATTATCCAGGCCGGGGGTGTTTTGCCTCGTCAGTAATTTCTTAGTAACGATTTTAAAAGCCAGACCCCATGGGTCCTTATCGACTTCCTCGATTAGGTTCTGCCAACTACGGCGTCGCGACTTGCGGATCTCTTTCTTCTGAGGTACCCACTTGGGGTATATTTTTTGAATTTTTGTTTATTTCATATTATTTTCTTTTTCTGGGTCCAGGTGCGGAGCCCCGGTCAGGGGCTCCCCCCGACTACAAAAAAACCAACTCAAAAGAATAATAATAATTTTCGACATTTCAAAGAATCGCATTTTTCTGAAATCCATGACAAAATGGCCACTTAAATTTTACTATATATTTTCTAAATAGTAATATGTAATTATGTAGTAATTAATTATGTGTTATTTAGGAATTTCTAAGGAAAAAGTTCGATGATCATAAAATTTAAAAATTCCAGAAATTAGTCAATATGCAAAAGAATGCCACTATCTCTTTCAGTGCATAAAAAAATAATATACTATTTAAACATAAAAATTTTTATTTCTGTCTATTTATCTACAAAATTTTCTACTGGTTAAAAGCACATAATGCTCAAGGTTTTTTTTAAAACGCAGTATTTAATTAAATCACAAAATATTTTCCAAAGATACATTATATTGTTTAAAACCTCTGTTCTTGTATGAGGGTCATTGAAAAAAGTTAAAATTCGTTTTTCTAAAAAAATCAAATTTAATTGACAACCAGAACTGTAAGTATTTTCTTTGTTGTTAGTAACATATTAAAATTATAGAAAAGAAATTTCTAAAAATACTTTTGTACTTTCAAAGCCAGCGTGGCAATTTTGAAACTTCAATATGGAGGTGATTGTAGAAGTGTTGCAATTTATTACTCTCAAATGAATATTTAATATAACTAATAAAATTTCAAAAATGAAATAAATTAAAATAAAAGATACTTTTTAAAGTATTTGTAGGGTCGCTGAAGATAAACCTGATTTAATAAGGCGAACAAATTTTAAAGAATTCGTCAGCCATTTTGGATTAGACATTCTAGAGTGATAAATTTCGTCACTTTTACAACCACCGCCATATTGAATTTCTAAAATTGCCACGTTGGCTTTAAAAGTAAAAGAGTGTTTTTAGAGTAAAAGTTATTATTATAAATTAATAATAAATATAATAATATTATAGACATAATAATGAATATAGTATTAATATAATAATGTTTTGTTCTCTCTGTTTCAAAATCTCGAAAGAAAATATAAATAATTGTTTTTTAATTTTTTCATTAAGAAAAAATTTCTTTTTTTTCTTTTTTTTAAATTTTTATTATTTTTTTATTGGGGGAAACTTTGTAATCGTTTAATTTATAAAATTTTTAAGAAAGCTGTAAACAAATTTTCCTCTATATAGACTGTGTTATATAAGACCCTGAATAAATGTCCGTATGTGTGTGTGTGTTTGTGGATCCCGTTTTTGTGAACACGATAACTCGAAGAGGTTTCAACGAATTTGGCTAAAAATTGATAGATATATTTATTATAATATTTCGAAATAGATTAACGAACTTTGAAAAATCCTCAGAAATTTTTTTTTTTAATTTTTCATGTCGGATATTGAAGTTAATATATAATAAAATCGTATTCCTTGCATCAAGACGAATCGATTAATGTATATAAAGTATATATATGGGACGTTTAACGTCAAACGGCCCAAAGCTGTACCCAAAATTGTGTGCAATCAAAATACAAGTTATATATACGAATCTGAAGTCAGATTTTCAAAATTTTTTATTCAAATTTTTTAAAATTATTTATCAATGATTTTTTGGAATTATTTCAATTTTTAATCGATATATATGGGTCAAAATTCCTCAACTGTCCAGATCAAAAAATGAATTTTCTCGAAACTTTGCTAAAATGTTAGAGCGTAGTACCGACAGAAATAGGCCAAACTTTGGTTTTCATGATTCAGAATATTCAGAAATTAACATTTTTTAACATTTATTGCATTTATTTTTAGAGAAAGGGGTTACCTAACTTTAGGCAAACACACATTTAAAATTTTTTAATTTTAACATATTGTTTAATAGAGGTGAGCAAAAAGCTCGAATAGCATGGTCGAGCTCGAGCCGGGCTCGATACTCGAGCATTATAAATTTTTTAGTTACTCAAAAATATTTGAGTGCTCGAAAAATTCAAGTGCTCAAAATTATTTTAGCTTTTATACTGCACGTGTCGGATGGAATTTGGTTCAAGTTCGGATTGATTCTACTCAGCTCTGCTAGAAAAACGAAAAGCTTGAAAATACTCGATCGAGCTTTTTGCACAGCTCTATTGTTTAACATCTTTATGGAAAAAAGAGAAATTTTCGATATCATGATTTTGTAGACAGAAGTGGGCCACCTAAGTTTTTCATCTAAAATAAGTACAAAAGGATGAAGCACTATGATTTTTTATGTTAAATGAAAATTTTTTCAATAAATAGTATTGTAAAACTAAACACAAGCAGTGCATTTCGAAATTTTATTAATTTTTATTTGATTTATAGTATAAAGTAATTTGTCGTAGTCAATGAGTTTATAGCCAGAATCGGTTTAGCCTTTCTTGATTGCTAAAAAATTCAAATTCATTCATAGAACCACTTTATTAGTTTATAACAAAATCACTAAGTGTCGAAACGGAAAGTCAATGCAGTGGCCCACTTCTGTCCACAAGCTTAATTTGACGAGAAATAACGTGGCCATAACACCTTGCAACAATATAAAAGTCTCTTTAAATTTTTTAAGGTTAGGTCTGATACTATAATAAAATTTGACTAAAATCAAAATATGTATACAGATTGTGAATAAATATTTAGTGATGCCTACATAGATATTGAAAAAGGCATTTTAATAGAAAAAACAAATACACTGAAGTCTTGGTTATACGGAATGTGATGGCGCTGAAACGGGATGAGGGGTGAAGGGAAGGGTCGTGCTTGACTCGATGATGTCAGTAGCGCACCTATCACTGGATCCTTTTTTCCCCTTGATATAACCTAACCTCAAAATTGTTAGTGAGCTATCAGACAATATTAATTAATTTATTTATTTATTTGTCTACAAATGTAATTTAATAAATTCAAATTATCAATTTTACACTATATTAATAAATTTCAAAGATATAAAAAAATTAGCAGGCGATTCTATTTCAACCGAGGGCAAAAAGAATCTTCGTACTGTCCTGCATATTTATACTTTTTCGTCAAGGTGACCTATTTGGATTATACGGACACACACCCGAGTTGTCCGTATAACCAAGACTTCAGTGTAAAGAAATAAGAATTTAGGAAACTGTCGCTGTATGCTTAAGGAGGTTCTATCGCTTGACGCAGCTAGTCAAAACAGTGACAAACATTTAATGATTTGACTCACTTGGTAACGTAAAACGTTTGGCAACGCCGAATTATTTCTAACCTGTGATGAAAATTATCATTTAAATTTCGCGCTCAAATTTAATGTGTATAGTGCATGCAACGTTGCCAATCGTTATAAGTGTTGTTAATATTATCAGATGAAACGTAAATTTTGTTTACAAATTGATTTATTGTAAATCTCACAGGTACCTATTGACAATTGTTTTTACAGATATATAATTATTGCATATCGGTTTAGTATTTAAAAAATTTAGAACAATATCTGTTCATTTAATACTTTGCAGTATGTAAATATATATGACAAATTACTCAATTTCCATAAGACTCAATGCATGTTAAATGTTGAAAACCAAAAATGTTTATAACTTTTTTCATAGGTACCTAGAGGTCACAAAAATTTAACTATACGCCTTTATATTAACTTTATCTAGCTGCTCATCAAGTTTTATCAAAATCTGTTCATTAAATCAATTATCGATAGAACCTCCTTAACGGTGTTCGATGGTCTCTGAAATTTCTAGATTATATTCGACAGGACAAACTGCTATCACCCAACAAATACGGCACTGTTTGGTTTAAATCACGTGAAATTGGTAAACAATCATTTTCGAACGAGTTTTTCTCTGCACACAAGCACTTTTTGCAAAATCTGAATCCGAACCATTGACACAAATTTTCTTAATTACGTAAATCCAAAATATTTTTTTAATTCTTGAAGAAACGCGATTGCAAAATGGGAAAGGCCAAAGTAATAAATATTGTGCTTAGGCCTTTAAGGCCTAAGCACAATAGGTTCGCAAAAGTCGTTCGCGAACGCAAAGAATGAGTTAGAAAAGGACAGAGATATATTTGTGTCCTTGTCTATCTCATGCGTCTCGTTCGCGAACGACTTTCGCGAACTTATTGTGCGTTGGACTTAATGCGAATCATTTTAACAGCTGAGCCTTTACGCTTCCTGCATGTTTCTGCCCTCTAATGGCAAATGACTGTAACAAACGTCTTGCCGCCTGTGGGACGCATGATTATTCCCCAAATGTCATTTTTCCGAAATGTCATTTTACCGAACTGCACTTTTGCGAATAGTCATTTTTGCGAAAAGCCATTTTTGCGAAAAGCTATTTTTGCGAATTATCATTTTTGCGAAAAGCCATTTTTGCGAATAGTATTTTTTGCGAAAAGTCATTTTTACGAATTTTCATTTTTGCGAATCGCCATTTTTACGAATTGTCACTTTTGCGAATCGACATTTTTACGAATCGCCATTTTTACGAATTGTCACTTTTGCGAATCGACATTTTTACGAAATGTCATTTTTGACAATAGCCATTTTTGCGAAAAGTAATTTTTACGAATTGTCATTTTTGCGAAAAGCTATTTTTGCGAATTGTCATTTTTGCGAAATTTCATTTTTGAGAAATGTCATTTATGCGAATTGTCACTTTTGCGAATCGACATTTTTACGAATTGTCACTTTTCCGAAAAGTCATTTTTGCGAATTGTCATTTTTTCGAAAAATACAATAGTTAACTTGTAGTATATATAGATTCACTATTGGTTTTTTCGCAAAAATGTCAATTCGCAAAAATGACTTTTCGGAAAAGTGACAATTCGTAAAAATGGCGATTCGCAAAAGTGAGAATTCGCATAAATGAAATTTCTCAAAAATGAAATTTCGCAAAAATGACAATTCGCAAAAATAGCTTTTCGCAAAAATGACAATTCGCAAAAACGACAATTCGTAAAAATTACTTTTCGCAAAAATGGCTATTCTCAAAAATGACATTTCGTAAAAATGTCGATTCGCAAAAGTGACAATTCGTAAAAATGGCGATTCGTAAAAATGTCGATTCGCAAAAGTGACAATTCGTAAAAATGGCGATTCGCAAAAATGAAAATTCGTAAAAATGACTTTTCGCAAAAAATACTATTCGCAAAAATGGCTTTTCGCAAAAATGATAATTCGCAAAAATAGCTTTTCGCAAAAATGACAATTCGCAAAAACGACAATTCGTAAAAATTACTTTTCGCAAAAATGGCTATTCTCAAAAATGACATTTGGGGAATAATCATGCGCCCCCCGCCTGTCATTACATTACTTTTGTTGCTTTTGTATTTCCCATTTTGCAACCGCGTTTCTGCATAGATTAAAAAAATATTTTGGATTTATTAGGTAATTAAGAAGATTTGTGTCAATGGTTCGGATTCAGATTTTGCAAAAAGTGCTTGTGTGCAGAGAAAAACTTGTTTGAAAATGATTGTTTACCAATTTCATGTCATTTAAACTAGGCAGTACCGTTTTTGTAGGGCGACAAGTGTAGGTCGCACATAACCTACAAACTTCAGAGACCATCGAACGCTATGTAATATACAATAAGTTATTTCATACTATGAAGTTGACAACATAATCATAATTTTTCAAAATATTATAAAATTAAAAAATGTATAATTCTAAGTTATCATTTTTTATTTTTCAGTAATAATATCCAACACCATTTGTAAATCTTTCTTTAGATAAAGATTACTCATCAATCATGATTAGAATAGCAATAATCTTTATGCTATCTTCACTGACTAATGGTGATAACCATAAAGATTACAAATTGGATTTGAGTACAGTATATAATTCTCTCTTAGAAGTGAATTTGTATATGAGCAGACAAATTATGGAAAATGATTCGGCAATTTTCTTTGGTAACACAAAAGGTGGAAGAAGTACACTTATTAATTACATAATGGGCAATGAATTATTTGGTGTAAAGCAGTCGATATATAATCCAATAGAAATAATAGCAAGAAATGAATCCATTGGACCAAAAATTGGAAGAGGATCATTAACAGAGACTTCAATCCCCTCAAGTTGGACTTCGAAATTATTACCTAATTTGACTCTCTGGGACACTCCTCCGTTTGACGACAATAGAGGAGCAGTACGTGACATTACTAATTCCTTTTATTTGTATAATCTGGTGAAAAGGGTTAAATCTCTAAAAATAATTCTAGTTGTTGACATTAACGATATTACACAAGATAATACTCAACAGTTTATGTCTCTTATCACATCAGTTGAAACTCTTTTTGGTAATGGGTTTGAAAACTATTTTAATAGTACAACAGTCATTTTTACAAAAGTACCTACCACTACTTATGATGACCAACCAATTGATAATGAATACATAAATTATCATTTAGAAAATCATTTGTTACTCGACACAGGATTGAAATGGTCCGAAGTTTTGAAAAGATTTATAGAATTTATAATACATAATAAAGACCGAGTTGCACTTTTCAAGAAATTAAATCATCCAGATAATGTAACTAAGGATATCGATGATAATATATTTCCGGCTATTCGTAACTCTGAAAGCATAAATAGTAGTTCTCTTCAAAACGTACGTCCAAGAATATCAGCTGCTTCTATGCTAGAATTGTTTAAAACCAGGCAGACATTGCAGACAAGGTTAATTGTTGAAGGTACAGAAAAATTAATGTTAAAGAAATTAAATGACACGATGGATGTTTTGGATAAATTAAACAATGAGATAGATAAAAATAACATAACTGCAATAAAGACAAATTTAACAGAAGATTTGAATAAACTTACTCAGTCTTTGACTTATGAAAATAATATAACAAATAAAGTAGATAGCTTCATTGCCATTGATTCTGGCCTTAATGTCACTGAAAAGGAGAATTTGAAAAGAAATGTAGAACTAATACAAAAAGTTGCAGACCTCTTAAATGTTACTATAAGTAAAGCATTAGAGTTTACTGTGGACTCTTATTTGTTAACCTTAAGCCTAAAATATGAAGCAGCGATTTCACTAGCTGATGTAAAATTAGGCATTATATCAGAACAAGAATTTTTGGATAGAGAGAAACAAAAAGAAAAGCTAGCTCAAAATATTAATATAGCAAAAGAAAAATTAAATGAATTGGATAATACTGGAGACAGTAATATATTGACTAACATTCTTGAAAAAGTGGAAAATTTGTTTAGTAAAATAAAATCATGGTTAATTTCCAGGGGGGGGGTTTGGAGGTTCAAATCCTCCCCAAAATTTGGAGAAAACATATTTGTTAAAGCCTAAATTTCTAATTTTATTCTGAGTACACCTCTTATCAAATTCCATAACACCCCCCCCCCCCGACATTTTTTTTGGCTACGCTCCTGTTTACTTCCAATAAAGGCAAGTAAAAGGGATGTATCGTTCTTAAATAAGTGATAGGAAAAGCGAATGTGAAAGTCAACAACTCCATTGTGAGGCTTTTCTATGTATTGAATTATCAGGACGCCAGTCATTAGCAGAAGTTTTCACTACTTACAAATCTAAAATTATATCTTTAAAATTGAGAGTAGCAAACCCAAATGTAGGAAATAAATATAATATCTTGAAATATTTTACATATTCGTCACATTTGCTTGAAACTCATTTGTCGAGTGTATTTGAATTCGCTGATTACGCATCTAGCTGCAAAAAGTTTTTTAATTTGACAAATATATTCTAACAGATGTTTAATGCATTATGCCTTATACGCTCCAGTCACAGTTTTCAATCAAATTGAATAGGTCTTCAAATTTTTCTCGCCATATTGAATATAAGCTATTTTGAATTCCGTAACTCTTATGTCAGATTTGTAGTCAAAGAACCAAAAAAACTCCCGCATAAAAAGTTTTAAGCAAAAGAAATCAATTTTTAATTTTTTTTCGCTATATTGGATTCACTATTCCTAATTTTGAAAGTCTGATCTAGGATTTGTAAACAATAAACCTAAAAATTCTTCAAATTATCAGTTTCACGCCAATCCAATCACTTTTCTAAAACGTTTCCTCGCAAAGGTGCAATTTATTTTATGTTATGCAAAACTTATACTTCTTTAAGAGAAAAATTTAAGTAAAAAAAAATTATTTTTACAAGATTTGCAATGAATAATGAATTAATTTAGATAAGGTAAAAGTTGGTATTACTGTAAGCGAATCCACCCAAATAGCACAGTATTTAAGTTAAATATTGATTCCATTTTTCCACGAAAAATTGAAGAAATATTGCCTTGCAATATTAAGGCAACATTGTCTCACAATGTTTAAAAATATAATATTATAATTATTACAATATAATTTTATGTGACAGGGAAAATTAAAAGGGACCTACGGTTCGAAAAAGTCAATTTTTTATTATTTAGTGATTCTGATAGAAAAAACTTATCTCAATCAGAATCACTAAATAATAAAAAATTGATGTTTTCGAACCGTAGGTCCCTTCTAACTTTCCCTGTCACATATAATAATGTATAGTAATTTATTATATATTTTTAATTAATTATTATATATTTTAAATTGAAGGAATTAATCCATTTCCAATTCTTATCTGAAGAGGCCTAACGTAGTAGGGTAAAACCTAATGCATTTATAAAAAAAAGGAATAAATAATTGCACGAAAACGTTTTTGTTCTAGTAACGTTGCTAAAACGTTGGCGTTTTTATAACGTTTCATGTCCGCTACATAACGGCTTAAGAACGTCCAATGTTCTAAAAACGTTTTAGATACGTTTCTAGCACAAAGACGTTTTCGTGCCCAGAGAGTGGATTATATTTTAAACCAAAAAAACAAAAATCATCTAAATTTAAAAAAATTTAAAAAACTTTCAAATCTATTATATTTTATTATATTATAATATTACCAGGCAATGTTGCACAAACATTGTCCACCATATAAAAATCAAATGTTGTGCTTTTTGGGTATAACTATAATTACTCTTCCTATGTATGGAGTTTGATTAAGAAGCTCTACTTTTTTATCGTAAAATATTCGTACAATATTCATTTTCATATAATACGTGTAGAATAAACAATTTTTGAAATTTCTAGCAGCGCAAAGTTTGGAACACAATCTAATATCAACATTTGCTGGTTTAAAAATAAATGTTTTTAAATCATTCAGATCCAAGAAGCTTCTAAGATAAATACATTTTGCAGTAATAATTTTAATGGAATTTTAATAAGACTTTGTATAAATACAATTTATATTCTGCTTATAGATTTTGCATTTATTATTGTAAAGTTTATTTTTCTTAAGCCTGGTGTGTTTTAGATCGAATATGGAGCAACAAATAGAATTCATAAATGTTACTACCCAAAATATTAAAAAGTTTCTTATATGCTTTTATAAAGTTTCAGTTTCTATTGTATAATATATAATATTAAAAACGTTGCATTTACGTTCCTAAAACACTTAATCTTGAAATGTGTGTGTAATAAAATTATGCTTAATTGCAGTAAAAAGTCAAATTGAGATTATTATTTATACCTTTCATTTTAACTTTAAAATTTCGACCACAAAATAAGAGTCATATTTTAACTTCAAAGATTATGTAAAAAATGTGCCTTTAAGAGATATACCTCTAGATTAAATCGAAGAGGAATTGCAAACTTGTTGCAACTTTTGAAAAAATTTTTCTTAACTTCAAAAAATTTTATTTAATCTATTTATTCTTCTAATATTTGCGAATTGATATTTGTAGAGTTGAACATTTTCGGTCGGTTGACAATTAAATACCATTATTTAAATAAATTCATGATTTACATAATGTGAATTATTATTAATCAAGAGGACATCCAGAAAGGCAATAGAGTCATTCACTCTGTAGTAATTATGTTATAAAATTTTCCATTAAATTTAAAAAAAATGTTTTTCATTAAAAATTCACAAGAACTCAATAGAAGATCCAACGGAATGTTGTAGGGTGGAAATGGTAGCGTATCGTTTTTCAATGTCATTATGTTGTTTTACAAAAAGTTTGGTGTTGTTCAATTTGTTTGTTAAAATTCAATCCTGTATTTTTGTGTGTTTAGTTTTGTTACGAGTGTGTACTTTAATATTATCAAGGACATTTGATCTTATATTATCAGCAATATTAGTATTAACCATATTTTGATTGACATTTTATTAATCTGTTTATGATAAAATTAGTATATGTTACTATAAAATTAATGTCATTGAAGAAAAGCTTTTGTAATGATCTGAATTGGCGTACTCTCTCCCCTTCCGATGTTGAAGAAAATTTTCAGAAGTGATTTAGTATCTACTAATTTAGGTATCACTTAAATTGAATTGTAATTATATTCTAAAACAATCATTACAAGATTTTTTCTTTTTCAGAAATAATAATTTCAGAATAAGGCTAGGTCTATGGTCGTTGTCAGTTAACACTTATCCATACTTTGAAGCTTTTCCTGTTTTCACGCAAATACATGCAAACTTTAATAGTAATACTCTTCAAAATGACTTTGCTGTTATTCAAATTGATAGACCAATACCATTTGCTAATTATGTTAGTATTAACACTGCCTGCCTTCCAACTTCTGTCCCAGCTGCTGGCACAAGGTTTGTATTTATGTTACATAATTTTACTAAATTTACTACATTGAAATGAATTTTTTCAAAATTTATCTAACAAATCATTAAATTTATTATTTTGAATTTTTAAAATTAATTACAAAGGTAAAAAATTTATATTTATCTAAAGAAAGTTCTTAAACAAGAATGTATTTTTGCAGATGTTGGACTGCTGGATGGGGAGTAAGTTCCTTTAACAATGGTCAATATCAAAATGTGCTTACACAAGTCCAAGTTCCAATTGTAGAAGCCACAGCGTGTCAAACTAGATTACGAGGTAGCAGACTTGGTATCTATTTTATCTTCGATGCAGTAAGTTTCATATGTGCTGGAGGCGAACCTGGAAGAGATGCTTGCACTGTAATTCAACTTTTAATAATAATCTTAAATTCAATGTCTGAAATGAAGCAGAAGGATAAAGATACTTTAAATCTTTAGTAAATCCTGAAGAATCATTTTCTTATGTGACTTTTAAACTCTTCTTCTCCATATACTATTTTTTAGGGAGATGGTGGTGGAGCCCTTGTCTGCGAAGTAGCTACAAATCAGTTTCAAGTTGTGGGTTTAACATCGTGGGGAGTTGGTTGCGGACAGACACTTGTTCCAGGAGTATATGTTAATATATATAATTATCTGACCATTATTAGAAATTACGTATCCGTTACTGATAATGCTGGATGAATGCCATTAGACTATAAATTTTATTATTAATGAACTTTGCAAAAAATGTTCTATTAAAGGAGTAAGAAAAAATTGTGTTAATTTGTAATCTTTTGCAAATATCAAGCGCATCAAGTTTGACTATATTTTAAGAAGAGAGTTTTCAAAAGATACATTTCTTAGATCATACAAATTTAATGAGCACAAAAACAAATTTTCACTTCACCATGAAATATTCCTTAATTTTCAACAGAATTATTATCACGGTTCATAATTCCAGACAATGTTATATTTAAGTAAAAAAATAAAATGAATATTTTTAATTTTTTAATTTAATTTGTTTATTTTTTAACTCAAATTCGAGAAGACATTCATCTGTTTCAAATATGTGTAGACAAGAAATTATCTTAAGCCTTTCACATCTGGGGACAAAATGTCTTAAACTAAGACAATTTAAAGTACACTATTTATGAAAATTTTCTGGCCTCATTATTATTCATTCTCCATGTTATTCCACTTACAGAAAGATCACTAAATCATGAAATAATATTCTGGGAAATTCTAATGGAACCCAGAAAAGTGTCGTGCAGATAAGGGAAGATCTAATTACGATAGGAAACAATTTTCATTTCCACCTATGTATATGCTTCAATGTACATTGTATTGTGTCAGAAAAATAATTTACTAGCAAGGAAGGTCGAACATATTATTCCTGTCGCAGCTCATAATTCGAGATAATTTTACGTTTAAATTGAAAAAAGGGACAAATGAAAACGCAGATTATATAGAGATGCATCTATGCATAATTTTTAAGTTTAACATATTTTTTCCAAATAAATATAAGAAGATGACAAATTTCAAATTTAAACAGTTTACGAACATGTTGCAAAACTATTTATACTCTTAATTTTTAATACATAAAAATATGTAAATTTAAAAAATTAAATATATGAATAAAATGAACAGGTATATAATTGTTCTGTTAATTTATTTTCCATATCAAAATGTTATCGGTCAGATTCCTCCAATTTTCGGCTCACAAAATCCAAATTCTCAACAAGCACCAGTGTTTGGATCTCAAAATATAAACGATTTATGTAAGTATTAGAAAATATTTTCTTATATAACTTTGTTTTTATTATAATAATTTTATCAACTTTATGAATGTTCAATATTTTCAAATTAGAATGTTTTTACTAAAAAAATATAATGTAACAATTTTTGAATGATTTGCCAGTAACCGATATTAATTATTTTATTATGCAGCGTCCCTTATTGGCAGTGATGGTAGACAACTCCTGAGTCCAAGCAATCAATGTTACTGTGCGTTAACATCAGCATGCACTGGAATAACTTTATTACCAGGAAGATTCAACTTTAATAATCGAATTATAAATACAGTAAGTAAACATGTACAATAATATTTTTAAACAATTAAAATATAAAATAATAGGTATACATGTATCGCTAAATGTTCCTAAAACGTCTTCATAGTATGACGTTATAATAAAAGAAATTAAGTTACAATAAAACTTTCTTTTGCATTCTATCTTCTAATAACTATGAAAATTTTTAAATATACTAATTATTGAATTGTCAAATTATTTCAAAGGGTCCAATAAGTGCTGAATCATGTCCAACTAATTATGTACTTTGTTGTTCGGGAGTACCACAGCCAACGAATCCTGTATGTGGTAGAAGGAAAGTAGCCTTAACAAGTACAGTGGCAGATGTAGCTCCATATGGAGCTTATCCATGGCATGCTGCAATATTTCATCGTCTAAGTGACCAGTACATTGGCGCAGCAGTTGTTATTACTTCAACTTACCTAATAACAGTTGCACACAGAGTATACGATCTGTAAGAAAAAAATTAAACGATTTTAATAGAAATTATTGTAGATTTGCATGAGGCCTAAAATTTCTTGAAATCCATACTTTGATTATTTTAAATTCCACAACATGGAACTTGAAAAAATGAAATTATTTTACCATTGAAATGATTCAGAATTGAGTGATATTTGTATACATTTTAATTTTTTTTTTAATAAAGCTATTTTTAAAGGGTGACTAATTAAAAACCTATTCTTTTTCAGAAATAATAATTTCAGAATAAGACTAGGTCTATGGTCGTTGTCAGTTAACACTTATCCATACTTTGAAGCATTTCCTGTATTCTCACAAGTGCATGGAAACTTTAATCTTAACACTCTCCAAAATGACTTTGCTGTTATTCAAATTGATAGACCAATACCATTTGCTAATTATGTTAGTGTTAATACTGCCTGCCTTCCAACTTCTGTTCCAGCTCCTGGCACAAGGTTATTTTTTTTAATATGAAGTTTCACAATTTATTTAATAAAATATGTTAATGTATCTAAAATTATTTAAATTCACTTATTTGCAGATGTTGGACTGCTGGATGGGGAGTAAGTTCCTTTAACAATGGCCAATATCAAAATCTACTTAAACAAGTTGAAGTTTCAATTCTTGCACCTGCAATGTGTCAACTAAGATTACGAAATAGCAGACTTGGTGTTTTTTTTAACTTTGATGCTGCAAGCTTCATATGTGCCGGAGGCGAACCTGGCAGAGATGCTTGCACTGTAATTTAACTTTTAATAATACTCAGTTGCATCATTAATTATAATTATATAATGTAATGAAGGATTGGTAGACACCAACACTTTTAATATCGACCAAGTTGTCAACATTTTTAAATCATTGAATAGACAATCATGTGGCTGAGGATGTTGGGGGTTATAAAATGTCGGGGCTATATTGAATTATTCGAAAATCATATTTCAGACCACCTTATAATACAGTAGAGACTCCATTATCCGGACCCCTATTATCCGGATATTCGATTATCCGGACAAATTTAAAATAAAAATTTTTTTTTTTAATATAAAGTTTATAAGGTCTCAAGCCATTAATTAACTTCTATTTTAAATTTATTTACACGAAATGTTGCGTTTTAAAGTGTTTTAATTATTTTAAGAAAATGTTTATATAAATATTTTGAAATATTTCTAACTAAATATTTATTAATGTTGACTTTAAAAGTTTTAGTTTGTTTCAGTCTTATTTTAATACATATGCAAATAAATACATAAAATTATGAATCAAAAATTTGTTTAATTCGTACTTTACTCGATTATCCGGATTTTTGATTATCCGGACAAGTGCCTGCATCCATTAGTCCGGATAATGGAGTCTCTACTGTAATCTTTTATTTTAGGGAGATGGTGGTGGAGCCCTTGTCTGTGAAGTAGCTACAAATCAGTTTCAAGTCGTGGGATTAACATCGTGGGGAGTTGGCTGTGGACAAACACTACTTCCAGGCGTATATGTTAATGTTTATAATTATCTAACGCTTATTAGAAATTACGTATCCGTTACTGACAATGCTGGATGAATGCCTTTAGACTATAATATTTATTATTAATGAACTTTGCGAAAAAATGTTGTATTAAATCTGTTCCTTATGCTCGGGCATATCATATTTAATTGAGAATAGAAAATAATTGTTTTTTATGCCATTGGAGAACAAAAATTCTGTATATCAAGGTATAAGTGTCCATAATTTTGGAATAAGATTTAGTAATTGGTAGTTGATGACCTCTAACTCTTATCAGTATTTTAAAGCATTTACTTTCACATTATTAAATAAAAATTTTAATAAAAACTTACCGCAAGCATTTGTAGGAGATATTTAAGTTATTTCATTCACATTAATCTACTATAAACATTTTTTTTTATTTCACGTTGATTTTCTTAAATTTCAACTGCTTAATTTAATTATTAACCTATTAGTAAAATATGAATTATTTGGATATTATTAATTTATTTCAGTTGTATGCTGTGGTTGTTAATACTCACAGTATGGTATACATCAAGTGAAATTTTATTCTGGGAAAATAAAATAGAAACGAGAACAGTTAGTGTACACGTTAGTGTAGGTAAGAAAAAAATCTAATTAGAAGAGGAAACAATTTTTAGTTTTACCTATACTTCAATATACACTATATATTGTTGCAGAAATATAATTTGCTAGCAAGGAAGGTCGAACATTATTTTTGTCGCGGCTCATAATTCGAGACAATGTTATATTTAAATTAAAAAAAAGACAAAAAAGGTTTTTTTCTTTAGTTTACTTTTGTTTGTTTTTTAATTTGAACGTCACATATGTAGAGCTTATATGGGCATAATTACAAAATTTTTACGTTTAACACATATTTGAAAATAAATATAGTATTATAACTAACTTTAATTATTAAAAAGCTAACCTACGTATTTAAAAGTAATTCTGCTGTTAATTCAGAACAACTTAAATAAGTAAATATCTCAACATACAAAATGAACTACTATATATTTGTTTTAATACTGTATTTTCGATGTGATAGTGTTAAGAGTCAGATTCCACCAATTTTTGGATCACAAAATCCTAATTCTCAAGGACCACCAGTGTTTGGATCTCAAAATATAAACGATTTAAGTGCGTATATAATATATTTAGGAATTAATAAGATTTTCTTAAATCCAGGTACCTGTTCATACATTCTAATTGTAAAAATCCTATTAACTTTGAGATAGTAATAAATTCATTTCCGAATACCTACAATATAAATATTTTCGAAAATGATATCTTGAATTACGAACCTGATTCAAAAAAATAAAGAACTGTTATTCTATTTTACAGCAAACGTAATTGGCAATGATGGTAGACAACTCGTCAATCCTAGTGATCAATGTTATTGTGCACTGATTGCTTCTTGCACAGGAATACCATTAATACCAGGGAGGGACAACTTTAATAATCGTATTTTAAATATTGTAAGTCAACATAAACAGACAAATACAAAAATATTTGACTGGTTTTAAAAATTAGGGATAATAGTCTTCTAAGAGTATTAAAAATACACTCGAAGGCTTTAAAGTCTTACGACAGTTCCGAGGGTGAGGACTCCAAAAAAATTCATATAATAGAAGACTAATCTTCATAAGATCACTTTCCTTATACAACACTAATAACTAGAAATAATAAATTATAACAATTAATTTAAAAATTTATTTCAAAGGGTCCAATAAATCCTGATTCATGTCCAACTAATTACGTACTTTGTTGTTCGGGAATTCCACAACCTACTAATCCAGTATGCGGAAGAAGAAAAGTAGCTTTAACAAGTACAGTTGGGGATGTAGCTCCATATGGAGCTTATCCATGGCATGCAGCATTATTTCATCGACTAAGTGACCAGTACATTGGCGCAGCAGTTGTTCTTACTTCAACATACCTAATAACTGTAGCACATAGGGTAGTTGGCCTGTGAGTAAGAAAATTAATATATCTGTTAATGATTAAATTCAAAAACATTTTTAGTATTACGAAGGTATTTATTAAAAATATTTTCAGAAACAATAACTTTCGAATTAGACTTGGACTTTGGTCATTATCAGCAAACTCTTATCCGTACTTTGAAGCAAATCCAATTTTCTATCAATTGCATGGGAACTTTAATAGAAATACACTTCAAAATGATATTGCTGTTATTCAAATTGATAGGGCCATACCATTTGCAAATTATGTCAGCATTAATAGTGCATGCCTTCCAACATCTGTTCCTGCTGCTGGTACAAGGTTATATATGTCTGTTTATTAAAATAAACTATTTTCACAAATTTTTAATAACAAAAAAACAATTTACAAAAAAGAAGGCATTACTATTTTAACATTTCGCATGTTATTGAGATAGCTGGAGTAATAGTCACAAATTATCTAAGTAATTATTTATTTTTTGCAGATGTTGGACTTCCGGCTGGGGAGTAACTGCTTTTAATAGTGGTCAATATCAAAATTTACTAAGACATGTTGAAGTCCCAATTGTGTCACAAGCAGCTTGTGAGGCTAGTTTGCGAAATACAAGACTTGGATTTTATTTCAACTTAGATAGAACTAGCTTCTTGTGTGCTGGAGGTGAATCTGGTAGAGACTCTTGCACTGTAAGACAATTTAAATCATTTTATTATTTCTACACTCATACATCGTTCTATGGTTGTAACATTACATTACACTTTTCATATTTAAAAATTAATAACATTTTTCATTTTAGGGAGATGGTGGAGGTGCCCTTGTCTGTGAAGTAGCTACAAATCAGTTTCAAGTTGTGGGTTTAACATCTTGGGGAGTTGGTTGCGGACAGATATTTGTTCCAGGAATATATCTTAATGTATACAATTATCTATCTGTTCTTAGAAACTTTGTTTCCGTTACAGCAAATTCTGGATGAATGCTGTATATCTAAGTATAATATGTTATCTTAGATCTTTGTAAAAAATGTTCTGTCGTCAAAAGAACTAAATTTATAAGTTCGCTTTGTGATCAATAAATAATAAATTGTAACAAACAATAACTGTAAAATATGTTTTTTCAAATATACATTTTTATTAAAATAACATTACTTCCCGATCATTTACCAAACCCCTTTCCAATTTTAATTATTACTAAAGTTAAATCTGGAAAACATTAGGGATATGAGTGTAAGTTAGACGTAACATGGTTGTCGATAAACAATTATTAAATTAATTTTTCGTTAAAAAATAAGCTGCGTGAACGTGATGATTCAATTAATATAAGATTTACATAATCAAGTACAGATTTGTATTAATTGGTAATTGATAAAGTCTGAAAAGAATGTTTCACTGGTATTAGTAAATTTAATTGACATTCGAAACAATTTTTAAAAACAACTCTTTGTATAGTTATAAACCTTACGCACGAACGATATTTTATCTACATTGTAAAACAAAAAAAACACTTAAAATTGTTTTTCTAGGAAATTCTAACAGAAACGCGAAAAGTGACAGATAAAAGAAAATCTAATTAGAAAAAGGAAGCAATTTTTGTTTTTACGAAAAGCGAACTTTATACATTTTATTGAAAAGATTGCATTGTAGTGAAAAATAAATTGACAAGCAAGGAAGGTCAAATATTATATTTGTCGCGGCTCATAATTCGAGACAATGTTATAATTAAATTTAAAAAAAGGACAATAGAATTTTTTGTTTCATTTTTTAATTTAATGAACTTTTGTCTTTTTTTTAATATAAGCGTAACATATGTATATCCAGATTGTAAAGAGATCTGTACAAAATTTTGTATGTTTAACATATATTTGAGAATAGAAATAAGAAAATAATTTATTTTAAATTTAAAAAGCTTACGAACGTGTTTCAAAACATCAATAATGTAAAAGAAGTTAGCATAATTGTTTTAAAGTGTTTCAAAACAATTTGTGCTAATAGTTTGAAACATAAATAATTTCATATCTTGACATACATTTTATATAAAATGAACTACTACGTACTTGTTTTGCTAATCTATTTTCAATGTGACGGTGTCATTTCTCAAATTCCACCAATTTTTGGATCACAAAATCCAAATAATCAAGGACCACCAGTCTTTGGCTCTCAAAATATAAACGATTTAAGTATGTGACAACATTTTTTCAATATTTCATAATCAAACTAAAAAGAATTATTTTTTATCATCTTATAATAAATATAATAATAAGTTTATAAAATTATAAAAAAAAACTATAAATAACCAACCTTATTATATTATATAATAATGGTATAAAAAAAACTATTCTTTCCATCAATTTAACTAAAATCTTTAAATGATTATCTTAAAAATTTTATATATACCTATCTTCATACATTTTCGTAACTCCCGGTTACTTTAATCTAACGCAGAAAATATATCTTTTTAGTATATATTTTAAAAAAGCATTCATCTGTTTGAATTACGAACCTAATTGAAAAAAATAAAGAACTTATTTTATTTTACAGCAAACTTAATTGGCAATGATGGAAGACAACTCGTCAGTCCTAGTAATCAATGTTATTGTGCACTGATTGCTTCTTGCACTGGAATACCATTTATACCTGGGAGGGACAACTTTAATAATCGTATTCTAAATATTGTGAGTATATTTCAATATAAAAATACAACACTCTTCCGAATAGAAAGTTCATATTAATCAATTAATTTAATATAATTCAAAAGAGATATTTGTCTCAAATACAAATAGATATTCATGTACAGAAAACATCTTGTTAACTTTTGAAAATCACTTTCCTTACATAATACTAATTATACTTTAAAACTTAATAAAACATTAATTTTAAAAGTTATTTTTTAAAGGGACCAGTAAGTGCTGAATCATGTCCAACGAATTATGTACTTTGTTGTTCGGGAATTCCACAACCTACAAATCCTGTATGTGGAAGAAGAAAAGTGGCATTAACAAGTACAGTTGGAGATGTAGCACCATATGGAGCTTATCCATGGCATGCTGCATTATTTCATCGTCTAAGTGACCAGTACATTGGCGCAGCAGTTGTTATCACTTCAACATACTTACTAACAGTAGCGCACAGGGTTTTCGACTTGTAAGTAAAAAAAAAAAAAGTTTTATTATCATTAAACCAATATTCAACTATAAATAAAATTTGTAAAGACGCTTACCTCTGTAATCGAGACTTTTTTGTTATATCCCTCATGAATTTCTTAGATCTGTTGGGAAAATGATTAAGTATCCCTCCTATATTATATATTAATTTGAATCAATTTTTCTATTTCAGAAACAATAACTTTAGAGTTAGACTTGGACTTTGGTCGCTGTCAGTCAACTCTTATCCGTACTTTGAAGCTTATCCTATTTTCACACAAGTGCATGGATATTTTAATAGAAATACTCTTCAAAATGACATTGCTATAATTCAAATTGATAGAGCGATACCATTTGCCAATTATGTTAGTATTAATTCTGCCTGTCTTCCAACGTCTATGCCTGCTACTGGAACAAGGTTCTTATTTATTTATAAAAACTTTTATAGGCTTTACAGTCTGTCCTCTATTTCTCTAAAAGTCCCCTTTCTTTTAATTTTCGCCCCTAAACGTACCCTATTTTCTTCGTCCCAGGAAATCTATTATTTTCAATAATTTTTAAGTAATTCTGCACAAGAATACAATTATCTTGATAACCAACAAAATTCTCCCTTATAAAATCAATTAATTTTAAGGATAGCATAACACTTTTGCAGGTGTTGGACTGCTGGTTGGGGAGTAAGTTCTTTTAATAATGGTCAATATCAAAATCCAATGAGACATGTTGAAGTTCCTATTGTGTCACAGGCAACGTGTGAGGCTAGTTTGCGAAATACAAGACTTGGATTTTATTTCAACTTAGACAGAACTAGTTTCTTGTGTGCTGGAGGTGAATCTGGTAGAGACTCTTGCACTGTAAGACAATTTTTAATAATATGTAATAATTTTTACAGTCATTTATGTATTTTCTACACTTATATATTGGGATCTCTTGTACTGTGAAACAAGAAATCCCAATAGCAAGTTGTTGTTATAGTTCAATGTTTAAAAGTTAATATTTTATTTTAGGGAGACGGTGGTGGTGCCCTTGTTTGTGAAGTGGCTACAAATCAGTTTCAAGTTGTTGGATTAACATCGTGGGGAGTTGGTTGTGGACAGATATTTGTTCCAGGAATATACATTAATGTGTATTCTTATCTTTCTCTAATTAGAATGGTTGTTCCTGTTACAGCAAATGCTGGCTGAGTGCTTTATGTCTGAAAAGTATTTTGTCTCTGAATTTTTCAAAAATATTTTATAATAAACAAAATTTTAGTTTGTTTCGTGGTCAAACAAAATAACCAAAATAATAATTTAAAAAAGCCAGTTCAAGGTGATTCTAAAAATGAATAAATATTATTTATATCTTAAAATTTGCCTATATATTCAAACATCAACATAATTATTAAGGCATTAATTAAGTAAATAAAAACTATTTAATGTTTCATTCAAATTACTGCAGTTTCCTTTTTAGTCATGTTAATACAGAAAAGAAGTAATCGTAAAATAAATATTAACGTTTGTAATTATTAAAGCAGACGGTAAACTGAAGTTACATGTTCGTTATTGATTGTCTTTTCCTTGGAAACTGAATTTTAAAACATAAATATGTTTGCATACAAGAATCATAAAATTTTATATTTCCCTTTATCATTCTTGATGAAAAGTAGATTCTACAAATAGCATTCAATTTCATCTATTCTATTAATTTAGTATTTCATAAACTGAAACTGGAAAACAATGTTTTTTAACCGAATGTAAGTAAATATTTTAATATTTATTTATTAACTAAGTGTTCTGTCTTGAAAGAAATTTTCTTTAACATATTTATTTTTAATTTCACTTTGTAATTATTTATAATTCTTTACTTTTCAGCAAGGGTGTAAAAATTAAAATATACACTTTCATTTTTTTAACAATTATAAATGATCTGAAAGCACAAAAAGAAGAAGTAACATGGCAGAAATGTTTACATAACTACATAAAAAATGAATCTGGTGTTCATGAAACGATTTTCTTAATCGATGATAAACAAACTTTACCTCAAACAATTGATAGTTTCGTAAAGAATATTTATAAATCATTACCAGTAAAGGTATTCAACAATAATCAAAAAATGATTTCAAGTATGTCCAGTTTTAGTTCAGATTCAAGTCTCTTCATAGCAATAACATTTTTTGAACAAAGAAATAACTTTAATAAATTCACAAACTTAATTTCTTCGATTGCAAAAAATAAAAAACGTCCAAAGCTTTTGATGATTATTTACAAGAGGACAACTTCTAATAATTCAAAATCAACCTATCATAAGTTATTGCAATCAATGTGGTTAGATTTTATTCTCGATGCAACATTAGTCGAAGTATTAAGTGCTGAATTTAAAATTAAAACTAAATCAAAGTCAATAAAGAATTTAAGAAAAGAAAGTACATTGATGTATTACTACAATCCTTATTTAAATATAACAACAGAAAGCGATATAACTTTGAATACTGTATGGTTCCCTAAGAAGACAAAGAATTTGAATGAACATTTAATAAATATCGGATTTCTCAACTATCCTCCGGAAATTAGTTTAAAATTAAATAAATCTGGACACATTAATTCCTTGCATGGCTTTAGTGCACTGAAAATGACAACATTATCGCAAATAATGAATTTCCGCTTGGAGAAATCGTTCATTAGCAATTGGGGAACTCTAAGTTGCACAAAGAAAAACATTAAAGGTTTCTATCGTAAATTATTAAATAATGAAATTCAAGTTGCAGCTGTTGAACATCCTAGATATTCTCTGTGTGATAACAAATATTATGAATTCAGCAAAGGTACGAAGGTAATTCCAATTTCATTGGTTGTACCCGAAATAGCAAAAGCTGCAGAAGCAATGCACAGTTGGAAGATATTAGATGGACTCGCGGTAATTGGATTAGTAGCATTTATGTGGATAGTTTCTCATCTTCTTCATTTTGATCTTCGTGAATGGCATGCAATTTATATGATTCAATTAGTTCTCAATACAGCAACTCCACATAAGCCAACGAAAATAGAGGAAAGAATTGTATTTGCATCAATGATGTGGGCATGCTTTTTTCACTCATCTTACATTTACATGTCATTTACAGATTTTAGTCTCAATACTGAAGAGATATCAATGTTTCAAACAGTGCAAAATGTATTGGACTCGGAACTTGAAATAATAATTGATAATAATTACGCTGATATGTTGTATAATAATTCTGATGGTGATATAAGAAAACTTTTGAATAAAGCCAATAAAATGACGATTACCGAAGAAGAATGCATTACACAAATGGCGACAAATAAGAATTTAACTTGTGTGGCAAGAGAAGATCATGCACGTTTTATTATAGGCAATCTACGTGATAAATGTGGAAAACAATTTGTGAAAATTTTAGACGAAACTTTATGGATATTTGTGAGTAGTACATATTTAGCTCCAGCATCACCGTATGTTAAACGATTTGATTCAATAATACAAAGATTTATCGAAACTGGAATGGAGAAGAAATGGCATATTGTACCTTCGAACTCTTCGGATACAATAAATGAAGATGGGTCCTGCGCTTCAAACAAGTCGAAATTAGACCATGAATTAAATAATTTGCTTATTATTCTCGGGTTCGGATATATCACATGTACTTCAATATTCGTTGCCGAAATGATTATGCAAGTATTGTTAAAATATTTTAATAACCGATATCTTTTGACAGTAAGTAAAATATTTCATTAAAACTTTAGTATAAATATGTATATGTGACCTGGTAATGTAAAAGGGATCTTACATCGAAAATCAAGATTTCGAGAAAAACGTTTTTAAAGTTAACAACTTGATATCGATGCGGACAAAATATATAAATTGTTTGAATTTGCCTGAAACTTACTAAACGGGGGTTTTTGCAGTCGCTGATTAGGAATCTGGCGTCCGATTTTTAAAATTCAAAATGGCGGATCCAACATAGCGGTCAAAATATATAAATTATTTTAATTTACCTGAAATTTATTACTCAGGGGTTTTTGGGGTCTCTGATTACGAATCTGACATCGGATTTTTAAAATTCAAAATGGCGGATACAATATGGTGGACGAAATAAAAAACACTGAAAAAGTGAAAATTACTTTTTTCGAACCTAAGGTCCTTTTTAAATTACCAATATTGTCACATAAAAAGCTTTTATTGTATAAATATATTTCTTGTACGATGATAATGTAAAATATTATACTATTCAATATTCCATTAAATTGTGTTAATAAAATTATCTAACATACTATATTTAGTAAATTACCTAAGAAAATAAATAATTCATTATAAATTACCATTTAAATATTTTAATGAATTAGTTAAATTAAAATTCGAAAACTTAATATAAAAAAATTAAATAAGGCCTCGGATATTAGAACATTTTCGACTATTTTTCAAAAAAATGCGACTTTTTTCAACTATTCTTTCACATATTGCAATAAAATACTAGTTACTTTGTATAAAATACTACTTAAATTTAAAACCGTTTCAAATTGAAAATTTTAAACATTTTATTTTTGAATAATAATTTTAATTAAAAATTCTGAAGAACTTAGTTCTATAAAAAGAAAATTTTATTCAAATTTGTAAAAAAAATTAGTCTAATTTTCAAATATGCACTTAATTGGAAAATTTTCGAATAATATATTTATTTTATTTATTTACTTGTTTATTTACTCCTCTCTGACAGAAATTTTATTAGCATTTTCACTTTTAAAGTTAAAAAAAAATTTTTTTAAATAAAAATAAATAAATAAAAATATCTTCTCTACAACATTTAGAAGGGAAGTAGAAGAAACATTTTTGAATGTGAATTAAATTTGGTTTATTTAATAAAATTTAAATTTAAATTATTATTTATTTTATTTAACTTTTTGTCAATTAAAATTTCATTTTTGTCTCAAAAATTATAAAAAGTAATTTATCGAGCCTTAAAAGTATCAACTTATTTTAAGTAGTTATAATACCTAGAAATTTCTTTTTTTATATTGAAATATCCAAAATTATCGATAATTAAAAAATTGAATTGCTAGACTTTTGATAAGCCATATTTTTACAAATATTGATACGTTTGGCGTGAAATAGTAAAACTGTATTTTACATAAATTACATTATATTCTTTTTAATCCACAATAGTATTACAAGGAATAAGGCACTTTCGATTTTCTACAAAATACTAAATTCTTTTCTATCTTTTATTCATAATATAAATTTGTTTCTTCTTTAGAAGTTATCATATAAAAAAAATTCATATTTCTATTTTATTTAAAATCTAGTCTTAAAGTTGACATTTCCTTTACAAAAAAAATATTATCACTAGTGAAAATTAAAAATTTTTTTTTTTGGTAAAATTTTATTAAAAAGTTACAAGTTGAGTGAAAATCGAAGTTGTTTTTTTTTTCTTAATCTAGTGCCTTTTTCCTTTCATCTTATCGAGGCAATCACGCTCTAACTACCTTAAAGCTCTAAACAATAAATTAATACTATCAAAAAAATTGTTCTTGACGTTCAAGAAACAATTTATTTTCGTTGACAAAAAATTTTTTATTTTTATTTATAAATACGAACAATTGTTCTATGATTATGTACAAGATGCAGTGTAAAAGCGTCGCCTTATCTCAAAAGAAAAACTATTGAGTCTTATAAATTGCGACTAACTGCAAAACAGTGAAATATTTGGCTACAAAAAATCAATTAAAATTTTTAAATGACAATTTTATACGATAAAATGCATCTTCATTGTTTCGTATCTACAATTTAGTTTTTAAAAATGTGAAAGAACTACACAGTAAATTTTCATTTACAAATTTTTTTTCTATAAACCAGAAATTTTTGTCGAAAAATTGTAATTTTCTTAATGAATAAATTTTTATTATTATTATTATTATTGCATTTTTAGATTTTTACCTTTTTGATTTATAGAATCTGTGTAAATTAAATTATCTTCATCTAAAATTTTAAGCAAAATCGAGAATAATTTAAATTTACATTTCTTAAAATTAATCTTGCAAATGATTTTGATGTTTTCTTCTCATTCATCGAGAATGATTTTTACATCAAAAATCAAATAGCAACTTGTTTATAGAAAAATCGAAAAATCACAGTTTTATCATTTTTTTTTCGAACAAAATGAAACAAATCACATTTAAGTATTTAAATAACTTTTTCATTTTGTTTTTATCAGATAATAAATGTGCTTAAAATAAAGCAAAAAAAAAAAATGTAAACAATAATTATTGAAAGCCATAAAAAAAACCCCTTTTTGTTTATTGCACGGAAAATAATACGTATTTAATTTTAAAATCTTTTTTCCGCTAACACATAATTTTTAACGAACAGTTAATTATTAAAAATCAAGAAAAAGAAAATTAAAGAGAAAATTGCACACTCAATATTAAATTTCATTTGTTTGCAAAAAATTGTTTTCACTATTAAAATATCAAAATTTAAAAATTTTTAATATTGGCCTTCAGACGTAAAAACACAAAAAAAAAAATTATGTTTGTACAGCAGGACCGAAATTTAGTTATAAAACAATTTTTATTGTGGAAGATTTTTGATTTTCGTCTTTGATAAAAAAAAAGTCAAAGAAAATGGACCAATTCGTATTTAAATTAGTTTATAGTTCATTGGCTGATTTTTTAAAAATTTAGCATTTAACTTAGAAGACTGTAAAAAATTGTTGTCTCTCTCTCTCTCTCTGTCTAAGTGATGAATGTTTAAAAATTTGTATTTTGAAAACTAAAATAAATGTGCTTTGAAGAAAGGTTAGCAAAAAATTTGAGGTTATGTTTGTTATTTTTTAAATGAAAATCCACAAAATGATGATCAACTCTGACTACAATCCACTGATGTTTAAGTTTTTATTACGTTTAAAATAATTTATAAAAACTGATTGATTTTAGTTTTAAACAATTAAACAGAGTAAAAGTAACACAAACATAACCTTAAAATGATTTGCTTCTTAGGTACCTTTCTTCGGAGCGCGTCACAAATTGTGATGTGATGTACAACAAACATCTCGTATCACATTGTGAATTTTTTAAGTAAATTTTAAAATGTTGATAATTTTTTTTTTTTTTTTTAATAAAAAGCATCTGAAAGGATAATATGCTTATTCTGAAAAGTAGCAAAAATAAAACTGATTTGGTCCGCGAGATTTCGGTAGTGGAGGTAGAGTATCAATATGGTAATATTAAGTTAAAGGAGGCGCAGACGGGAGTGGAAGATGAGGCAGCTGGACGGAGTGATGAATTGCTGGTGGCGATAATAAATGGCCACGTTCCATTTCATTGACTTCTTGTTGTTCGGTTGAATCGACGCATGTTGTTGAGCGTGCCAAACTATTCCGCTGCCTACACATGTACGGCGTCTCTACTGGAGAAGGTGTTTCGCGACCCTTAACAAAGAAAAAATTATTTACTTTTCCAAAAACACACAAAATTTAAATAATACACTATCGGTCAAATTAAGGGACCATTCATTTTTCAAGTGAATGAAAAACTTTCTAAAACATAAATAAAAAAATTTTTTTTTTATTTTATGAAAGATGATAAAATTTTGAAAATTAACCGATTTGAATGATATTTAAATATGTTATAAATATAAATAACACAATTTAAAAAAAAAATTTATTTTTTTAACCCGTTGCCTGTTGGGTCGTGAAAAAAGATGGCCCAGACTGTTTCCGACCCAATGTTGGGTCGTGAAAGTTTTAGCAAAAAATAGAAATTTGTTATTTAAATTATAAAATAAATTCTTTTATATCATTATTCACATACTATAGATATCAATGATACTAGAAAAAGTAATAAATAAATAATTGTTTATTATTTTTAAGTAATATAACAATTTAAAAGATTTTGATGGACATGTTGGGGCACTAAAATGAATATTTTTCCAAACAGCGAAGGGATTAAAGATACACCACCAATTTTTCTTTTAAAAAATACCTCAGAATGTCCGCTTTAATGTATATTATATTTTCCGGATTTTTAAAAAATGTAATTTTTTCAAAAAAAAAGGCTTTTTTTGAAAAAAAAACTCATTTTTTTGGAAACTACTTAACCGATTTAAATGAAATTTAAATATGTTATAAACATAAGTAAGAAAATTTCAAAAAAATTTTAAAAAAAATAATTAAAAAATTTTTTTTTAAATTTTTTTGATTTTTATTTGAAAAATACACAACCAATTTTCTTTTTAAATAACCTTAGAATGTCCTTTTTAATATATATTTTTTCCAGATTTTAAAAAATTTTGTTTTATCAAAAAGCGACTTTTTTGAAAATTAAACCCAGAAAACTCATTTTTTTCGGAAACTACTTAAACGATTTAAATGAAATTTCAATATGTTATAAATATAAATAAGACAGTTTAAAAAAATATTTCAAAATATTTTTAAAAATCTTCTAAAGTAATTAATTTAAAATTTTTTTTTAAGTAACCTAGGTTCCGAAAAAAATGAGTGTTTTTGGGTTTTTTTCAAAAAATGTCGTTCTTTGAAAAAACTAGATTTTTCAAATTCTCGAAAAAATATATATTACAGAGGAAACTCTAAGGAATTTTCTAAATACAAAAATTGGAGGTGTAACTTAAAAAAAAGTGAAAAAAAATTTTTTTTTTAAATTTTAAAATTAAATTTTATAGAATTTTTTTTTTTTGAAAAAAAATTTGAAACATTTTTTTTAATTGTTTTATGTATGTTTATAACAAATTTGAATTTCATTTAAATCTGTCAAGTAGTTTCCCAAAAAAAATGAGTTTTTTAAAAGTTTTTTGAAAGTTTTGAGTCGTTTTTTGAAAAAACTACAGTTTTCAAAAATCTGGAAATTATATATATTGAAGCAGACAGTCTAAGGTATTTATTAAAAGAAAAATTAGACGTGTATCTTTAAAAAAAAAAAAAATCAAAAAAATTTTTGAAAAATTTTAAAACTAATTTTTTCAAAAATTTTGTTTGAAAAAAATTTTGAAATATTTTTTTGAAATTTTCTTACTTATGTTTATAACATAAATTTGAATTTCATTTAAATCGGTTAATTGTTAATTAAATTATTTTTAACAAAATCCAATTATTTTCTCAGCCTTTTTGTTTTTTTTTTTTTTTTTTTTTAGAAGAATATTATTCTTCTCTAAACCAATTATTTTTAATAATTAAATAATTAGTAACTAAATATATATTAAAAATTGCAACTAATTTCTACAGAATTGGAATTCAAAATTTTTCATAAAAATTAGTTTTACGGAATGAAAATTAAGATTTTCGAAGATTTTAATTTGAAACTTTTTCAAAATTCAATAATTTCAAAAAATTCATCCTATAATGAATCAAATGTTCAATTATTGTCTAAAATTTGAACTGAAATTCATTTTTAAATCCAATATTTATTAGAAAATTCTGCAAGAATTAAATTATTTAAATACAAAAATAAATAATTTTTTGAATAATTAAAAATGTTTCTAAAAATTTAATTCTTTCGACGAATATTAACAAAAATTTTTAAGAATAATTGGATTTTTTTAAAGAATTTATATAAAATTGTATTTAAAATATTTAAAATTCTGCGATGAAAATAATTGCTTTCCTTAAAAAAAATTTTTATTAATTTTTCCGAAAATAATTGAATCCCTCAGAAGTATTTTTAATATTTATAAAAATAATTGAATTCTTGCCAAGAATTTTATTGAAATTTAAAAAAAAAAAATTAAATTCGAGTGAAAAGTTTCATTATATTATTTATGAAAATAATTGAATTCTTGAGAAAAATTTTATAAAAAATTTTTTAAATATAATTGATTTTATTCGAAAACTTGTATCTATATGCAAATTCTATTTTAAATAATTAGATTTCAGTGAAATTTTTATTATTTATAAAAATAATTAAAATTTTTTCTTCAAAATATTATAAAAAAAAAAAAAATTTTTTTACAAATCTTATAAAAATAGTAGATTATTAAAAATCATTGAATTGCGAAAATTTTAAAAAAGAATTTGAAGAATTGAAAATTAACATTTTTACAATTATACTTTTTTTTTAATAATTTTTTGATATTTATTTACACTAATGTATTCATCGTTCAATTCTACTTTGAGGTGCTAACTTATAAAATTAGTTTTTGTAAATTCCAGCTCAACCTCCAAATTTTCTATTACTGCTTAGAAGATTAGTAGGTGAAATTTTTTACAGGATTTACTTTGGAAAATAATTGTATCAGGAATAGAATGTAAAAAAGTTTTAATAAAACTTAAAAATCAATATGAATATGAATCATTTACCTGAATTGTAATTAAAGAAGATCAAATAAATAACTACACTAAAAATGTAGTTATTTTGTGTTAGCCGATTGAATATTGAAATAAAAAACATGCAAACAGTGTTATGAAATTAAAATATAAAAAAGGGAATAAGTAATAGAAATTCAGATAAATAAAAATATTAAACAAAACTAAGAAGTAGAAATTCATTAATGAACATGCATGAAAAGTGGATAAATAATATTACAAACGAATAAAATATTAATTGCTAAACACCGGCGTTTAAAAGAAAATTCGATTTGTGTTTTTTTTTTTCAAAAGCAATAGTGTGCTTTAAAACATTTAATTTTCAAAAAAATTCTTGATTGAAATTTCAATACCCTTTAAATTTTTCCCCTTGAAAGTAAGAAAATAAATACAGATAATCATAATTTACCTATAACAATATCTGAATCAGAGCTGATACCATGTAAGCATTCACCAAAACACTTGGATTTTAGACAACTTAGAGTGGAATTTTCATTTCTTTTGGAGTTTTGCTAGGAAAATGGGACATTTTAAAGAGATAAAAGTTTCTTTTTAATATTTTGTTTAAACTAACCTGTTTCGATGGACCACAACAAGTTGCATGATTGCATGGTTTATCTGTCTTCGGACAATCCAAAACACAGTCTTCTGTAGGAGTTTCCTTTATTTCACTATTACTTTGATACTGTAAGAAAATATAATAATAAATTCTCTTTCCTTAATTAACAAAAATAAAAGTTAAATTCAATAAAGTTAGAGATAACACATAACAGGGCTCGAATTAGGTCCGTAAATCCCGTAAAGTTTCTAAAATTTGTTTATTTTTTTTAATAAAATTCTTGGCAAAATTTTAATTAATTTCAAAAATTTTTCTTCAATTCAATAATTATACATTTATAAAATTATACAATTTTAAATTAGAGTTTGCATACAATTATTTGAATAAAATAAATTACTTAAAAAAAATTTTCTTTTAATTCTTCGCAGAAATTCAATTATTTTCAAAAGTATAATAAAGTTCTTCTCAGGAATTCAATTATTTTCAAAAAATTTCACGAAAATCTCGTCAAGAATTTCAATTATTTTTATAAATAGCAAAATTCTTTTCTAAAATTTTCTCAATTAAATGATTTTTAATATCTACTATTTTCAGAAAATTTAAAAAACAATTTTTTTTAAATTCTACGAAAACACTTAATTATTTTTATAAATAATAAAAATTCTACAGAAATTCAATTATTTAGAATAGAGTTTGCATCAATTATTAAAAAATTTGTTTATAAAATTTCATTCGAATTCAATTTTTTTTTAAATATTCACAATAAAATTCTTCGTAAGAATTCAATTAATTTTTATAAATCCTATTAAAATTTTTCTCAGGGATTCAATTATTTTCATAAATATAATAAAATTTCTTTGAGGAATTCAATTATTTTTATCGCAGAATTTCAAATATTTTTAATAAAATTTTATAGAAATTCCTCGAAAAATGCAATTATTCTTAAAAATTTGTTATTAAAATTCGTCGAAAGAATTCAGTTTTAGGAAACATTGAATTATTCAATAAATAATTTATTTTTGTATTTAAAGAATTGAATTCTCGTTTAGTTTTTTTATTAAAAATTCATATAAAAATGAATTACAGTTAAAGTTTTAAATAATGATTGAATATTAGAAGCATTATTGGATGAATTTTAAGAAATTATTGAATTTTGAAAAAGTTTCAAATTCAAATCTATGGAAATCTCAATTTTTCATATTTTTAATTAACATTTCTATGGAACTTATTTTTTCGAAAAATTTTAATTCCAATTCTGTAGAAATTAGTTGCAATTTTGAATATATATATTTAGTTATTAATTATTTAATTTTAAAAATAATTAATTTAGAAAAGAATATTAGTTAAAAACTCTAAAAAAAATCATTTAATTTTGTTACAAATAATTGAAATTTTTAGAAATAATTGAATTTTAAAAAGGTTTCAAATTAAAATCTTTGAAAATCTGAATTCTTCATAATTTAAACTAACAATTCTGAAAAAATTAATTTTTTTTAAAATAGTTTAATAAATTGCGAATTTATTTTCTTTTTTTGAAAATATTTGAAGTTTTTGTTTTCTAATATTATATATTTAATTGAAGAAATTTCCAAATAATTGAAATATTGTAAAATTGAATTATAAAAAAAATGAATTTGAAAATTCTCAAAGCACTTTTTCAAAAAATTATTAAAAATAATGGATTTATAGAAAAATTTGAGTTGAAAACAAAAAAGAAAAATTTTATTTTGGAGAAGTTACAAATTATTGTTGAAATTCAATTATTTTCAAAAATTTTAATAAAATTCTTGGCAAAATTTCAATTATATTTTCAAAAATTTTCCTGAATTCAATGATTTTTTTATATATCTACTATTTTAATAAAATTTTCCAAAAGAATTCAATTGTTTAAAAAATTTTTTTGATAAAATCCTTCAAAAACATTAAATTATTTTCATAAATATTTAAATTTTCACAGGAATTCAATTATTTAAAATACTATTTTTAAAAAAATTTTTTAAAACTAATGAATTTTTAACAAAATTTTTATAAAATTCTTCTTATGAATTCAATTATTCTAGTAGAAGTTTAAAAAAAATTGATTCAAAAATTAATATTAGCTCAAATTTTAGATAATAATTGAATATTAAAAGCTATGTAGCGTGAATTTTTAGAAATAATTGAATTTTTAATGAAATTTCATGAAAGCATTAAATTTTAAAAAATTTTTTAATAATACAGTCAGGTCCCCATACTGTTAGATTCCAAACTGTTATGTCCTCAGTAGTGTTATGTTTTTGCATAACCTCCAAATTCAGAAGTGTTAGGTGACGTCACGTTACATCACCAATTTTCAGGGCCGCATTCTTAAGCCCAAAGAAAAGGGGGCATATACTTCTAGGCCAAACTTGAGGTGTATATATTTACGTTCCTGAAAGGTGCGCAGTAGACATACTTTGAGCACATAACAGAGCTGAGTCTGGAGGAGTGGGAAATTTCTGGAAATGTAACAGTATGGGGACCCGACTGTACTAATATTATTAATAATTCCGTAATTTTTCATTTTTGTTCCGTAAATAAATACCTAAATACTTTATTTTTTTTTTTTTTTTTTTTTTTTTTAATTACTTTTACTGGTTCGAGCTCTGAGATATAAGATCAGCGTTGATTTTTTGGAAATTGTTAGTATTTTGTCTATTATACTTACATCTATAAATTCTGGTTGTATTGTAGTTGAATGAATGCCCTCATTGTGAAAGAATTCTTTCACTTGCTCAGCAATTTTCATATACTCTGAAAGATTACGACAACGAATGTGAGCAGAAGCGATGATCCTATCACCAGCCAATTGCCACACGTGGAATTCATGTACAGCTAACACTCCATCTACATTTTCTAATAATCGCTGCTGTATAGCGTCAACCTACAAATAGCAAATTTTTCTAAATTCTTCTATTACTCGAACGGCATTTTTTTTTTTTTTTTTTTTTTTTTTTTTTTTTTAAAGTAATTCATTAAAAAAATTACTTTGGCATTTGTTATTTTACCTGAATGTGTGTAGGCACCGTTTGAAGTAGAATCAACGCAGATTCTTGTAACAGGGGCCACACGGACTTTAGAATAAGAATGACGAGTAATAAGGACAAAAGAGGATCCATATAATATCTGTAAATTAATGGTCATTAATTATCATTAACTAATAATCATGTCCTAAATTGTCACTAAAGAAGTAAATTTTCTTTTTTAAAAAATACCTATAGCTCCACTGCGTGAGCCATACGACGAGAGCTGAAACAATAACGATTACAGATCCAAGAGCATCGGAAAGAACATGAAGGAAAACTCCTCTCATATTCATTTGACTCGCATCATGAGAATGACCATGTGCTCTTTTTTTAGGAGATTTCGTGTGCTGAAAGTTCTCATCATTTTCATTGTCATCTGTACTGACAAGGGTGCTTAATCTATTATGACTTCTGGACAAACCATGTGAATGTCCATGTCCACTCGAATGCTCTATAAATAAAAACTCGTCTTTACTTTCATCCAACGTAAAATTTTGATTATTTTAATCATTTTGATTTTTTTTTTTTTTTTTTTTTTTTTATAAATGTATCTAAATGATAAATAACTTGCATTAGAAATATTATTTACCTGCAAATAAACAAAGACCAACAATGTTCACGACCAAACCAAGTGTCCCCACAGCGACCAGCAATTCTGCTCGATGAATCTTTTCTACTTCGATAAATCTTTTACATGCTTCAACTGTAATACTAAAACAGAGAGCAACTAGAAATACAGCATTAACTAATGCTCCCAAAACTTCCGCTCTGGCCCATCCAAAGGTATTTTTCGACCATTTCTTTGGTGACATCTGTAATTTTATTATTTACAATTTTAATAAAGAATGCATTGACAAAGACAATACGGTAAACATTGCTTTACACTATTTACATTCGCATTTCTTTCCGGGATTCAGATTTTAAAACTTACCTTTACAGAAAGAAAAGCAACAACTAATGCAGCCACATCGGATAACATATGAAAACTATCAGCTATTAAAGCCATTGAATTTGTCACATATCCTACAATTATTTCTACTAAAAAGAAGAATGTCGTCAACCACAACATTGTGAGAAGACGGCATTTCTTTCCTGTGTATCGTCCCATTTTGCAATACTCTCCTGCAAATTAAAAAGAAACTAGAATTAGAACTGCTTCGAAGTATTCGAAATAAATTAATATTTCTCGAAGTCAATATATTTTAATCCTTCTCTCTTTATGTAAAGCTAAAGTAAAATCGATCCGATAGTATTGAATATTATAAGAGTATTGTTACTCTAAACTTATTCAAAATTGCTTTCATATTCAATTATTATTTTCCCGAATTTTTAAACTAAAATTCTTCTTTAAATTAATTATTATTCATTCATTTTTAATCAATTTTTATTAGAAAATTTTACGAGAATTCAATAAATATTTAAATACAAAAATAAATAATTCATTGAAGAATTGAATGTGTTTTAAAATTGAACTATAATAAAGAATTTCAGGCTTCACAGTGCCTCTAAAAAGTATTTTAGGTATTTTAGGGGAAATAGGGGAATGAAAATTAAAAAATAGGGGACTTTTAGAGGACCATAAAAATTGGTTAAATAAAGATAAAAATATCATTTATTTATACAGGGTTGCCACAAAAATTTTATTTTATTTTTCCCTGATTTCCAAACACAACATTCACTTTTTCCCTGACCCTAAAGAATATTCTGATTCACTCTCAAAATTATTAGATACGAAAAAAAATGTTCTATTAAAATTTACAAATTTCTTCAAAAGTAAAATTATTCGAAAACATTAATAGTTATATTTAAAATAAATATTTAATCATTTTTTTTCATTGGAATTAAGATGTTCAAAAATTTCAAATTCAAACCTTTCAAATTGAACTACTCATAAGAATATTATTATAAAACATAAAGATGACCGACTGACAAAATCATTATTTTATTATTATAAGAATATTGTTACTGTAATTTTTTCAAAATTATTTGTATCATTACAATTAACATTTTCTAGAATTTTTAACTAAAATTATATTTTAAATCAATAACACCAATTATTATTCAATTAAACTTTTTTAAAAAAATTATTTCTACAGAATTATTAGTTAAAAGTAAGAAAAATAATAATTTAATTCTACGAGAAATCAATTATTTAAATACAAAAATAAATAATATTTAATGTTTCTTAAAATTTAATTTTTACGAAGAATATTGTATTAACAACTTTTGAAAATATTTAATTTATTTTCAGGAATTTAATTAAAATTTTAATGAAATTTATTATATATTAAAGAATTTTATAACACTTTTTGAAAATAGTTGAAAACTTTTTGAAGAATTTTATTAAATTTTATTAAATTAATTCAATTCCTGAGAAGAATTCAAATAATAATTTTAAAAACCAAATTCATGAGAAGAATTTTATTATACTTTTGAAAATAATTGAATTCTTGAGACTTTTTTTAAAATTTCTTTTTAAACAATTAAATTCTTTTGTGAAATTTTATTGAAATAGTAGATATTGAAAATAATTGAATTTTGATAAATTATATTATTGAAATTAATTAAATTTCTATACGTAGAATTTTATTAAAATTATTTTGAAAAAATAATTGAATTGTTAAAAAGAATTTCATTAAAATTTTTGAAAATAATTTAATTCTTTCGAGAAATTCAATTTCTTTGATGAATCGTTTTTGAAGGAGGAGATTTAATTTCTTTTGTAATAATTCATTTTAAAAATAGATTTAAATTTGAAATTTCCGAACAATTTAATTTTACATTTTTTAAAATTATATTAAAAATACATGTTCGGCAACGTAACAGATAAAACATTTTTAAAACTAATATCATTGAAACGATTGAAAGCATTATAGAGAATATAATACTATACAATACAATAGAGGAACTTCCGTTATTTCAATTTTCCGGTAGCAGTTATTTCTTTTGTTGTCGTTTTTTTACTACAAAAATAAAAAATTATATCGTTCACGAGAAAAAAGCAAAGGTTAAAATTTGTGATGCTTATAAAACAACTAATTTAAATTTATCTTTTTTGCTTGTTCTTATTTTTACTTTCTTGTTTTCTTCAAATGTTAATTTTAATAAAAAAAAAAAAAAAAAAAAAAAAAAAAAAAATTAAAATTAATTAAAATTAAAAATTAAAATTATTAAAATAACAAAAAATTTGCTTTTGTTGAAACCATTTTTTCTTTTTGAAAAAAAACAATAAATACTAAAATAAATTAAAGAGTTTCATACATTTACGTTTACTTCTGGATTATCTATCAATAAACGGAAAAATATTGCTGTTATAAAATAATCAAAGTTAAAATATTAATACGTGTTAAAATGAACTTTTATTTTCGAAGCCTTGTTTTTATTTCTTAAATAAAAAAGATTTCTTTTGAATTTTAGCATAATTATTGGCGTAAAATAAAATAGCGAAGAAAAAATAAATTAAAAATGTAAAATTTTTAAGTAGCAGTTTCTGGTAAATCACCAATAAACAAAGTAAATAAAAATGGTTTTTTTTTTTTTTTGCTTTCATTTACACAAAATGATCCAATTTTAAAAACTCGAAATTAGGGGAAAATAAAAAATTTAATTTAATTTTCTTCACAATTTTTTTTTACTTTTTACAAAGAACAAATTTTTTATCCTTTTTTCATGATTATAAATAATCAATTTTGTGGATTTTAAAAAATTTCAATTTATCAAATAAATAAATTGATTGCGCGCTATTAATTTCTTCTATCAAATATTCATATTTTTTTAATTATCTGCATAGAATTAATTCAACAAAAAGTTAAATTATTTTAAAATTTTAACTTAAAAATTATAAATTACACTTTAAAATTCTTTATTAAAATTAAATCATTAAAAAAAAATGTAATTATTCAGAAAGTTTGATAATTTACAAAAATAAATTTTATTTTAAAGAATTTTATTATTTTAATTAAATCAGTTTTGTTATGAGACTAGTGATTCACGTCAGGAATTTTTTTTTCCTTTTTATCCTTTTATAAAGGAAAACAGGCAAAAACATTCCATTAATTTATTTTCAATGTATTTTTCACAAGATTCTTGATCATCACTTGAATCATGCTCCAAGATTTTACTTTAGTGAATCACTATTTTTCCAAATCGAAAATGATATAAAATAAAATACGAAAAAAAAATTAATTAAAAGCAAAATGGAAAATTTTATTTTAAAAAATAGACAATTTTGAATTAATTGAATAATTTTAATTAATAAAAAAATAGTAGGTAATTTTAAAAATTAAAACTTTTTAGATTAAAAAAAATTAAATATTTAAAAAATCAGGAATTATTGTCTGTAGTTTAAAATTTTTTGACTAAAAACAAATAATTCACGATAAAGGAGACAAAGAAATTCTTGGTTTACATTTAAAAAACAAAAATCCCTGAAGAAAAATATGAAAAACTCTTTCTAAATATAAATTTTAAATTTAGACTTTTGCACAAATTTTTTTTTTTTACTCACACAAAGAATTTTCTTTATCAATTTGTTGATCTTTTCCGTAAAAATATTATTATTGAAAACTTTATATTTTCCTTAAAATTCGTTTTCTTTCCCTTTCACTCTCCATAAAAAAAGAAGAACAGGTGAAATTTTTTATGTTTACAAATCACGCCATTTTTTCGTCGTCTGCTCTAATGTGCCCTTTTAAAAATTAAAGCACAATTTGACAGATAAAAATAAACAGATTCTAAATGAAATACAAATATTTAAATATTGAAAAAGGAAAAAAGAAAATTTATTCACACCTGTTTAAACTCCAAAAGAATTGTTTCCAAAAAGAAAAAGAAAAAAAAAAGAATGAAGCGACAAAAACAGAAATATTATGTCAAATAACACTCAATTATACACTCAATTAAAAACGCATGAATTATTAAACAGTTTAGATAGTATAATCAAATTTCTTTCATTTACATAAAAGATTCTATTTGTAATATTCAATTGATAAATTAAATTTTTTCTCTTCATTTAATTAAGAACAATTGACACTTAATTAAGAAATAATTGTGAAACGTCAAAAGTATTGTGTAAAACTATAAGAAATAAACACGTGTCACATACTTGATTACAGAATGAAATATTTATCACAAAAAATGTTACAAATTGACTGCTAAAATAATTCCATTGTTTCCTAACACACTCATTCTCCCTACTAACCCACATTCGATATAGAAATAAATTCAACATTTTTCTCTCAAACATACAAAAAATATAAAATAAAAATAAAACGTCCTTGGTAAAATAAAAGTCAGTAAAAAAAAAAGGAAGAAGAAGAAGGTTAAACTCAATTATATATTTGAGAGGAAAAAAAATATTTGCAAATATGTACAAAGAAAAGAGAGAGAAAGAAATAATAGATGAGAGAATAAAGAAAATACGTCACTTACTTTTGTCTTTTTCTTCTTATTTGATGTTAAAACTTTTTTTTTAAATTCTAGAATATTTGTTGAAAATTATTTATTAAATGAAAATAGTTAATAAAATTCTTAAACGAAATGTTTATAAACATGTTAGGAACATCCTAGTTTAATGGTGAGAGGAAAAAAAATTTTACACACACATAAATGAATTTTTAAACACTAATGAAGCATTGAAAAAATCACTTCAATTTCCATTGTTAAATACACGATGAAATGTGTTGAGAAATGTGTAACACTGTTTTTTTTCATATTTCTAAAATGCACACCATTATTCAGCTGTGCATAACTACCAACTGATTTTCTGAGAATAAATACTGCACCAGGGAGTTAACGACGTTGTCATGATTTCGTATTTAGATGTAAAATATGTTTTATGACGAATTTATGTGTAAAAACATGAAAATACAGTGTTTTACGTCGGAGCAATGAGTGTAACCGAGATAGAATTATATATCTTTCTTTCTCTCTCTCATTATTTAACGTAAAACGCGGCTTTCGTACGCAAGGATATGAACACACCCTTATGGAGCACGTAAAAATTGTCCAGAATGGAAAGTTTATATTGGAGCAAGTGAGACAGGCTATATAGCCTGTCTCTCTTACTCCAATATAAACTTTCCATTCTGGACAATTTTTACCAAAGGTGTAAGGGTACGGTCACATGACTTTTGGAAAACACATTCTTGTCTTTCTCTCTCACTACGACAGAGGCTTAAGTTTGTCTCACTCTACATTTTGTTACTTTATTTCCAAAAACAGAAAATGTAGAGTGAGACAAACTTATGCCTCTGTCGTAGTGAGAGAGAAAGACAAGAATGAGTTTTCCAAAAGTCGTGTGACCGTACCCTTTAGTGAAGAATTTACACCTTTGGTAAAAATTGTCCAGAACGGAAATTCCACATTGGAGTAAGAGAAACAGATACACAGTCTGTCTCTCTTACTCCAATATAGATTTTCCATTCTGGACAATTTTTATCGAAGGTGTAATCGCTCCATTAATAACATTAAAAAGTGGTGTGCCTTCTATAAGAATGTTTTAAGTCTATGGCGTACTCAATTCCTAAAGGTCAACGCAGAATAGATCTGTAACCGGAACCGCAATCGTAACCGTAAGCGTAAGAATGAGTTAGAGAAGGATAAACAATATACCTATCCTTCTTTAACTCATTCTTACGGTTACGCTTACGATTGCGGTTCCGGTTACAGATCTATTCTGCGTTGGCCTTAAGGAGAAAAAAGCGCGCGCAGCTCCTTTCAGCGGTATTCCATGTAATTATACTATTGTAGAATCACCTCAAACATTTCTATTCCAACCTACAATAATTAACCAACCCTGTTCTAAAAAAGACCTTGTACACCCTGTTTCACAATGGGCTGGGTAGTTTATTTACTTGGAGGAAATTATTTTGTTTGCAGAGAAACGTAGGATTTAAAAATAAAAAAAGTGATTCAAAAAGTGATGTACATAGAAAAAAATAATTATAAGTTAAACTCTAATTAAATTAATTCTACTGTTTTTATGAATAGAAAATAGAAAAAAATAGGTTCAACCAAATAGTGCATCATAATTATAATCACGGTAAGAAAACATCAAGGTTAATCATTCTAATGTGTCATTACAAGCTATAACTGAAATTTTCTGATTATTTTATCTCTTAGATAATAATAGTATAATAATATTTAAAAATAAATTGCTGTCAATGTTCATTTTAATTATGTTTGAAAAATGAAAAAACCATTTTAAGTGCTTGTGAAAAATGTAAATTTGGAATTTTCTCCCCGCAAAGTAGAAAAAAATTGTCAACAATGAATTTTTTTTTAATTTTCATAAAAAATTTTCATTTTATAATTTAATTTCTTTAAAAAATTTTATCTTTCTTGATAATTTTCAAAGTTTATTTTACTTTTAAAACAATAGTTGATTATTTCAGAATTTAAAAAAAAATGTTAAATTAGAAGCAGATTCTAATCTTGATTAAATTTCATGAATGCAAGAAAATTACAATTGTAAACAAACGTTTTCTTTATATATTCATAACTTTAGTAGAGTTTAATACTAAAGTATTTATTTATTTTAATATAATAATGAATAACTATAATTATTTATCTTTAAAAATCTAAATTTTTCATACTTTTAATTAAAAATTCTATGAAATTAATTTTTTCAAAAAGCTTAATTGAAATTTTTGAAAATTATTTCACGTTTTTATTTTCTAATAATTATAATATAATTAATTATTTTAAAACAGTTAAATTTTACAAAATTGTCGATTTATTAAAATCATTAATTAAATAAAATTGTTCACTTACCCTGCAAATTTGTATTGTGATTCTCTTTAACATCAAGGGAACTTCTTCCTTCGATTTTTAATTATTTATTTCAAATATAAATAAAATAATATTTTATAAAATAATATTTGTTTATTTAATTATTGAAAAGTTCATTGTTTTTAAATTCACATTAAACCCTTGTGAACGCCTTAATTAGATATAAATATTAAATATAGTTTTAGTAGAAATATTTATTTTTAAAGTCAAGTAAAATTTCTATATAAATTCTTTCTCAAAAATTAGGAATTAAAAGAGTAAAGAAGAATAGATAAAACGATTTTTATTTATAGATAAAAAGAAAATATTTAAAAGTAAAAAGAAAATTTCACTTAAGTTTAATTTATCATTCATTTAGATATAAAATATGTTCTTTTGAATTTAGATAGAACTAAGAAATCGATTAGTGCTCTTTTCATATAGTAGAATTAGAAAAATTACGACAGGTTTTTTGAGATAAGGCCTCTCGTTAAGTAATGTCAACACGATTAGTAAAACGTAGAGAGGTATCAAAGTCTCAATTCAAGAAGAATTAAATTCCAAATAGCACATGCTGCACAGTGTCTTCAATATTTACATTTTTAGTCTTTAAAATAATTTCAAAAACAATGAAAAAATATATTTAATTACTTTAACAGGGGTTTTTTTTAAAGATGAAAATAAAATTTATTTTAATAAAATTTTACAAAATTTTCAATTGTTTCAATTTTTTAAAAATTATTTTCTCGAATTCAAGTGTATTTTCAAAAACTTTTAATATTTTTCAAAAACCTAATTTTTTAAAAATTTCTTTTTAAATCAATTTTAATCAGAATTCAATTACGAGAATTCAATTGTTTTCCCTGACCCTAAAGAATATTCTGATTCACTCTAAAAATTATTAGATGACCGATTGACAAAATCATTATTTTATTATTATAAGAATATTGTTACTGTAATTTTTTCAAAATTATTTGTATCATTACAATTGAATTAACATTTTCTAGAATTTTGAACTAAAATTCTACTTTAAATCAATAACATCAATTATTATTATATAGTGCTGTTATTTTGTTTGGATTTATAATTTTAGTGCGATATTAGTGCCATCAATTATTATTATTCAATTAAACTTTTTAAAAAAAATTATTTCTACAGAATTGTTAGTTAAAAGTACGAAAAATAATAATTTAATGTTACGAGAAATCAATTTATTATTTAAATACAAAAATAAATAATATTGAATGTTTCTTAAAATTTAATTCTTACGAAAAATTGTATTAACAACTTTTGAAAATATTTAATTTCTTTTAAGGAATTTAATTAAAATTTTAATGAAATTTATTATATTAATCAATTTTATAACAATTTTTGAAAATAATTGAAAACTTTTTGAAGAATTTTATTAAATTTTTTAAAAATAATTGATTTCCTGAGAAAAAATTTTAAAATGTAATTTTCAATAAATAAATAAATAAATAATTTAATTTTTGAGAAGAATTTCCCTATCTACTTATAAAGATAATACGAGAATTTTTAAAAAATTTTTTTAAATAATTTAGTTTTTGCAAAGTATTTCATTACTTTTCAAAATAATTGAATTCTTGTGATAAATTTTGATTTTTTTCAAAATAATTGAATTTTGGAAAAGAATTTTACTAAAATTCCTTAGAATTTTTAATTGATTTTCTACGACGAATTAAATGTTATTTATGAAAATATTTGAATTATTGCAACGAATTTTATTGTTTTATTGAATAATTGAATGTTTCTTAAAATTCAATTCTTTCCTCAAGTTTTAATAAAATTTTTAATAATAATTTCATTTTTCAAGGAATTTATTTAAAATTGTATTAAAAATATTTAAAATTCTGCGATAAAAATAATTGAATTCGTAAATGAAATTTTATTATTTATAAAAATAATTGAATCTTTGCGTAGAATTGTATCAAAAAGTTTTTTCTATAATTATATCTGTTGATAAATTTGATGAAAATTGTAAATATTGAAAATTATCGAATTGCAAAAATCTTTTGAAAGTAATTGAACTTTTGCAAAGATTTTTATAAATTTTTGAAAATAATTGAATTTTTGAGCGAAAAATTTTGCTATTTGAAAAGATAATTGAATTCTTGACGAGATATTCGTGAAATTTTTTAAAAATAATTGAATTTCTTTGAAGAATTTCATTACTTTTAAAAATTATTGAATTCTTGAGATGAATATTGTAACTTTTGAAAATAAGTTCAAATATAAATTGAAAATATTTATTTTTACAAAAATTTGTTTTGTTAATTTTAATTTTCATAAAATTTAGTTTTCAGTTTAATTATTAAACTAAGAGTCTTTTTAAACACATGAATTAAATAAACAAAAAACAAGTTTTTAATCCATTTAGGGGTAAATTTTGAAAATAGGGTACGTTTAGGGGACAAAATTAAAAATGGAGACTTTTAGAGAAATAGGAGACAGACTGTGAAGCCTGATACTTAGAATGGATCCTCCCATTCACCAAATATTAATTTTTCAGTAGACTTTTTAATAAGCAAAAAAAAATTTTTTAAATAAAATTTTTACTTACCCAAACATTTAATTTAATTTCCAATGTAACACAATTTCTATTTGGATAGAAATAGAATTTTTAATTACAATAAACTAACCACTTCACTAATTCTCGATTTGTCTCTAAAATTTCATACAACTTTCTCATCTATTCGAATAAATATCCATTATAGTAAATTTCGGTATTGATACTTTTGTGAAATGACAATTCACTCGAGATTGGGAGGAATAGAATTGCTTCTTTTTAAAATTAAAAATTCGAGTTTGTTTTTTGGCTCACTACACTGGAATTTGAAATATATTTTAAATATGAACCTATTTCACATGGAAATTTCCAATAACTTTAGAGAAAGAATTATGTGAAAATTGTCAATGTTTGAAAAACGTGTACAATAATAATTGATCTTGTTTGCATAAACTAGTAATAGGCACAACTAAAAGCCAGGAGATTAGATAAACTTGGAATATTCGTCTGCAGTTGTCTGTCCAAGAGACACTTATCGCCTCGATTAATCTCAGGGTAGATATAAAATACATAAAAACTCGGTTATGATCCATTTGAACAAGATTTGAGATGTAGTATGTATTATCTATCATTACCTGAGGTTTATTATGTAATTTACGAAATTGTTGCAACAGTAATTAAATTATAATTCCTTAAGTGTTGGAAAATTTAAACAATCTCTTAATTTTGAATTAATTAAAATCGAGATTAAAATGATGTGTTAATTATAGAAAATTTTTGTACACTTTAAATATTACTTCTAGAAACCTGATTCTGTTTTATCATGATTACTTAAATGATCATAATCGAAATCTGTCAGTACAGATTTTTTTTTTTTTTTTTAAATGACTATCGAATCTTCCTTTTAATTTTCATGAATTTTTCTTATAATAATTATATGTCTAAAATGGAACATTCAATAATTAATAATCAAAAATATTTTTTGGAAATTTATAAATTCAACACGTCGAGAACAAAACTTATTAGTATCAAAAATATTAAATAACATAATTCTTTCGTTTATCATTCTTTATCCAACAACAAAAAAAATTAAGGAAAATCGGTTAAGATTTATTTGAGTTATTGGATTTTATAAAAACAGTAGATAAGTTTCCTTAAAAAAATGTTTGAATTTAAAATATTAATTTCCAGAATAAATAATTATCATAACTGGTAAATACTGTTTTTCAGGAACAATGCTCAGTAGTTGGACTAAGCATACACTTCACTGCTGCCTTTTAATAACAGTAATCGTAGTATTTGAATACGTATCCGGAGGACTACGATGGAATGCCGATGAGAAAGATGAATTAAATCCATGGATTGAATATGGATACTTTGGAGCGTCATTCCTCTATTTTCTTCGAATATTAACATTCCTTTCGCTTCCGCAAGTTCTCTTTAATTTTATCGGTCTTTCCATTTACAATGCTTTCCCGGACAAAGTTGAACTTAAAGGTTCTCCTCTGCTTGCGCCATTTATATGTATAAGAGTAGTTACCCGTGGTGATTATCCACAATTAGTGAAGACAAATGTTAATAGAAACATGAATAAATGCATTGAAGCGGGTTTGGAGAATTTTCAAATTGAAGTTGTAAGCGACAAGCCAATTGGTTTACCGGCGCATAGAAGAATTCGCGAAGTTGTTGTACCTTTAAATTATACAACTTCAAGTGGTGCTCTTTTTAAGGCACGTGCTTTGCAATATTGCTTGGAGAATCATGTTAATGAACTTGCTGAGAATGATTGGATTGTTCATTTGGATGAGGAGACACTTTTGACGGAGAATTCAATTAGGGGAATTCTTAATTTTGTTTTGGATGGAAAACATCATTTTGGACAAGGTTTAATAACGTACGCGAATGAAAATGTTGTTAATTGGATTACGACATTGGCTGATAGTTTTCGTGTTGCTGATGATATGGGAAAATTGAGATTGCAGTTTACTTTGTTCCATAAGCCATTGTTCAGTATGAAAGGATCTTATGTCGTCACTCAAGTGAGTATTTTTCAATTATATTTTCTTATACATGCGCAATATAGTGTTCTTTTGACATCAAAACATGCGCAGAAGCATCCTATCACAATAAGACATGCGCAATAGCATCCTATCACAATAAGACATGCGCAATAGTGTTCTTTGACATCAGCACATGCGCAAAAGCAGAATTTCCAATTTCAAATGATTTTAGTTTGGAATTTTTAAAAATTTCAATTTTGAATGAATTTAATTAGAAATCGTCTTAAAGAACGTAGATTTTTGAGAAATTTTAATTATTCCAATTCTTCTGAAATTAGTTAAATTTTTTAATATATATATATTTAAATAATTATTAAAAATAATGGATATATGAAAGAATTTTAGTTAAAAACACTAAAAGAAATTAAATTTTGGAACAGTTACAAATTATTGCAGAAATTCAAATATTTTCAAACTAGTAAAATTCTTCTCCGAAATTTAATTATTTTTTTAATTATTTTTTTATTTAAAAAAAAAATATAATAAAATTTTTTTTTTAATTATTTATTTATTTTTTTTTATTTTTATTTTTTTTCGAAAAATTTTTAATCAAATTCTTGTCAAAATTTCAATTATTTACAAAAATTTTACTCAATTCAATGATTTTCAATATTTTAATAAAATTTTTCCAAAAAAAACTCAATTATTTAAAAAAAATTTTAATAAAAATCTACTCAAACATTTAATTATTATTTTCATAAATATAATACAAATTTCACACAAATTCAATTATTTGCAAACTTTTTTTTTATAAATCTCTTCGCAATAATTCAATTATTTTCATAAATAATCAAATTTTTACAAGAATTCAATAATTGTTCCGTGAATAATAAAATTCTTTATAGGTTTTTAAATATTTTCATAAATAATAAAACTCATCGCAGAATTTCTATTATTTTTAATACAATTTTAATGGAATTCCTTGAAAAATGTAATTATTTTTAAAAATTGTCGTAAAATTCATCAAAAAAAAAAAAAATTCAATTATTTTAAAAAGCTTTGCTATAATTTATTTATTGGAATTCAAATATTTTTGTCAATACAATTTTTAATTAAATTTTATGAAAGAATTAAAGAATTTTTAGAAATTTTAATAAAATCTTTGTAAGAATTCAATTTTTTTCAAAATAATTTTAATAAAATTCTTCATTAATTTTAGTAATTTATCAAAATTCGATTATATTCAATATCTACTATTTTAATAAAATTTTATAAAAGAACTAAATTATTTTAAAAATAAATATTAAAATTCGTGTCAAGAATTCAATTATTTTCAAAAGTAAAAAAAATTCTTCAAAATTCAATTATATTCAAAAATTTTTTATAAAATTTTTTAAAAGAATCTAATTATTTACATTTTTTTTTAAATTTCTTCACAATAATTCAATTACTTTCACTAATAATAAAATTTTTCATGGACATTTAAATTTTTAAAAAAATTTTTGATTAAATTCTAAGCAAGAATTCAATTATTTTCATAAATATAATAAAACTCATCAAAGAATTTCAATTATTTTGAATACTATTTTGAACTAATTAATCAAAAAATTCAATTATTTTCTCAAATAAAATTTTCCACAAGAATTCAATTATTTAACATAAAATTTTTTTTTATATTTCGAAAAAATTAATTATTTAAAACAATGTTTAAATAAAAGTAAAGATTTAAAAGATTGTTTTTGTTGAGAATCCACAAATAAAATGTTTAAATAAATTTCTTATGAAGAATTCAATTATTTTGAAAAATAAATAAAATTTTCAAAAAAAATAATTCAATTATTTTCATAAATAATAAAATTATTAATAATTCAATTATTTTTCATACAATTTTACAGGAATTGTTAAAAAAATGTAATTATTCTTAAAAATTTAATTTCAATTCCTCGAAAAATCAATTATTGAAAAAAATTTTTTTTTTAATTCTTTGGAAGAATTCAATTATTTACAAAAAATATTAAAATTTCTCACAGGGATTCAATTATTTACAAAAATATTAGAATTTTTTACAAGAATTCAATTATTTTCAAATATTTTAATAAAATTGTTCGAAAGAAATCAATTATTTTAAATACAATTTTAATTTGATTTTTTTGGAATAATTCAATTATTGTTTTAGGTTTTAATAAAATTCTTCCCAAGAATTCAATTATTTATATAAATAATTCTTAGGAAATAATTCAATTATTAAAGATAAATAACAAAGTTATTCCCGAAAATTCAATTATTTTGAGTCATTTTAATAAAATTCTTTGCAAAATTCAATTATTTTCATAAATAACAATATTCATTACAATAATTCAATTATTTTTAAAAATTAATAAATTTCTTCTTGGAAAATCAATATTATTCTAAAAAAATCTAATGTAAATTCGTTCGCAAGAATTCAATTATTTTCATAAATAATAAAATGCTTTTTAGGAATTCAATTATTTTCAAAAAAAAATTTAATAAAATGCCACACAGACATTCAATTTTATTGTCAAAAATTTTAATAATATTCTTTGTAAAATTTAATTATTTTTAAAAACTTTTCGTGTTTCAATGATTTACAATATCTACTATTTTCATTAAATTTCTAAACATAATTCAAATTATTTAAAATAAATTGTCGTAAAAATCTTCGTAAGAATTCAATTATTTTCATGAATAATAAAAAGTTCTCTGGAATTCAATTGTTTAAATTAGAATTTGCATAAAATTAGTCGAAAGAAATCAATTATTTAAAAATTTTTTAAAAAATTCTTCGCAAGAATGAAATTATTTTTATATTTGAATTTGAAAATTTTAATTCTGATGGGAAAATAATGTTTAACTATTTTATTTAAAAAAGAAGGTGAAACACATGCGCAGAAGTATTCTATCACATTAACACATGCGCAGAAGTAACCTATCACATTAACACATGCGCAGAAGTAACCTATCGCAATAACACATGCGCAGAAGTAACCTATCGCAATAACACATGCGCAGAAGTATCCTATTGCAATAACACATGCGCAGTAGTGTTCTTTGACATCAGCACATGCGCAGTAATGTTCTATCCCATAAAAACATGCGCAGTAGTGTATTTTTCAATAAACACGTGCACAGAAGTATCCTATCACAAGAACACATGCGCAGTAGTGTATTTTCCAATAAACACATGCACACAAATGCCAATGTTCTTAATATGAAGTAAAAAAATGTCCCATACAAATGCCAATTTTAAACTATTATTAAAAAAATGTATTAAACACTTTACAGATGTCTGCTGAAAGGCAAGTGTCCTTCGACAACGGGATAAATGGTTCAATATCAGAGGATTGCTATTTTGCCATGAAGGCATTCACTGAAGGTTATACGTTTAATTTCATTGAAGGTGAAATGTGGGAGAAATCGCCATTTACACTTTGGGATTTTGTACAGCAACGAAAGAGATGGCTACAGGGAATATTATTAGTCGTTCACTCAGAAGCGATTCCCTTAAAAAAGAAATTATTACTCGGCATCTCTTGCTATTCATGGGTGACAATGCCACTATCAACATCAAATCTTGTCCTCGCTGGACTTTGTCCAATTTCATGTTCACCAATAATAGACTTTTTATGCGCATTCATTGGTGCCGTTAATATTTACATGTACATATTTGGTGTTGTAAAATCATTTTCCCTTTATCGCTTTGGCTTCGCTAGATTTCTTCTTTGCATTTGCGGTGCACTCTCAACAATACCATTTAATTTAATTATTGAGAATGTTGCCGTTATTTGGGGTCTCATTGGAAAGAAACATAAATTTTATGTTGTCAAAAAAGAATTTATGGTATGATGTATCAATGTTAAATATTCCCCCCTCTACACTGTACCTGTTCATGTACAAAATATTGACAAACTCATTTCTAGTGTGAAGCGCCAAATTCATTTAATTGCTCTTTTTTTTCTTCAGTGTTCTATGAACTTTGGTGTACAGTAAACAAAAAATTTTTTTTATTTTCAATCTATGTGAATTGAAATTACAATTTCTTACATATTTTTATGTATCGGACAGTCAATGTCAAAAAGTGAGCATAAATTGTCAAAAAAAAAGAAGAAATTCATTTCATTTACGCTACAAATACTGCAATCTACCAAATGGAAAATATTTTTTTTTATTATTAAGTCATAGCATTGAAAGTATCGAGGTGAAGCTTCAAAAGACTAATTGAAACAAGACTAATCAAAAAGGCTACTTAAGAAAAAGTTTCAATCGCCAATACTTTGGTACTTTTAGTGTTATAAGTAGAAATATATTTAATTAAATCAAAGCTCGTTCTATTGAATTGTAAAACATTTTACGGATATTTTTTGTCGAAATGAAATTTAGACCTAAAAGTGTCAGTAAAAATTTACTTTTTTTTTTTTACTTAAAAGTCAACGTTGAAGAAAGAGTCAAAAAAGTGAAGAAAGAACAAAGAAAAATTGGAAAATAAAATTACTTATTTTGCACCAAAATTGCACATTAGTCATAAAAATTGTGTTTTTTGAAATTTTTAGTGAAATTGCACAATGTATGAAAAATCTTTGAAATTCAGTTTTAGTAATATTTGCATATCGAAAAATTGAAATTCGAAAACTTCCATTTTTGAATTTAAAAATTTACATTATACTTCACTGAAGTGTATAAAAATCGAAATATAATATTTTTTAAACACTTTAAAAATTAGTAATTGAAATTTAGTAATAAAATTAAATTGAAGAAAAAATTTGGTAGACGAGAGAGAATATTGCCAAATTTGAATCGAATTCAAAAAATAAGGGGAAAAAAAACACCATGAAATTCGACTTTCAGCGTTTGTTTAGTAAAGTCGACATTTTTAAAATATTGAATCGATTTTTGCACATATGCTTAACTTTTATTGAAGTTAATGAAAAAATATTACCTTCCTTTATGAATACCTATTAATAGCGCTTATTAAAATATAAATTATAAAATTTACGAATGACTGTACATATAATATAAATATTTTTTTTTTTAAATTTGTAATTTAAGATTGTTTTTCAATCTTAAAAATGTATGTAATTTAAATAGTATGCAGTATTACAAGGGAGAGAAAGAGAGAGAGAGAGAAAGCTTTCAATTTTTGTACAATGAGAATACAAAAAAATGAAATTCTTTTTTGTTCAGAAAAAGATGAAAAAATTGACAAAAAAAAACGTGAAATTGAAAAATTAAATCTGAAGTAAAAGTACAAATATCTATTTGTTATTCTTATTGTACATAAATAATAATTTTTATGTTAAGTATGAAAGTCTGCATGTTTTTTCTTTTTTAAAAAATAAAAATCGTAACAACCAAAAATGTGAAATTTGCAACAACAAAAATATTTAGAAAACACGTCGAACTTTATGTATAGAACTGAAATTTCTTGTTAATTATTTAAGTTCAATTTAGAAAAACATTTTAGGTGAACAAAAAAAATTTTATTGACAAGTCATATTTGTGATATATTAACAATAAAAAAATCTTACAACAGTATTTTTTTAGTGAAATTAATTTAAAATTCAATTTTTTGGTTTTTGATTGTAAATTTTTTTTAACAATTAATATTTTTGTTTTTCTAGAAAATACTATTAATAATAATATTTTTTTACAGACATTCAATTATTTAAAAAGAAATTTAATAAAATTCTTCGTCAGATTTCAATTATTTTCAATTTTTTAATGAAATTTCTCGATAGAATTTAATTATTTTCAAAAATGTTTTAAAAAATTCTGAAAAATTGAATTATTTAAAAAAATTTAAATAAAATTCTTCACAAGAAATTAATAATTTTCATAAATAATAATATTTTTCTCCGGAATTCAATTATTTTCACCGAATAAAATTCTTCACAAGAATTCAATTATTTAAAAAAAATTTTTAATAAATTTCGTTGCAAGAATTCAATTACTTTCATTAACATTAAAACTTATCGCAAAATTTCTATAATTTTTCGTTAAATTTTTAATAAAATAATAGAAAATTGCATATATCCTTAAAATCTTTTTTTAAATTCGCCGAAAGAATTCAATTATTTTTTAAAATTTTGATAAAATTCTTCCCAAAAATTCAATTCTTTTCAAAAATAAAAATTTTCACAGGATTTTAATTATTTAAAAAGAAATTTAATAGAATTCTTCGTCAGATTTTATTTTTATTTTTAATTTTTTTAATGGAATTTTTCAATAAAATTTAATTATTTTTATAAAGTTTTAAAAAATTCTGAGAAATTTAATTATTTAAAAAGATTTGAATAAAATTCCTCATAAGAAATTCATTATTTCTCGTCAAAATTTCAATTTATTATCTTTATAAATTTCAATTTTAATAAAATTTTCCTATGCAATTCAATTATTTTCAATACATTTTTCTTAAGAATTCAATTATTTTCACAAATAATACCTTTTTTACGCAGGAACTCAATTATTTAAAAGAATTTGAATAAAATTCTTCGCTAGAAGTCGCAATTATTTACATAAATAATAAAATTTTCCTTGAGAATTAAATTATTTAAAAGAATTTTTATAAAATGCTTTATAAATTCAATTATTTTCATAAAAAATAAAAGTATTGTTATTTTTACGAAATGTCACTTTTGTGAATCGACATTTTTACGAATTGTCACTTTTGCGAAAAGTTATTTTTTCGAATTGTCATTTATGCGAACTGACATTGTTTCGAATTGTCATTTTTACGAAATTAATGTCATTTTTGCGAATCGCCATTTTTACGAATTGTCACTTTTGCGAATTGTCATTTATGCGAACTGCCAATTGTTTCGAATTGTCATGTTCACGAAATGTCACTTTTGTGAAAAGTCATTATTCCGAAATATTATTTTTACGAATTGTCACTTTTGCGAAAAGTTATTTTTTCGAATTGTCATTTTTACGAATAAATGTCATTTTTGCGAATCGCCATTTTTACGAATTGTCACTTTTGCGAATTATCATTTATGCGAAAATTGCTATAGTAAATCTATATATGCATACAAAGTTTACTATATATAGCAATTATTTCGCAAAAATGACAATTCGCAACAGTGACATTTCGTAAAAATAACAATTTGAAAAAATGTCAGTTCGCATAACAATGACAATTTGCAAAAATAAATTTTCGCAAAAGTGACAATTCGTAAAAATGGGGATTCGCAAAAAATGACAATTCGAAAAAATGTCAGTTCGCCACAATTGACAATTCGCAAAAATGACTATCCGCAAAAGTGACAATTCGTAAAAATGTCGATTCACATAGTTATATACCCTTATTAAATTACTGGATAAAGTGAAAAAAATTGCTTCTTATTTATTTATATTCAAAATAGTACATAAAGTAATACAGAAAAAATGAATACGTTACGCCAAGAGAACAGTACAATGATGTTATGGCCAATGGTAAAAATGGTAATTTTTCATTGAATAAAAATTGATGTAAAATTGATTCATATACAATTATTAATGGAAGACCCGCAATGTAAAGCCATTCGTGTAGAAGAAGAATATTTTTTTTAAATCGTTGAATTAATAATGTACTGGTACAAACGGCGTAGAATGTAAAAAATAAAAATTTTAAGGGAAGTAAATCCTTTGGATAGAGAAGAGGAAAAAGTGATGCACTTCCCGTTAAGGAAAGAATTATAAATACTCTTGCATCATTTTTATGTATTACCGAGAGTACACTGAAAAAAAGTTAAAATTGATTAGAAAATCATTGAAAAATAAAAGGAATTGTAAAATTAACATAAAAGAAAAAAAGTCACCTCAATGCAATAATCGCTGTAAGAATAGCTTTCTCATGAACATGGTATCCAAACATAAACGAAGATAATCCACAGATGACGACACATCTTATGAAGGAAATTCCACCGAATTCATTTTTAAATGCGAGTTTTATTAATGCTGGCTGCAAAAAATACAATTATTAAATAATTTAAATGCTTTTAAAACATTTTTCTTAAATTCCTTTTTTTCCTAAAATTTTTTTTTATTTTTGCTCTTCATTTTTAAATATAGCAAATAAAGGAACTTTATATTCAATTTATTATTATTATGCAAATTGAAATTTTTTTTTATTTTCAAATATGAATTTTTGAATAATTTCAGATTCAAACTTTTTAAAAAAAATTCAATTATTAACTAATTTACTAATTAATTTTATGGGCTTCCGTTTCCGGTACCGTTTCGGTGTACACGCGTTTGGAAAGAGTTAAGAGTTTTTTTTGAGAAATATAAAGGTTTTAAAAAAGGGTGGGTAGTGTAGAGTGCTGAGTGTGTAGTGTAATTGGCGGTAGTGTAAAGGAAAGGTATGTTGGTATAGAGTAGTGAATGTGTGAGTGATAAAAAAGGTAAAAAAGAGAAGTGTGTTTTGTGAGGTTAGGTTGCTTGAAGTGAGAGAGAGGAGAGAGAGACAGTGGAAAAATTTTGAGCATTTGAGTGATAAGGTAGATTTCTGGAATGGCTGAGTTTGACTCAAGTAGTGTTAGCGAGAATGAGAAAAAGGCGCGGGTATTTGAAAGGGGAATAGGAAAGAATGGAAAAAAGATGACGTGTGAGGATTGCATGGATTTGTTAGAATTAGTATGGATGATGAAGGACGCGATGGATGAAGGAGCTAAGAGAGTGAAGGAAAATTTGATGGATATATGTGAGGATGGGGAATCAAGGGACAAAGAGATAATGGAAATTGAAGAGAGGTTGGAGAAATTGCAGGAAATGTGGAATGAATGGGATAGTAAGTGGAAAAAGGATAAGGAAAGCATGTGGAGAAGAATGAATGGATTAGAAAAAATTATAAAGGAAGTGAATGAGGGGACTGAGAAAGTTGAGGGAAGTGAATATGAGAGGTTAAAGTGGAAAATGGGAGATTTGTCAAGACGAGTGGATGTAGTAGAAAATGAAAAAAGGAAAAAGAATGTAGTGATCAGAGGTATGAATGTAGGTGTGTTGGAGGGTAAAAGAGCAGTGGAAAAAGTGTTGGCGTGGGTGGGGGTTAATGTCACAGTGAAAATGGTACAAGCGTTAAGAAGGGGTGAATATGGGGTTCCAAAGTTATGGTTGGTGGAGTTGGGTAGTGAGGAAGAGAAAATGGATGTAATGAGGGTGAAAGGAAGACTGAAAGGAAGTGTAATAAGAATAGATGAGGATAGATGTTGGAGAGAGAGAAGAATGCTATGGCTATTGAGAGAAAGAGCGTGGACGGAGAGAGTGAAAGGAAAACAGGTAAGAATGGGTAAGGATTGTATTTGGGTGGATGGGGTAAAGTATGTTGTGGGGGAGGATATGGGTGGAGTGATGGAAGTGTGTAAAGTGTGATAGACAGGTATAGGCTGAGAATGAGGTGAGAAGATTTTGCTTGGATGGATGGATGGATAAAAGTGGATGACTGGAGCGTGTAAGGGAGGTGAGAAAGCAGGTTTTTGGAAAAAGGGTGGGCGAATTGGGTTGAAGCCAGCATGGGCATAGAAGGAACTGGAAACGGAAGCCCGGCACTGGCGATAGGTTAAGAGCGTAAGGTAGAGAGCGAGGAGAGAGTTGCGTTTTTAGGTTAAGTTGTATGAAGAGAATGTTTAGTTGTAAGGATTTTTGTAAATATAGGTTAAGATTGTTATGTATGTACTTGGGAGTCTCGAACCCTACCTATTGTAGGGAGAGTAAATAAACTATAATAATACTAATTAATTTTATTCGTGTTTATTAATTTCGAAAATTTTAATAAAATTCTACGCAAGGATTCAATTATTTTCATAAATAATAATTACATTCCTCGTAAGAATTCAATTATTTTTATAAATATAGTAAAATTTTTTAAACAAAATTTTAATAACATTTCACGAACGAATACAATTTTAATTTCTAAAATTTTAATAAATCCTTCGAAAAAATTCAATTTTTTTTTAATAGTAAATCTTTGCAAAAATTCAATTATTTTCAACAAAAAAATGTCATGCAAGAATTCATTTTTAAAAAAATTTTTAATAATATTTAAAAAAAATCCAATTATTAGCTAAGATTTTATTAAATACTTCGAAGCAATTCAATTATAATTGTAAAAAGTAAAATTCTTTGTAAAAATTTAATTATATTCAAAACAATTTCACGAAAGAATTGAATTTTTTATCTTAATTCGTTATAAAAAATTTCAATAGAATTCAATTATTTTCTAAAACTTTCATAAATTCTTTCCAAAAATTCAAATATTTTGATAAATAATTATATAATAAGGATTCATGAAAAAATTCAATTTTTAAATAATTTTTAATAATATTTTTCGAAAAAATTCAATTATTTTTAAAAAAAGTTTTACGAAAAAATTTTTAAAAAGAAATCAATTATTTTCTAAAATTTTAATATAAATTCTTTGCAAAAATTCAATTATTTTCAAAAAAATTTTACGAAAAAATTCAATTATTTTCATAGATAATTATAATAACGTTCTTTGTAAAAATTCAATTATTTTTATAAATAGGTAGTACAATTTCTTACAAAAACTTAATTATTTTTAAATAAAATTTTAATAACATTTCACGATCGAATACAATTAATTTTTAAAATTTTAATAAATTCTTTCCAAAAATTCAATTATTTTTTTAAATAGTTAATCTTTGCAAAAATTCAATTATTTTAAAAAAAAATTTTCGAAAGAATTAAATTTAAAAAAATTTTTAATAATATTTTTAAAAAAAAATTGAATTATTTTCTAAAATTTTATTAATTATACTTTGAAGGAATTCAATTATAATTGTAAGTAGTAAAATTTTTTGTAAAAATTCAATTATATTCAAAACAATTTCACGAAAGAATTGAATTTTTATCTTAACTCGTTATAAAAATTTTAATAGAATTCAATTATTTTCTAAAATTTTAATAAATTCTTTCCAAAAATTTAAATATTTTGATAAATAATTATATAATAAAGATTCATGAAAAAATTCAATTTTTAAATAATTTTTAATAATATTCTTCGAAAAAATTCAATTTTTTTACTGAAGTTTTAATAAATCCTTCGAAACAATTCAATTATATTTATAAATAGTAGAATTCTTTGCAAAAATTCAATTATTTTCAAAAAAATTCTACGAAAGAATTCAATTTTTTTTCTTAATTTGTTATAAAAAATTTCAATAAAATTCAATTATTTTCTAAAATTTTAATAACTTCTTTGCAAAAATTCAATTATTTTTAATACAATTTTAATAAAATTTCATGAAAGAATTAAATTTTTAAAAAAATTTTAATAATATTTTTTAAAAAAATCCAATTATTTTCTAAAATTTTAATAAATCCTTCAAAACAATTCAATTATATTCAAAGCAATTTCACGAAAGAATTAAATTTTTATCTTAATTCGTTATAAAAAATTTCAATAAAATTCAATTATTTTCGAAAACTTTAATAAATTCTTTGCAAAAATTCAATTATTTTCTAAAGTTTTAATTAATCCTTCGAAACAATTCAATTATATTATTATAAATAGTTAAATTCTTTGCAAAAATTCAATTATTTTCAAAAAAAAATTTTACGTAAAAATTTTTAAAAAGAAATCAATTATTTTCTAAAATTTTAATAAATTCTTTGGAAAAATTCAATTATATTCAAAAAAAATTTAACGAAAAAATTCAATTTTTTTCTTAATTCGTTATAAAATTTTTAAAAACAAATCAAAAAAATTTTTTTTAATTTTTAATAAAATCCAATAATTAATTAAATGTTTAATTTCAATTATTAACAAGCACGATTATTTTAAAAACTTGAAAGAAATTGTTCATAAAAATCAATTATCTTTAAAATTTTTATTTAAAATTATTAAAGAAACTCTATTTAAAAAAGAAATCAAAGAAATTCCTCAAAAAGAATTTAATTAGAATTTTCAAAAATATTAACAAAATTCCTCACGAGAATTCAATTATACTTTGCTAACTAATAAAATTCTTCGAAGGAATTCTATTATTAAATCTTGTAATAAAATTCTTTGCAACGATTCGATGATTTTCAATATACATTTTAATTTTAAAATTGAAAATATTTTAAAAGAAAAATTTTTAAAAAAAGTTCCGAAACAAAAAAAACTTTCGAGATTTTGTAGATTTATAGAATATTTATACGAAAAAAAATTTTTAATTTTTACTATTTACAAAAAAAAGCAAATAATGTTTGTAATGAAAAATTTTTTCAATATTAAAATTCAAAACATATAAAAAAGAACAATAAAAAAAATAAAGAAACAAAGACAACTAACTTTTAATTTAATGTGAAAAATTTTAATTTTTTTTTCTAAATATCAGTAAAATAGTTGTCTTAGTGAAAAAGTGAATCAAAAAATATAAATTATCGCGTGAATTCGAGGCTATTATGAAAATAATAAAATGTGAAAAAAAAATTATAAAAATTAGAAGAATAATAAAGCGAATACAAAAAAAAATTTCTTAAAATTTTTTACCATCATGAATAGAATTGTGGTGGCAAATGTTGTAATTGGAAGCGGCGTAGGAAGCACAAGAAAAGATTGTTCCTGAACGAGACCACCTGTTAATCTTGCCGAATTCTCCTCGACATGTAAGCCAAGATATTTCCATAAAACCACTAAAATTTTATCAAAACCTGCATATAAAGCCCAAAAATTGGCAGCCCAATAGGCGTGAAGCAGTCCTCGTTTAAATGGAAATAAACGTGAGAAAACCTAGAAAAAATATTAAATACAATCACTTCTTTCCTTTAAAAAATTAAATGAATAACATTTTATTTCAATGGATAAATTACATCAATAAAATTTTATTTTCTTTAAAAAAATTTTAAAAATAACATTTTTTTTTCATTGGGAAAATTACATCAATGACATTTTATTTTCTTCAAAAAACAATTAAATAATTAACATTTTTTTCACTACAAGATTGCCACAAAAATTTAATTTTCTTTTTCCCTGATTTCCAGACAAAATTTTGACTTTTTTCCTGACCCTAAAGAATATTCTGATTCACTCTAAAAATTATTAAACACTCAAAAAAAAATGTTTTATTACATTTATTTACGAATTTCTTTAATTGTAAAATTATTCGAAAACATCAATTACTTCATTTTTAAATAAATATTTAATCATTATTATTTTTCCATAGAAACCAAGATTTTCGAAAATTTCAATTAATTTCTCAAAAATTATTTTCATCATATCAATTCAATAATTATTTTCTGGAATTTTTAACTAAAATTCTTTTTCAAATCAATTATTTTTAATACTATTTTTGAAAAAGTTCTTTGAGAATTCTTAAATCCATTTGTTTTTAACTTAATTTTACGAAATTTTGATAATTTGGAAATTCTTCAATTAAATATAATATTAGAAAATAAAAACTTCAAATAATTTTAAAAAAAACTCCATTGAACTTTTTCAAAAAAAATTAATTCTACAAAATTGTTCGTTAAAAGTATGAAAAATTCAGATTTTTAAAATTCAATTATTTCTAAAAATCCACGAAATAATACTCTTAATATTCAATAAATTCAATTTTTAATCAATTTGTATTAAAAAAATTCTAATACTAGAATTCAATTTTTTAAATACAAAAATATATAATTTATTCAATAATTGAATGTTTCTCAAAATTGTATTTTCATGAAGAATTTTATTAACAAATTTTTAAATAATTGAATTCTGAATTTTAATAAAATTTTTAAGAATAATTACATTTTTTCGGGGAATTTGATTAAAATTGTATTAAAAATAATTGAGTTTTATTATTTATGAAAATAATTGAATTCCTAAAAAGAATTTTATTATTTATAAAAATAATTGAATTCCTGTAAAAAAATTTATTATTTATGAAAAAAATGGAATTATTATTATTAAGAAATTTATAAAAAAAAATTGTAAATAATTGAATTTCAGTGAAATTTTTATTATTTATGAAAGTAATGAAATATTTGCGTACAATTTTATCAAATTTTTTTTTAAATAATTGAATTCTTTTGGACAATTTTCTTAAAATAGTATAGATATTGAAAATCATTGAATTGAGGGAACTTTTTGAAAATAATTGAATTTTGGAGAAAAATTTTATTATTTATAAAGATAATGCAAAATTATTATGCAAATTGAATTGAAAATTGTAAACGCAACTCTTTTAAAATTTAATTATTTATGAAATATTTCAGTAAAATTATTCATTCAATAAATTCTAAATAATAATTTTGTTCTTCAAGAATTAAGTTATTTGAAAAGAAATTATTGTCAGAAATACAAAAAATTGAAGGCATTTTTATTAAAATTCTTGTCAATTTCATACTTTATGAGGCAAACAAAAAGGTCACCAAAATTCAGAATTTTTCTTATAAATTCTAAAAATTAAACTTTTTCCAGTAATTTAATGAAAATAGCATTCTATTTTCTTAAAAAAATTTAATAAACGTTATATTTACAAACTCATCAAAATAAGAATAATTAAAATAAAATTCAAAAGATTTTTTTCGGTAATTTTTATAAAAAAATGTGAGTTTTTTTAAAATAAAATATAAAGTCTAAAATTTGATACTTCAAAAAAAAGTTGTAATTTACCTGAGAAAGTTGAGATTTAAAAGGCCAGAAGGAAATAAAAAGAGCTGACGAAACAATAACATTAAGTTGTAAAAATCTCTTTAAAAAATGTTGTCTTTTCAAGCACCATTTAAACAGCCATACAACATAAGCAGGTGCTACGTATACATAAATATGTTTCAAATTCACTAGAATTGAAAACCACGTTGCACCCTGTAGAACGTTTCTCTGAAAATTATTATACACTAATTAATAATTATAAAAAAGTAAAAATTAATTTAAAATTTAGCAAAGAAAGTTGTTTTTGACTATTTGTGACTTTTTTTCAATTTTCCTTAATTTTCTTCTAAGGAGTCTAATTTTATGTTTATTACCCATAAAATATGAAATTTTCAAAAAAAGTTTTTACAAGAATTTATATTTATATTTTTGAAAATAATTGAATTTCTGCAATCATTTGTAAATTTACGCCTACGAATAACAATTATTTTGAAATTAAAAATGTTTTAGCCGAGTAGAGGGAAAAGATTTTTAAAAATGTAAAAAAATGTAACATCTGAATTAAATTTAATTTTAAAATTTATTGTAAAGTAGATAAATATATTTAACAAGTTAATAATATTTTGCGATGTAATCAGAGATTTTCGGTAATCAATAGTGAGTCTTGAGATGAGTCAGCAACATGTTTTCCAAGTTGAAGGGAATTTTTCTGCAAAAAAAAAAAAATGCATTCATTAAATAAAGTTATTAATAATAGAAAAATATTTAAAATACTTGCAAATAAATTTATAGCCATTGACACTCACCTCAATTTTACTTCATAAATATTTTGTAGTCCAGAGAATTATTTAAATGTAATATAACATCCGAATTTTACTCTAACAATCTCAGAATTAATTTGGTCAGCACTGCAGATCTGTCAACTGGGGTAATAGTTCCAGTGAATGAGAGAAACACTGTAACAAAAAATAAAAGGTAAAAAAAATGAAATTTTTTTTTGTAAAATATAACGATTTTATGAAAAAATGGTAAAAGTGACCTTACATGTGACAAAAAGTTATAGGTTATGTTTAGAAAAGTTTTCGTTTTACTTAAAAATACATTTTTAATTATTAGAAGTTAAGAACAACTTTTCTTATCTAAAAACAATTTTTCTTATTAATTATTGTTTCATTATTTAAGAGGCCTTGTACGGTTATCTTATTAATCATTATTAATAAAAAGTTAATAAAACTTTTTGACTTGAGTCAAAAATCTTAAATCAAGCAAAAAGTGTTCTAAACATAACCTATAATTTTTTGCCCCGTAAAGTCGCGGTTTTGTCAGAAATAGTCACATTTGTAAAGTACAATCAATTATTTTATAGAATTATTTCAATAATAAATAATAATAAAAAAATAATAAATTTAATATTTTTTAATAATTTAATTTAATTTAATATTTTTAAATAATAAAAAAATAATAAATTTAAATAATTTTTTAAAAATAATTTAAAGTAAACTCACTTTAATTATACCCCAGAAATTCTCGGTGGTCAAAGCATAATTTCCAAGTTACGAGGGAAATATTCAGCTTGATCCACAAGGCAGGAAGATTGACAAAATGAGATTATTTGGATGTCATCAAAAGTCTCAAATGCAATCAATTCAAATGGCTGAAGAAATTTTCATTTTGCCAAACGAATTTCGTCAAATTGAAAGACTACTTCATAATTCATGGACTTTGTTGCTATTTAGCCACAATTTTTGAAGTCGTGTTGATTTAGAGATTGAAAAATTCCTGATGTTAATTAAAAAGCGACGTACAAAATTCAAGAGAATAGAATACCAAAAAAAAAATCTCTGAATTACAAATGTTAAACATTATTTTCCATCATTTTTAACAAATTCAAATAATACAATCGAATTCTTTACAATTATTAATAAACGAAACTTATAGAAACAATGCTTGTTACCAAAATTACAAAATAAACTTTCGAAAAGTTTAACTCTTAATTTTATGAATCGAACATGAGAAAAAATTAATTACATTAATAGTTACGATGTATTCTATATTAAAAATATGAATCATGACTAATATTTTTGAATTGCAGAAATAATTATGTCAATGATTTTTTATTTATTTAAATTAAAAATGTTAATATTAATATTAATATTAATAATATTAATTATTATTAGTAATTTCCGAATTTCAAATATATTAGTCATGACGAACATTTCCTGAGTCGAAAAAATTAATTTCATTCAGTTTCCGAATGCGTTAAAAAAAATATTAATTACGACGAACATTTTTCTTTTCTTAAAATAATTTCTGAGCTATAAAAACATCAAACAATCTTCACCATAGATTATATTTTTTAAAAAATTAACACTTTTCTGAATCGAAGAATATATTAATTAATACAATCCATCCTCTATGAGAAAGCAATATTTGTGACGAACTCCGAGGAATAAAAAGCAAACAATTTTAAGGTTATGTTTGAGTCATTTTTACTTAATTAAAAGTATTTGCTTAATTATTTAAAACTAAACAGAGTTTTAATTAATTATTTTAGATTTAATGAAGGCTTCAATATTAGTATAGTTTATATTGAGAGTTCATTCCTTTTTTTGTATTTTTTACTTCAAAAATTATAAACATAACCTCAAATTTTTTGCTTAATTAATATTTTAAAGATTATAATTTTTATATATTTCCTTAAATATAGAGCCAATATTAGCCAATTTTTCGACTTTATAAAGGACAAAAATATTCGAAATTTAACAATTATTTCGAAGCGCAAGTTAAAAATTAAATCTACTTTAATTCTCATCCACTCATTTCATTCACAGTTTCTCACAGTAAATACAATTTTCAAAATATTTTCGATTGACGTAATTTTAACTGATATTACTAAAGTTGACAATTTCATCAGATATAAAAATAAAAAAAAATCTTTTGTTAAATTTATTACTAATTTGCAGCGTAAATGTTACTGTCACGCAATCGTGACTTATTTTTAATAACAATAATTAAAAATAATTAAAACCATAGTTTAAAATTTATTCGAATTTCTTCAGAGGGAGGAGATTCGAATTTACAATCTTTCGACGAGAACCTTTTTTTATTTAATAAAATTTAATAGTTATTAATGTTAAATAATAAGCAATAAGGTTCATTATACTATTGTTACAATCATTGTAAAATAATAATATTTGAACAATTAACAAATAATTAATTAATTAATTAATTTTAAAAAAATAATTCTTTTCCAAAAGTTATTTTAAATTGATTTATAATCTACTATTATTCGTATTCAAGTTTAACTTTTCAATTAATTGGGCTAAAATAATTATTTTTATTTCAAACAATTTGATCTCGCTATTCTACAATTAACTATGAACTTTGTTTAATATTTATATCCTTTATAAAGTCGATTGGATCTTTTTTCTCCAACTAGCAAAGGAGTTTTTAAAAAAAAATATTTTAAAATTCAAAGCATTATATACTTTAATCTACAGATATTTAATGACACTTGGGGACAAGTTGGTTTATTATTATCATTTTAAATGAACGAGAACAATTTTTGTATTTAAAAATGAAAGTTAAGAAATATTTGAATTTTTCAAAATTATTAAATTTGATTCTTAAACATTTTTGAGAAAGAATATTTCTTTTAAACTATTCGATATATTTTCATTTATGAGAACAAAAATAAAAAAAGTAAATTATAATTATGAAATACACATAATTTTAATTATGTAAATTTCAAAAGAGTGTCTGAAAGTAAAAATTCAATGTGTATGAAAATATATACGAAAGTGTAGATGAGAGGAGAAGGCAGCAAGAGGAACCTTTATTTTATATGCCTTATTGTGAGGTTATAGCCCCTACAGCACAAATATTACAATATGGCAGCAATATTTCAGAAATAGTGTTAATATTTCAGCAACGTTTGCAATATTAATGAAATTTTTTGTGCTGTGGGGGAGAAGTGTTATTTTCTAATTGAATAACAAATTTATTATGTCTTAATTAACACTAGCTCAGAATTTCACCTTCAAAAAATCTTGGACGAGGATCTGCAACAATTAAAAATAAAAATTAGTTTCAAATTCAAATTTAATAACAAAAAATTAAAAATGACCAATGATGTAGCTCATATGGTAGAATACTCTACCATCATGCTACAGAGGTCAACAAACGTTTTAAAATGATAAATAATATTTAAGAAATCTATTTAAGAAACAAAAAATTCGCAAAAATGTCTTTTCGGAAAAGTGACAATTCGTAAAAATGTCGATTCGAAAAAGTGCAGTTCGGTAAAATGACATTTTGGAAAAATGACATTTAGGAATAATCATGTTTTCCGGATTTCCAATACATTAAAAAAATTTATTATTGTTAATTAAATTCATTAAGCCGAATTACGCCAGGCTATTTTTTGATAATCTTTTTAACTATTACCGCAGTAAGTCAAACGAGCAAGAGTCAAATTTTGTAAGTATACTTTACTGGGACTCAATTTTTCAGAATACTGAAAATTATAGAAGGCTTACAGCTACTAGATCTACAATGGAAAAACTATTGTCAATCACGATTATTGGACAACTAATCATGCCAGGAAAACTTCCGGATGTTACTGAACAAACTTCAATTATTGAAAAGATGAGTGATTTCTGATGAGCAAGTTGAATGTGGAATTGAATTTTCAAATAAATAATGAGAAATAAATTTAGATGAGTTAACCAAAAAAAAAAAAAATGGGAGCAGAAAAAGATGAGAACGCTATCAAAAACAAATGAATGTTTTTGACTGATGAATAGCATCAACAAAATTGAAATATGTATGTGGAATTTTTGTAAAAGAAAACTTTTTTTAATCCTCTTTCACGCCTGTTACTTATAAAAAAAAACTTTAAAGAAGTGAAATAAAACTAACAACTAACGCGGCACAAAAATAATTTTATAACATAAAACATATTATCGGTAGAATTTTCCAAATGATTAGAAGCGCAGTGAAATAAAAACGACTTTATTTTTAATTAAGAATTAAAGCAATTAAGATAAAGGTAATAAGAAAATTTGTACTTATCAGAAATATTTAATATCCAATTTTTAATTTTCAGCCACAAAATCACATCTAATGATCAAATCGTTTTTAAATATCAAAATACACTTACTAGTTTTCAGTATACCGGGAAAACGCGTGATTAGTAAGCGTCTTTATAATAATCAAAAAGTATTTAAACCTATTTATTTAATATTTACGATATATAAAGCATAGCCAGTTCTTTAAGTCACATTCTTCTAATAAAACAACTTTCTTGCTAAATTTTTTGTAATTAAAAACGTTTTCATTTTTCAAAAAAAAAGTTAAATTATTTTATAAGTAAACTGATAATTTTATGTCTATTTAATAAATTAAAAGTCCGGATCAACAACAAATGATTTCAAATTACCTTTTTTAAAGTGTCGAAAGTTCCAGCAATAGAAATTAATAAAATACCCAGAAGAAATCCATTATATTGAAAATGAATGTGATCAACAATACAGAGACCAATATTAGTAAGAGATAAAAATATAAAAATAATATAGTCCTCAGTCGTACGTGTACACGCAGTTCCAATCCTAGACATAATTCTAATTTAGAAAAAGAACTGCTCTACATGTGCATTACATATTATATCACTTACTTTTTTATGCCATATAAAAATACGATGTCTGCTACAATAACAGTCGAACGTTGAAATACTTTAGTATTGAAGGAAGCGTAATTTAGATTTTTAACATTTAGCATGTTAATATCAAAGAACTGTGCAAATAACGAGAGAAAATATTCAAACCAGGCGAAAAAAGGCGGATAGTCCAAAGTCCATTGCGATATTTCGCTTGTGTACCATTCATTTATTGGCAAACTGTGCGTTATTGCTAGCCAATTTCGATGAACTTCAAAGTCTGTCGAATGACTAAAAGTAGAAAAGGAGATATAAGTGATATATTACAATTTGTTCGTTTTTTATTACCTGTTATGAAACCGCTCATATTTCAATCAAAAGATCACTACAATACTTCATTTATGATGATCATTTGTTTGGAGTTGAGGGAATGAGACAAAAATTTTGGACATTTATTACAATAAATCTTATTAAAGTTGCTGTTAAGCAATTAAACTTGTCATTAAATATGACAAGGAGATAATCAAGTTATAATTATCAAGTACTAGAGGAATAGTTACAGTTGCCAGTCATATGTAAGCATCATAATGCACTCTCGAACCTATCTGTACTCAATATTTAGAAGAGAAATGTGAAGATCAACAATTTAATTTCAAGAAGATGTGTAAGGATTCCCCTCTATAGAGTTTCTTTTAACGACATAGTGTACATTAAATTAATTCTGAGGAATGAAGAAACGAAGCCCCTACATCTCGCGAACTTCCCATATTTCACTGCTGCAGCAAAAGCTATTTCCAGTATTTATATCGCAAGCATGAGGTTAAAAATCATAAGATCATTTTTTGATTCGAAATGAGCCAATCATTAGGAATTAGACGCTTTACCGTTCTGGCAATTCGTACTACCGATTCTTAAAATGACATTAACGTTAATTATTATGCAATACATTTTTTAAATTAAACGCAGTTAAACTTGTGTATAATGTGTTAATCTCCTAACTCGGTACTCTTCCTAATTTTTGAATTTCAGTCGTGAATATTGTAGACCTCAACGAAAACATTAATTTATATTAGAATACCTACAAGCAGGTATAATACCAAATACATCTAAGTTAAAGTTGGAACTGTTTTTGAATAGAACAGTCACCATAGCAAGAATTGCTGCATGCTTTCCTAACATATTCGTAGACTGACACAGCAAAGGACTACGAAGCAACATCATAAAAATGAGTGCCGTCGTCAATATTGCTGACCTCAACGAAAACATTAATAAAATGAAGATAAAGTCTTTCATGTACTGAGCATACCTACAACCAGGTATACTACGAATACATCTGAGTGAACAGCTGGAACTTTTTAAATTACTCCTAAGGAATGAGGAAACGAAGCCTCTTCACAGCGAGAACTTCCCTTTATTCACTGCTGCAGCAAAGGCCATTTCAAGTATCGATAGCGCAAGCATGCGAAACTTGATAGTTAGATTATTGAATATATTTTTTAAAATTAAACTCAGTTAAAATTGTAAATAATGTGTTGATCTCCTAACTCGTTACTATTCTTAATAATAACTAAATTTAGTCGTAAATATGCCTGACAGATTTTATATTCATTTTATTAACATTAATAAAATGAAGATAAAATCTGTCAAATATTTAGTATACCTACAAGTAGGTATACTACAAATACATCTAAGTTAAAAGTTAGAACTGCTCTTGAATAGAACAATCACCATGGCAAGAATTGCAGCTTGCTTTCCAAATATAATCTTAGACTGACACAACAAAGGACTTCAAAGCAACATCATAAAAATGATGTGCCGTCATGAATATTGCTGACCTCAACGAATACATTAATTGTTCTTGAATAGAACAATCACCATAGCCAGAATTGCAGCATGTTTCCCAATGATCTTACTGGAGACTACAAGTCGAGAAGGGATGTAGTTCTTCTTAAATTTGCATTTAAGAAGAATTAACGTTCTTGATTATTCAATATATATTTTTTAAAATTAAACTCAGTTAAAAATGTGAATAATGTGTTAATCTTCTAAGTCGTTACTATTCTTAAAATTAACTAAATTTAGTCGTGAATTAGCCTGACAGTAGGTAAACTTCAAATACATCTCAGTTAAAAGTTCGAACTGTTCTGAAATAGAACAATCACCATGGTAAGAATTGCAGCTTGCTTTCCCAATGATCTTACTAGAGACTACAAGTCGAGAAGGGATGTAGTTCTTCTTAAATTTGCATTTCAGAAGAATTAACGTTTATGATTATTGAATATATTTTTTAAAATTAAACTCAGTTAAAAATGTGAATAATGTGTTAATCTCCTAACTCGATACTCTTCCTAATTTTTGGATTTCAGTCGTGAATATTGTAGACCTCAACGAAAACGTTAATAAAAGTATTACCATACCTAGGAATAGGTATAATACCTAATACATCTAAGTTAAAGTCTGAACTATTCTTGAATAGAACAGTCACCATAGCAAGAATTGCAGCATGCTTCCCAATCATTCTACTAGACTGACATAATAAAGGATTTCAAAGCGATATGATTTGTCTCGGTTTAAGGCGAAAATCGAAACTGTGCCTCGTGAAGAGCCACTCTACTCATCCGATCCCTACACTACATCGATTCCTCTAAGAACGGAATACAGTCAGACTTTCGACTTAGCTAGTTTTGATACAGTTATAGACAAAACGTACAACGTAATTAACAACATCGACAAAAACTTTCCTGACAAACTACCAAAGTGTGCGTTTACCCATGCGTGTAATACCTATGTGCAGGCAAGTAACTTGGATCCATTTGATCTAATTCCTGATGACTTCACAATACCTCCACTGGATGCGACTCTCGAAGTGGATGCTGGAAGCTTTGGACGATTAACACCGCAAAACCACAATGCATATGAATCAAACTGGATTACTTTTTATATATTTATATTTAACATTAATGATTATTCAATACATTTTTTTAATTAAACTTAGTTAAAGATGTGTATAATGTGTTAATCTCCTAACTCGATACTCTTTCTAATTTTCAAATTTCAGTCGTGAATATTGTAGACCTCAACGAAAACATTAATAAAAGTATTAGCATACCTAGGAATAGGTATAATACCTAATACATCTAAGTTAAAGTTAGAACTGTTCTTGAATAGAACAGTCACCATAGCCAGAATTGCAGCATGTTTCCCAATGATCTTACTGGAGACTACAAGTCGAGAAGGGATGTAGTTCTTCTTAAATTTGCATTTAAGAAGAATTAACGTTTTTGATTATTGAATATATATTTTTTAAAATTAAACTCAGTTAAAAATGTGAATAATGTGTTAATCTCCTAAGTCGTTACTATTCTTAAAATTAACTAAATTTAGTCATGAATTAGCCTGACAGTAGGTATACTTCAAATACATCTCAGTTAAAAGTTCGAACTGTTCTGAAATAGAACAATCACCATGGTAAGAATTGCAGCTTGCTTTCCCAATGATCTTACTAGAGACTACAAGTCGAGAAGGGATGTAGTTCTTCTTAAATTTGCATTTAAGAAGAATTAACGTTTTTGATTATTGAATATATATTTTTTAAAATTAAACTCAGTTAAAAATGTGAATAATGTGTTAATCTCCTAAGTCGTTACTATTCTTAAAATTAACTAAATTTAGTCATGAATTAGCCTGACAGTAGGTATACTTCAAATACATCTCAGTTAAAAGTTCGAACTGTTCTGAAATAGAACAATCACCATGGTAAGAATTGCAGCTTGCTTTCCCAATGATCTTACTAGAGACTACAAGTCGAGAAGGGATGTAGTTCTTCTTAAATTTGCATTTCAGAAGAATTAACGTTTATGATTATTGAATATATTTTTTAAAATTAAACTCAGTTAAAAATGTGAATAATGTGTTAATCTCCTAACTCGATACTCTTTCTAATTTTCAAATTTCAGTCGTGAATATTGTAGACCTCAACGAAAACATTAATAAAAGTATTAGCATACCTAGGAATAGGTATAATACCTAATACATCTAAGTTAAAGTTAGAACTGTTCTTGAATAGAACAGTCACCATAGCCAGAATTGCAGCATGTTTCCCAATGATCTTACTGGAGACTACAAGTCGAGAAGGGATGTAGTTCTTCTTAAATTTGCATTTAAGAAGAATTAACGTTTTTGATTATTGAATATATATTTTTTAAAATTAAACTCAGTTAAAAATGTGAATAATGTGTTAATCTCCTAAGTCGTTACTATTCTTAAAATTAACTAAATTTAGTCATGAATTAGCCTGACAGTAGGTATACTTCAAATACATCTCAGTTAAAAGTTCGAACTGTTCTGAAATAGAACAATCACCATGGTAAGAATTGCAGCTTGCTTTCCCAATGATCTTACTAGAGACTACAAGTCGAGAAGGGATGTAGTTCTTCTTAAATTTGCATTTCAGAAGAATTAACGTTTATGATTATTGAATATATTTTTTAAAATTAAACTCAGTTAAAAATGTGAATAATGTGTTAATCTCCTAACTCGATACTCTTCCTAATTTTCAAATTTCAGTCGTGAATATTGTAGACCTCAACGAAAACATTAATAAAAGTATTAGCATACCTAGGAATAGGTATAATACCTAATACATCTAAGTTAAAGTCTGAACTATTATTGAATAGAACAGTCACCATAGCAAGAATTGCAGCATGCTTCCCAATCATTCTACTAGACTGACATAATAAAGGATTTCAAAGCGATATGATTTGTCTCGGTTTAAGGCGAAAATCGAAACTGCACCACGTGATGAACCACTGTACTCATCTGATCCCTACACTACATCGATTCCACTTAGAACGGAAAACAGTCAGAATTTCGCCTTAGCTAGTTTTGGAACAGTTGTAGACGAAACGTACAACGTACTTAACAGAATCGACAAAAAATTCCCTGACAAATTACCAAAGTGTGCGTTTACCCATGCGTGTAATACCTATGTGCAGGCAAGTAACTTGGATCCATTTGATCTAATTCCTGATGACTTCACAATACCTCCACTGGATGCGACTCTCGAAGTGGATGCTGGAAGCTTTGGACGATTAACACCGCAAAACCACAATGCATATGAATCAAACTGGATTACTTTTTATATATTTATATTTAACATTAATGATTATTCAATACATTTTTTTAATTAAACTTAGTTAAAGATGTGTATAATGTGTTAATCTCCTAACTCGATACTCTTCCTAATTTTCAAATTTCAGTCGTGAATATTGTAGACCTCAACGAAAACATTA